AACACACCTGATGACGACCGTTTGTGTTATGGTCGAAACGTCGTGAGTATTTTTATTGTTTTATATATATTTTATTATTTTATTGTTTCCCTTCAACGTGACTTTACCGAAAGAGCTAAGAATATGAATTACTGCAGTCACGAAAGCTTTAAATCAAAATTGTCTGTACCTTGTACCAGGAGCGAACGGGCGCTTTGAATTGAGGTTAATTAGTTGGCTTGGACAGTTCTAGCCTACCGGCGCAAACACACCGTGTGTGTGTTAATACATTGCTCTTTTGTCTTTGAGTACATCGCACAGTGGTTAGCGTACTGCGCTATGAACCAAGCGATCCAAGTTCGATTCCCGTTCGCGACCAACATCGGTGACGAATATCTGATCAGGTCCTGGGCCTCCCCTAGGTCGACTCGGCCTTAATTGAGTGCCCGGTACAGTGTGTAAAATCGTCAGCACTGGGGAGACGAATGCGTTCCGGCGTGGTGCTGGCCACCCGCCCCCTCATGTGCCGTGCCGGCCTTCATAAGTGCTACACGATTAACAGGACTTGCCCCGGCAGTCTGAGGCTGTACGGGGGATCTTTGTCTCCTGTAATTGTGACTCCGTGATGCCGCACACTGTTTAATCGGCACACATGCAATTAACGCAAATCTCTGCCTTGTCTGCCAGTAGGGATTTGATGACGGCGGCGGATGTTGCTGCAGATTTACGAGCGACACGACAGTAATGCCACGGGCTGTAAACATTTTGAGAGAAATTCGTCGTCGTCGTTGTCATCGGCGACGATGACGAACATGAAAGCCTCCCCCAATCTATCGCCATCTCCTCGTGGTCCAGCAATGAGACGGCAGGCTGGCACAGTGATAACACTTGCCTCACTGCAAGTAGGCCCTAGGTTCGACTCCCAACCTTTGTTCCCCCCCGCCCCCGCCAGCAGAAAAAAATGGTTACGTGTGTGGCGGGGTAAAGTGTGGGTACTCCTGCCTCTTGCAAGAAATCTGGTGAGGTGCTATCAAGAGCTCTCCAGTGGAGGCCCTTCCACCAGCGGTGACGTGAACAAGCAATTACAGGGCTGCGCCTTTACCCCCTTTTGCTGATACCTCCGTTATCAAGGCGGTGTGGTCAGCTCTTTCAAGGCGGTGTGTGGTCAGCAGTTTTGTGAAGTTGGCTTAGGTCGTAGTCGCCCAACGCTCGTTTTCTCTGTTGGGCAGCGGAGCATCTGGGCCATCAATACTCATGAGCCAGTGCTGAGATTGTCCCTTCCGCCAGTAGTGATGGCAGGAATGCACCTTGACCCACCTATACCACAGGCCAGTAAAGCCAGACCCAGGTCGCACGATGGGACACGGCCCGAGGCTAGCACCCATACTAATTCCCCCCCCCCCCCCCGTCTCCTCCCCGCAAGGCTTTTTTGTGTGCATCTAATGTATATGCAAAAAAAAAAGAAAAGCGCCACAAAAAGCAAAAGCGTGGGCGCGCAAATAGAATAGATGAGCGACTCGGACACCGGCCGGGCCACTTTCAACACAACGGCTGGGTCTCTGTGGGAGAGAACGACCACCGGAGTCATCGCTTTTTCTTGAAAGTCGAGCAGAGGAGCTTGGCGTTGCTGCGTAAGCCAAATCTCCCAACCACCCCACCACCAACCCCGCCCCGCGGCCGCATGGACCGTGGTGGCGGCGATGCGAGCAAGCGTGTCGTGATCGCTGACCGGACACTCGATTCCCGCGGCCGGCTGCCGAGTTGCGCAGTGATTTATCAACAGTGCGCCCTCTCGCCCGTCCGCCGTAAAAACAGGCGGGATGCCCGAACGCCCTCTGATGTCAGACTCAGAATTGGAATATTTATTTATACAGTGAGGGAAAAAAGTATTTGATCCCCTGCTGATTCTGTACGTTTGCCCACTGACAAAGAAATGATCAGTCTATAATTTTAATGGTCGGTTTATTTGAACAGTGAGAGACAGAATAACAACAACAAAATCCAGAAAAACGCATGTCAAAAACGTTATAAATTGATTTGCATTTTAATGAGGGAAATAAGTATTTGACCCCTCTGCAAAACATGACTTAGTACTTGGTGGCAAAACCCTTGTTGGCAATCACAGAGGTCAGACGTTTCTTGTAGTTGGCCACCAGGTTTGCACACATCTCAGGAGGGATTTTGTCCCACTCCTCTTTGCAGATCTTCTCCAAGTCATTAAGGTTTCGAGGCTGACGTTTGGCAACTCGAACCTTCAGCTCGCTCCACAGATGTTCTATGGGATTAAGGTCTGGAGACTGGCTAGGCCACTCCAGGACCTTAATGTGCTTCTTCTTGAGCCACTACTTTGTTGCCTAGGCCGTGTGTTTTAGGTCATTGTCATGCTGGAATACCCATCCACGACCCATTTTCAATGCCCTGGCTGAGGGAAGGAGGTTCTCACCCAAGATTTGATGGTACATGGCCCCTTCCATCGTCCCTTTGATGCGGTGAAGTTGTCCTGTCCCCTTAGCAGAAAAACACCCCCAAAGCATAATGTTTCCACCTCCATGTTTGACGGTGGGGATGGTATTCTTGGGGTCATAGGCAGGATTCCTCCTCCTCCAAACACGGCGAGTTGAGTTGATGCCAAAGAGCTCCATTTTGGTCTCATCTGACCACAACACTTTCACCCAGTTGTCCTCTGAATCATTCAGATGTTCAATGGCAAACTTCAGACGGGCATGTATATGTGATTTCTTGAGCAGGGGGACCTTGCGGGCGCAGCAGGATTTCAGTCCTTAACGGCGTAGTGTGTTACCAATTGTTTTCTTGGTGACTGTGGTCCCAGCTGCCTTGAGATCATTGACAAGATCCTCCCGTGTAGTTCTGGGCTGATTCCTCACCGTTCTCATGATCATTGCAACTCCACGAGGTGAGATCTTGCATGGAGCCCCAGGCCGAGGGAGATTGACAGTTCTTTTGTGTTTCTTCCATTTGCGTAAAATCGCACCAACTGTTGTCACCTTCTCACCAAGCTGCTTGGCAATGGTCTTGTAGCCCATTCCAGCCTTGTGTAGGTCTACAATCTTGTCCCTGACATCCTTGGAGAGCTCTTTGGTCTTGGCCATGGTGGAGAGTTTGTAATCTGATTGATTGATTGCTTCTGTGGACAGATGTCTTTTATACAAGTAACAAGCTGAGATTAGGAGCACTCCCTTTAAGAGTGTGCTCCTAATCTCAGCTTGTTACCTGTATAAAAGACACCTGGGAGCCAGAAATCTTTCTGATTGAGAGGGGGTCAAATACTTATTTCCCTCATTAAAATGCAAATCAATTTATAACATTTTTGACATGCGTTTTTCTGGATTGTTTTTGTTATGCTGTCTCTCACTGTTCAAATAAACCTACCATTAAAATTATAGACTGATCATTTCTTTGTCAGTGGGCAAACCTACAAAATCAGCAGGGGATCAAATACTTTTTTCCCCTCACTGTAGTGGAGCAATCTGATGAGCTATAAAGCTCTTTATACAGATGTCCAGTAGGTGCGGGTCAGAATGTTACAAGCACAAACGATACAAAACACGATCGGGATGCAGAGTACAGGAAAGGCAAACAAATCGCTCAAAAATATACAACTAAAACTAAACTATTTTTATTTTACCACTCAAAGCCCACCCATGGTCGTTTGCATTTGGCCAACCTCTCGAAGCTCACATTTGGACAACGAAAATAACAACACAAGGTTGAGAAGAATTCTTAAAGAGTTTTTATAAACTGCAGAGACTAAAAGGGAGATTAAGCCCATCAATGAAGATGAGCACTGCTGCGTGATTGTTGAAGCAGAGACACTTTGACTTATTTGTCGACATCAGGAAACCATCAAGACATTGGTTTACACATTTATATCCATTCATCGGTCAAGGCCTCTCCATGCCATATTGCTCACGAGGGATCTTTGACCAAACTTTACCATGCTGGTCAGTGAGGATTAGTGGCCCCGGACTGATTCTGGTGAGGCCCAGGTCCGATTTGAATGTCGGATCACTGATGTTTGATCGTAGCCAGGAAATTGACTCGTGTTTTCAGGTTCATAGTGCAGTGTGCTAACTGCTGCGCCACCACTCCACCCCACATTTAGTTGTTTTAAATCGCACGGAAAGAAAATAAAAATGGAATACTGCCATGGCGTCACTATGGTTACCCAGGTCACACTTGTGAAGAAATAATCTCAACGGGCCTCAGGCTGGCTAAAGGACATGAGCTTATTTATTATAATAAACCATCTTGCATTGTGTGAACTGTATGTGAGAATTGCATATGCATTATAAAGTACATTCGCATATGGCCACGGCTTAATTTCACCCGGAGCTGTCCAGAGCTGAGCTCTGGAAAATATTTCCCTGGGGGTTTGAGGGCCACGGGAAAATATTCCACAAAACATTGATCCATACATATGAATTTTACTCTAACGTACTTGCAGTCAATGCCATTTAAACAAACCATAATTAATAATAATCCCACGTGGATTGTAGAGTGGCAGTTACGATGCAGGAGGTCGTGACACAGAAGAAAGTTGGGTCGGGGAGGGGTCATCGCCGTGACAGTGAACGGTCTCTCAGACTGGAAGTTGCTCATAGAATCGATGGACTGCTCGATATCGCATCAAGCCATGATGCACACGCGAACTCCGTCCATGCGCTCGGAACACAATGCGCAGTTTCTTGCGGCGTGTGTTGCAGACTGTTGGCTCAGCCGACCGTCTTCATGAAACCGCCCCCTAAAGTTCCCTTGGTGTAGTTTTTTTTTTTTTCCGCGGCTGACGGGCGCGGTGCATCGAAATTCGCATGCAGTGCAGTGTGCGATCAACGGTGTGATAGTTTGCGCACCGGACCCGCAATCCAGAGGTCGCCAGTTTGAATCGATCTCTTTTTGCACAGCAGATGAAACAACGGTGCAAGTTTCTGAAATCCTTCTCTCCCTGGGGGGGGGGGTGGGGGGGGGGGGGTGGTGTGCGATCTTTGTTTTTGCGTGACCAGGAACCTGCCTCTGTGCCAGGAGATCGTGGAGTTGGAGGGCATCGCGAGCCTCTCTCGGCGCGATGCAGCGGGCCACACGGCCGCTCACTGGGCGGCCTTGGGGGGCCACGTCGCCGTGCTGCGGTACTTCGCCGAGTACGGCGGCGGCGCCGGCGACTCGGCCCTCGCGGTGAACGCCCCGAGCGACGCAGAGCCGGGCTCGCGGCCCATCCACTGGGCGGCCACCAACGGGCACGTGGCGGCCATGGAGGCGCTGCTGGTGGCCGGCGTGCCGATCGACGAGCCGGACCAGCGCGGGTGCACGCCGCTCGTGGTGGCGGCGCAGTTCGGGCAGACGACGCTCGCCGGCTACCTGCTGGGGCGCGGCGCGGCGCTGCAAGCCTGCGACACGGAGGGAGACAATGCGCTGCACTGGGCGGCGTTCAAAGGTTGTTGTCGCCATCGCCGTCGTGTTTTCGTCCGCACCGATCACCGTCAGGTGTGACAACCACAACACCTGACGGTGATTGCTTGTGTTGCAGTCGAGACGTCGTGAGAATTTTATTGTTTTAGATTTTTATTATTATTTTATTGTTCCCCTTCTGCGTGAATTTACCGAGAGAACCAAGAACAGGCTTATGTTTGTGGCCAAATTGCCGGGAACGCGCCCGATCTCGTCAGCTCGCGGGAAGCTAAGCTGGGTTGAGCCCGGATAGAGTTTGTGTGGGCGGTTGCCATGCATAACAGGTGTTATAGGCTTCTGCGAGGCTATGCGGTGGGCAGCAGAGGCCAGGTCCGGAAAATCCATTGTTGTTACTGTGCCATGATCCAACGCCTATTGCACCTTGCCTTCGCCACCCCGCACTGACCAGCGCGGTGAAGTATGGTCAACCCCCGAGACCAAGAAGGCATGGGGAGAAGCCTTCATACAGCATTGGATTAACAAAAAGGGTTGTACATGTGAATGCAAAGGGGCATTCCTGTCATTTTTTTTAGAAATGTATCATTCATTCTATGTATGTATGTATGTTGAACTTCTTTCGCACCATACATGGCCAACCGTGCCAATAGGAGGTGCAAAAATCGCTTTCCCGAAAACAACACAATTTCAGATTTAAAAAAAAATGTCGATGGCTTTCGGCCCACAATGACGAAAGCGAGCACGCGTCGAGAAATTGTAAAACCGGGCCGGCGCCCTTGCGGCTTGACGCCGAGAGAGTTCGTGGCAAAAACGGCAACAAAAAATAAAGAAACCGGCGCGTGCGTTTCGGCGGGCAGCATGAGCTGAGCGTCGCCATGTGTGACGCGATTCTCTTCGGCAGGGCACTGCGAGCTCACCCGCCTGCTCACCTACTCGGGCTTCAACCCCCGGCAGACGGACAAGTTCCAACAGGTGGGTGCTGGAGAGCCGCGACAGCCGCCCCGTTGCACACGCGTTTGAGAAATCCCACGCGCGTGTGTGGACTTGTATATAGCCTGCGCGCGTGCGCGTGTGTACGATCGCTGCGCCGAGCGGTGGTGCAGCGGTTAGCGCGCTGCGCTACAAACCTGACGACCCGGGTTCGATTCCCGCTCATGGCCAACGCCAGGTGACGATTTTCTGATCCGGTCCTGCGCCTCCCCTAGGTCGAGTCGGCCTCAAATGAGTACCTGAGTGTCGCGGTGTGTAGTAAACATCGCCACTGGGCAGACAAAGGCGGTCGGGCGTGGTGCTGGCCACCCACCCCCTCGTGTGCCTTGCCGGACTTGGTAGGTGCTCGCTAACGGCACTTGCCCCAACAGCCTGCAAAGGCTACTCGGGGGATCTTTTGTGCGCGCATTGTGAACTGCAAGAGGCTGAAAGTAGAAAGTGATCACAAATGCACGCCAAGGGAGTTGAATTGCAAATACACGTACAGTAAACGGCGGCACAGTGCTGGGGGACATGACCTTTTGTGTTGGTTGACTGTGTGGCCGTTCCAAGCATTATAGACGTGTGTGTGAGCGCACGTGTGTGTGTTTGTATTGAGGGCGGTGGTTCAGTGGGGTCTCAAAGCGCTGCGCTGCAAACCCGGCGACCTAGGTTCGATACCCGAGTTATGGCTAACTTTCGTGGTGAATTCTATCTGAACCTGCCCTGGGCAGGTTGACTTGGCCTTAAATGAGCGTTTGGTGCATTGTCTTATTATCAGTCCCGGGAAGACAAAGCTGGCTTTTCTAGATTTGAAGCTTTCGTGACTGCAAGGATCCATACTCTTTGGTTCTATTCGGTAAAGTCACGTAGGTAAAAACACAGCTTAAAGGACGCGACCTGAGCTTGGCTGTCTTCACTCCAACGCTGTCCTCTGGACAGTACGGTCCCTTCACCTGATGAAGGCCACTTGTGTGCTATATATAGGTGCTCGGTGACAGCACCAACCCCAACTCACTCTCTCTGGCTATATGGGGAGTCGTTTTTTTAATGTATGGAGCAGTGGCATAGGTCTGAGCACATTACGCTTTGATCCTAGGCACCCGGATTCGATACCTGCTCTTGATTCACTCCACCGGTGGCAATTATAAACTTTATTTGGTTTGGGCCCACTTGTAGGTCAACTCGGCCCTAAAATCTGTCTGGTAAAAAAAAACATTTTCCTCGTCCGGTGCACGCGGTTCTGGCCACAGCAGCTTCTCGGGCACTGCTCCAGCCGTAATAGGTGCTCGCTAACAGCACTTGCCTCGGCGGTCTGTCTCTCAACGTGGGGTGCTCGCTCTGTTTGTCTTTGTGTGTGCAATCGGAACGGATTGGCCAGGTGGTGTGGGGGCGGGGGGGAGAGAATGTTGCCCTGGCAGGTATTGAGGATGTGGTGAGACTCGGGCCACGGCGATGTTTAGATGACCTATCTGATTTGGTCGCCCGGGTAACGTGCACGGTAATTGCGTAGTCGGAGACGGGAAGAGGCGGAGCACACGTTTCAGGGAGCAGATGCAAATCTGAGACGTCGTGTTGTACGTGTGTTGAACTTCTTCTTTTGCGCCGTACGTAGCTAATCAGAGGTGCGGAGGAAGGGCAACAAACTGAACACAAGGAGCAGTTCTAAAAAAATGCGTTTTCAATCTGTATGATTATAAAAGTGCACAGTTCCAGTGGCTTCCTAATATTGGAAGTAAGAGCGTTCCAGGCGACCGCAGAAGCGCATCTGAAAGCGCCGCGCGATGCGGTGACCACCGTCTGTGTTCGATGGCCAGTCAAAAGCCGCCGCTGCGAGGATGAGTTCGCGTGATGGTGGCTTATGCGACTTGACGAGATCGGCAAAGGTATCGTGGTTCATTTGTGGCAAGAAGTTTGTGTGTGCCATGAGTGCGACCTTACAATGTGTTCGCTCGGCATCAGGCACTGGATTGACGGACATGGGCGGTGTGTTGAGTTATGACCGAGTTGTAAAGTGGGCTCGGGCTGGACACGCCATGGCTAGTGGAGGGGACGGTGGCCTCTGGAACGGCAGCCAAGGGGGAGGGGACACAGCAGGGAGCGCGCGTCTGCCGTGGAGACGGAGCGATGAAATTGGCTCGTGCGGGAGCGAGGTGGATTGCCGCTCATCACCAAACGCGCACTGACCGGCGTGGTGAAGTATGGTCAACTATCCCATTTTTTTATTGATCGCAACAACAACAAAAATATGAGATGAACTCGATGAGGAGAACTCTGTATGGGCAAATCTCAGCAAGTCACTTCTTTTGGTTTGAGGCAGCATTTGTGTTTACATTGGCAAGGAATGTCAGCAATGCTTCCTCCAACAACAAATCCGTAAAAAAAAAAATGTTGCATGCCCAGCTCTACGAACACAAGCAGACGCAGTTAAATATTTGTACGAGTCCAGCCTACGTGTTCCTATCGAATCCTGCGCCCACACTCCTTGATGGTTCCGATACTCAAGACGGTCCTTCGCTTGCAGCATGTTGAGTCGCCGGAAGGAAAGAGGGGAGGAATGGTTCAGGAAGCGATTGTAAAGTTTAAAAGCAATACAGAAATGATAATTGTTATGATTTATTTTGATTAAATGATACGGAAAATATTATAATAATGTGATGGGCGGAATATTACATGGCAGGATCGTGAGAGGTGGCGAAGGTGGCGTGGGAAGGCCTTCATCCAGCAGCGGATTGACCATGGCTGTCGGTGATATAGCGGCCTCCCCCATGCCGCGTGGGTGCGCGGTTTTTATCACCACTGCGGAGCGCAGGCCCCAGGCTCAAAATCAGCATCGTTGAAGTTGTAATTGTTAATGAACTAATGTTACTTGATTTGTCAAGGTTAGTAACCTCTGTGGGGAGGATACTTTTCCATTGTCAAGGTTATTACAAGAACTCAGCGGGGGGTGGGGGGGGGAGGAACGAGACTATCGGAAGGAGGGAATTCAAAGGTGGAGCAGTACGAGGGAAGAGAAGCGTTGTGATCTGCGCTGTATAGGTATATTTGTTGAAGTTCTTTCGCACCACACATAGCCGGCCGTGCTAATCGGCGGTGCAGGCGCGGTGGCGGAACGCAGCGTGGGCGAGATGACGCGGTCGGTGTCTGGTCACTTGGTGCACCGCCGCCGACGCAGCAGCGCCACCAAATGAGTTTCTGAATAAAGAAAAAAAGAAAGAAAGGACGACCGTGGGAGGATCGTAGTGACCGGTCACAGCAAAGATCTTCAGTTTATCGGCTGCGCTCGGACGTTGGACAAAAGAGGCGGTGGCTACGCCGGACTGCCCGTGTCCACTGCGTTTGCAGACCCAAATACGAAGCGCTCAATCGTTTAGGATTTAAAAGCTGGCGCGGCGGCGGCGGCGGTGCCGCGTCGTGTCGCCGCCGTGACCATGGAGGCGACTGCGCGTGCGTCTCCGTGGCTCGAAGGAGGCGCTCCGAACAGAACGGAGCCTTCTGTTGGGCCTCCGCGTTGGCAGGACCCCGGGCGAAGGCGAAATGTCTCTCCAACCGCGGTGCACGGCAGACCTTTTAGTCACAATCAGAGCCTTTATTTAGACTGGAGGAATCCGATGAGCTGTGAAGCTCTTTTTTTGTTTAGAGATGTCCAGTAAGAGCGAGTCAGGACGTTGGTGTTTGGTGGACCACTGCTGGCAGACGGGCCACAGCCCCTCCAGGGGAGGGTATTTTGGCCGATTTTATTTGTTTTCGCTTTTGTCGTTGTGGTGGACGCGGGTCGTTCTCTTGCAAGCGAGACTCGTTCTAGGTTTCTTGAGTTCACACTTGGCCAAACAGAACAAACCTGAAACTCATCATAACAACAAAAATGAATTTTGATCCGTAAACAAGGATGCACCGATTTAGCGACGATATTTAATTCGTGCGCTCACGGTTTGAGTGACAAAATCGCGTCCGTAACGCTCCATCCGTTTACGATTCGTGCAAATTTACACCCGCGTACGCTCTTGCAAAACATCACCCATCCTGGCTCTCTAGAAAAGTGGAACGAAACGAGCGGTTAAGGCTGCGTTCGCCGGACGTGACCGCGCGCAAGTGTCTGTTCTGTTCCCCTGCGTGCTGCACAGACCCCGCTTCACCTCGCCGTGCTCAGCGGGGACCTACTCACCGTCAAGCTGCTCTGCGAGCAGGTATGTACCGTCCGGCGGGATTGACACCGTGGGTGGGGGGGGGGGGGGGTGCGGTGGGCAACCGCGACCAGAGCAGGGAGCGGTATCGGCGAATCCAGGAAAGCCTCGCCGAGTCTCGAGGCTTGTTGTCGGGAAGGTCCCGCTGCATCGGGATGTTTGGCTGATGCTGTTATTTTACTGAGCTCGCGCGGCTTCGTGCCGAGAGACCCGCCCTAATGCTCGCACGAGGGGCGGGCGTGGGGGAGGCGATACTCGGAAAACGTCTGCCGCACAGACGGATTCATGAAACCCTCCTTGTTGCACTGCCATCTCCCAGCCACGTCGCAGCTCGATAGGAGGGGGTGACGGGCAGCGGGGGAGGGGGGGTGGTGAGAGGCCTTTATCCAGCAGTGGATAGATGCATCGCCGATACTGATGATCTCCGCGTGCGTGTGCGCGCCTGCGTAGGACGAGGTGGAGCTGAACGTCTTGGATGCGAATGGGAACACGCCGCTTGCGCTGGCCCAGGGCCGCAAGTACGGTGACATCGTGGCCTACCTCACCAAGGCGACCGCGCGTTCGCGCAGCCTGCTACAGTGCTGCGACCTCAGGTGCCGCAACGGAAATCGCCATCCTGGGTCAAGAGGTCAACTATTGGCCAATCAAACAATCGAGCTCAAGCGATCACAAATGAATGTTCATTTAAATATGACGTCCAAGATTTGATTGTACCTGCAGCATTCATGATTCGGAGTTGGAAATTAGTTCCAGAAGCAGGGGGGCATGGCCACTAAGCTCCCCCCGTCCCCCCACCCCTCGTGATTTCAAACGACTTCTAGGACCCACCAAGAGGTCGGCGCTCGCCGATACCAACATGCAACTTGCAGCGTAACGTGTCGTCCGTTCCAGTAAAGCCAAACTCCCAAAACGCTTGAAAGAGCCTTGTAGGTATTCATATTCCTGGTTCTTTCGGTAAAGTCACGTAAATAGAAAACAAAAAGATTCAAATAAAATGATAATTAACTAAAAAAATAAAATATATTTTATTATTTAATTGTTTCCCTTCTACGTGACTTTACAGAAAGAAGCAAGATTATAAAATAAAACATTTTAATAATAAAAATAAAATGAAACATTGAAAATAATAAAAGCAAAAAACCCACGACGTTTCGATCGCAACACAAGCGGTCTTCATCAGGCGGAGAGAAGAGGGGGCAAGCCTCCAAATGTAGCAGCTACATTGTAGGTTGTTTGCTTTTATTATTTTCAATTAATTTTGTATTTTTAATTTACTTTCCGATGTTTATTGTGAGTTTTTTGCTTTTATTATTTCCAATTTATAATATTATTTTTTGTTATTACATTTTTATTATTAAAATTTTTATTCTAAAATGTTTTTCTTTTTTAGATTTTTTTGTTTTCTATTTACGTTACTTTACCGAAAGAACCAAGAATATAAATTCCTGCAGTCACGAAAGTTTGAAGGCCTTGTAGGTAAGCGAGCAGAATCTGCATGAGTGCATGGGGAGGCAGATGGGGGCGGCAGCGTCGAGGTAACGACCGTGGATGCCGCGAGATTTCTGCCACGCGTTCCGTGACAGGGCTCGAGCACGCGTGTCGCACGCGCGCACGCGCTGTGAGCAAGACGTCGGAGCCAATTCCATCGGTTAATTCTTCGCGGAGGTTTTCGCGACCCAGAAATTATTATTTGTGATTGGGCTTTTTGGGTCGGACTGTTTGGTCATTGCCGGAACTCGATTCGAAGATCGTATTTCATTGTTGTGTGGCTTCTACCCCCCCCACTTCCTCCCCACTCCACATGCAGGAGCCTGGTGCTGGGGCCTCCCGGGAAGTCGAAGGCCCCCGTGATGTTCTTCTACTGCACGCTGCTGCTGTGGGGTTACCCCACGTACGTCCTCCACGTGAGTGCACGGCGCGCACACTCCACCAAGCTGTCGGTTCTCTGGTAACCTCGCTCTGCAGTTGCGTTTTGACTCATCGATCCCTTGTGACTCTTTACATTATCTGTGTGTGTGTTTTTTTAGCTATGGGAGGGAAAACAGGAGAATCCACAGGAAAACTTACACAGTAGAGGGGGCACCCGGTTCGGCATTCGAACCTAGACCCATCTTGTTGCGCGTCACGAGTGCTACCGCAGCGCCAGCCCGCCGCCGCCCTCCACCCCTTTCCGCTGGACCATCGTGCGACCTCCGACCTGGCTCGTCGCCCCTTTGCCCCTGTCGCTCGCGGTCTGGTCCAGGTGCTGCCCCTGACGCTGCTGGAGATGAAGGCCGTGAACGTGACGTTCGTAACGGGGAACCTGGTCATGTGGTACTTCTTCCTGCGTGCGTCACTCTCTGATCCCGGGTTCCTCCCGCAGAACAACCCCGACTACGACCACGCCATCAAGCAGGTGCGCGCGTTCGTGCGCCGTAGCCTGGCACAAGCGCCGTGGTGACATCAACGCCACTCGGTGGCGAACGGCTGTTGTTGTTGTTGTTGTCGCGTCACGAAGCTGGGTTGGGGAGGCACACGGTGCTCAGACCGTGAACACGCTCGAGGTGCAGGGTACAGCCCTGCAACGTCCCGCTCATGCCACCGCTGGCAGAAGCGTCTCCCCAAGAGGGGGGGCGAGACGCAACGGTGGGGGATCCCTGCCCCCCCGTCCCCCCCGCGCGTTTGGTTGGCCGCCGAGAGATTGTGCCGTCGGCATTTCCATCGTTGGGTCTCCGGTGAAGTCACGTGGTCCAAAGTAAAACTCGTACGATATTCATTTCCCTGAATTATTTTCTTTTACCGAGCTTTTGCTTCTGTTTGTGTGTTTTAAAATCGGTAAAGGTGCAGCCCTGCAATTGTTTTCTCATGCCACGGCTGACGGTAGGGCCTTCTCTTCCATGCTTGCCAGATATATTGGAAGGGGTGGGTGTACCCACTCGCCGTGGTGTACCAAATAAAACTGCAGGATGGATGAAGGCTATGCGTAAAAAAAAACCCGCTGTTATATAGGTTGCTGTGGGGCTATGCCGAGGGCGGCAAAAGACAATGCAGCAAAATCAAATGTTATTCTCACCGCCTTCACGAACTCTGACCAGCGTGGTGAAGTGTGGTAAAGCAACCCCCTACGACCTGCACGGAATGGGGGAGGTGTGGTGCCGAAGATGAGGGGCCTGGAAGTTTCAGAGGCGCCGCTGCAGAATCGTCTCTCATTGAATCGTCACCCAAAGCGGTTCGGCGACATCGCCGCCCTTCTGAACTTCCGCTCCGACTAAGTGCCCCCTCCATTTTTTTAACGGCTCTCAACTAAAGTTCTCAACTAAGGTTGAAAGCCGTTAACGCATTAGCTCTGTCTGCCTCTACGCCCGCCCGTCCGTCTGTTTAAATGGAAGGGGTGCGATGTGTCTGGTAGCGACGAACCAAAACGAACGCTATGTTCCTATTAATTCGTGCCACTGCGCTTTGGGACTTTCTCGAAATGAAAAAAAAAACCCGGTCGAATTGATCAAAGTGTCGCCCGAAATTTAAAGACGCGCAAATTGAGCACCGAAAGGACAAACGCGTGCCAGAAATCGTTTGGGGAATCCATGCGTGCGCATGATTTTTATTCCTCGTTTCAAATGATTTTTTCGTATTTTTTTTTTTACCACCACGGCGTGCGCATCTACGCGAGAAGCGGGGGTGATTAATGGCGTGGCCACTGAGGCGGCTGCGGCGATGGCGGCGGCGTTTCATGTAGCCGCCGCCTTAAGGACGACCTCAAAAACCCTCCGCAGACCCCTCCCTCGAGCAGTGCCCACTACCCTCGGTGCAGCCTCCAGACGCTCTCTCGCTCCCTGAGCTCTCCCCTGCATCCGCTCCCCCTCCCCGCCCTGACTTAATTCCCTTACCAGCTGAGACACTGCTCAGCAGATAAACGCCAAGGTCAGGGAGATTGACCGACACTGGCGTCCATCAAATTCCACTCTGTGCAGTCTCCTTAACGACAAACGATTTGCGTGTCGGTGGGCAGTTAGTAGCACAGTTGTAGGGTGCATTGAATGTACTCTGTAGGGTATTGAATACGGGTGACAGGACATACACAGCTATCTGTAGCATTGCGTGTGTGTGTGTGTGTTTCACTTGGCCTCAAAACGCACCTTGCCTGGTACAAGCGCTGTGGTGAATGGCAGCTGTCAGCATTTTTTGGGTATTTATATATTTAGATATCTACTGTACAATAGATGTATTGTACAGTAGGTGCCCTGGTTGGAATTTTGACATGTACAGCACTTTGCGATCTTTCGTTGAAATGCGCTGTATAGAGATAAATTACGAGTATTATTATCAGTGCATTCAGAATTTTTTGTGCTGCATCATCTGCGGTGATTTCCCCCCCTCCCCGCCCACCCCCACATACGGTATTCAAGTGACTTAATCATATTTATAAATTCATCAAATTGATCAACAATGTGCGACTTACCCACACGTGTGATTCTGGTGACTTTCGAGCCGTTTCTATTTTAATCCGGCCGTGTAATGTCCTGCGTCACCAGAATGTTTAAATCCATTCTGTCCGATCGACTTCACCCAGGCTCTGTGGGCAGCCGTGGTTTCCCCTTTCAGCAAAAAAAAAAAAACTGGGAGTGAAATTCCAGGTGGTCCCTGCCAAGATGGAAATGTGCCCTTGGAAGTGACACGAGTCTAAATAATCATCATCATCATCAACATCAATCGTGGTCAATCCACTGTTGGATGAAGACCTCCGAAATGCGTCGCCATCCCCATCGTGTTCCGACTGCAGGTGAAAGATCATTCAACTATTTTCTCTGACGACGACCCTTGATGATGACGTTGATAATGATGATAATGTCTCAACTACTAAACTAGGGTGAAATGCATGACAATGCCGATACTAGGCTAAAGCTGAAATCACACGTTGCCCTTTTCATGCTTTGCTGTTGCTTTACACTGTTTTTGTTGTTTGTAACGAAGTAAACCACATTTATATTCATATACACACATAGATATACCTATATATGTAAATACCAAAATGCCATGTTCGGTCTTGCTCAGCCCCCGCTGCCTCGAGAACATTATCCTGAGTTTCAAACGACACGCAGGAAAACGCGTACAAAACGTCCGTCTTGCTCTGCGTCCTCGGTCAGGCTCGTTGGTTTTAGTTGGCGTCAGTCGGCCAACGCTTTGGCCGACCCCCCCCCCCCCCCCCCCCCCCCCGCCGGCGAGCAGCCGCAGCCATCGTCACGGTCGACTATTGTCGTCCGCCACTCGTCCGTGCGACAAAAACAGTTAAAATGAGAAAGAGAAAAAAAAAAAAGCAACGAAAAACCGCTTCGTCTCGGCAACATTCCCCTCGACCGACGAAATCGCCAACCGCTCGTGCGCGCGGAACGCCTGCGCAGATGGCGCGGTACGCGGACTGCGAGCACGCGGCGTCGGCGCTCAGCCGGCTGTGCCACACGTGCCGCCTGGTGCGCCCGCTGCGCTCCAAGCACTGCCGCGTGGCCAACCGCTGCGTGGATCACTTCGACCACTACTGCCCCTACGTGTACAACACGGTCGGCTTCCGCAACAGGTGAGGGCTGGTGCGACGCGGTGCGACGCGGTGCGACGCGGTGCGACGCGCTGTTGTGGTGCGGCGCGACACGGCAAAGGGACTGAGACGGGGGAGGTGGGGGGTGGCACTCCTAACCAGGGTGCCGCCCCCCCCCCCCCCCGCCTTAAGCCAGCAAAGACCGTCAGCGTTTACTGAAGAACTGCATTGCGGTTCTCTTATCTTCGGTCACCGCCCAAATACATTTGAGCAAATGTGAATGACCGACAGGCAGCAGCGATAGACAACGGTGGACCAGTTTCGTGATTCGTCAGCACGGGGTAGGGTCACCAGTGCTCGCTGCTGCCAAGTCTGCCTCTGGGAACCGTATTTGTGCAGTGCCCCACTTCCACATGAGCTTGGCCAGCGGCCTGCCCTTCTTCTGCTTATGGTTGGCTTTGCCTGCGTTTTGCAGATTTTTACTTCAGCCAGGTCAACATCAGGGTGATGGGTTGCTTCAACGCAATCGTTCTCTCAAGGAATTGTGCAACTTAGTCACCTGCCATGCCGGGCAGGGGAAGTCGATTCCAGTGGCAGGGAGCAAGGGGTGAGAAGGACCGAGAGCGGGATTGGGCGCGGCGAGAAGGCTGTGGATCTCACAGCGCGTGCCCCCACAGGTTTCACTTCTTGGGCTTCCTGGCGACCATGTCGCTCAACTGCTGGCTGGGCGTGCACATGACGTGGTCGGTGCTGTCCTGGTATGGCCGCGACCTCCTCCTCTTCGCCGGTCTCCTCTTCCTCTGCGTCTTCGGCACCATCTCTGGCGGCATGACCATCGTCTGTGTAAGCCGTGCGGCGCCGCGGTGGCCCCGATGGCGTGCAGTCGCTCGGAATAATAATCGTTTACGGCACTTTGTCAATCCACTGCTCGTTTCTATTTTACGTTGCGCGATGAAGAAGGGAGGTTGCCCGAAACGCTGCCTCTCGTATATATTTTCTCTCTCCCAAACGTCCCCGCCCCCCCACCCACCACAGCTGTACATGGCGGGCACGAACACGACGACCAACGAGCGGATCAACGGCATGCGCTACGACTACATGAAGGATGAGCACGGCCGCTTCTTCAACCCCTTCGACCGTGGCGTCGTCGCCAACCTCCTGGAGTTCGTGGGGGCCGTGCGGCCGCTGGGGGAGGCCGAGCTGCAGCGGCGTCGGCGTCGTCGCGACGGCGGAGTCTCGCTCGTGTGAGCGACGGCCGCGGTGACGACGCCGCGGTCGTCGCCTCTCTCGCCGCCTCCGCACGGACGCCGGAGGAGCCCGGGACGAGCGGGGGGGGGGGGGGGGGGGGGGCGGGGAGGGGGAGCGGGGGGGGGGGGGGGATGGCGGTGGAGCTGGCAGGAAGCAGGAAGGAGCGGGGGGAAGCGAGAAGTGGGGGAAAGCTGGGGGGAAGCGAGAAGCGGGGAGAGAGCAGCGGGGAGGAAGGGGGGGAAGTGGGGAAGGAGCGGGGGAAAGCTGGTAGGAACGGAGTGGGAAGGAGTTGGTAAGATTGAGGAGAGGTGAGGAGGAATTGGGATAGCCTCGGAAGAGCATGGAGGAACAAGAAGTGAGGAGGAGGAGCTATCCATCTCCTCCGTGGATCCAGAACGGAACTTCGGAGAGCGCGTGGGGAACAGGCTGAAATCAAAGGGAACCAAATCTAAACGATCTGCATCCAGCGTGGACTTTGCCGTAAGCAGCAGGTGGCAGCTATCAGTGTTTGTCTTAAGACCGCAAGCAACCGCGATCCTTACAACTCTTGAGCAATGTACAAAAGCACAGACATTATTTCGGATGAATGTTAAGCGTAATTAATGATCACATGCGCGTATGAATAGTTTCGTCTATGCATTTTGGGAATACTTAATCGTTTATTGGGACGGTTTGTCGGTACGGCGATGCGTCGTGAAATTTGGCAGCCGAGGGCCGGACGATTGGATGGGAGGCATGTGGGTTTCGTGTGCGAGTGAGTGTGTGTGTGGGGGTGGTGCGATGGTCTCTGTGTGCGAGCGTCATAACGCGTAATCTCTATGCAACGCAAAGCAATAACGTGGAATTTCAAGGGAATTTGCGTTACCTGTAACTTGCCTTATTTATTTCGTATTATTATTTTTGGTCCAAAATATAGAGACACGTGTGTGTGTGTGAACATTTTACAAATTGCCTCTGCGAGAAGTGTAATTCACCACTGTTTCAAACAAATATATACGAGAATAAACCAAATTTTCTACGCCATCTTTGTCGCAAGCGTGTCATACTTTGTTGAAGCAATGAAATGCAGGCAGGGTCCCCTTATGGTTTCGTGAAAAACCACTTGCTGTCCTGGAAGTCGCTTTGCTTATATTTAGGGATGTTCGCTGGATAAAAGGTTTATTTGGGCCGGGACTTTGAAATAAACGTTGAGGACATTCACGCATCGCCGTGTACCGCACTTGTAAATGTGCATTTGTACCACGTCTCTGAGCCAAATTTCAAAATTAAAACATGTGCACAGGTATGCGTGCGCAATGTTCACTATACTGTAGAGTTGTCGGTGTACTTTATAAGTATGCTGTGACGCGTATGATCGTTATCTACGGGGGGAGAGGTGGGGCGCCTAACATAACGCGATCTGTGCTGTACAGAGAGTCTGGCCTCATCGTCCCCTGTTCCTCCCCGGCCACACCACGGGGTGTGACCTGAGCCCAAGTGGTGAGTTTACACGTCATCGTCAAAATCATTTTGCGCTTCTGCGGCCGTCTGGAACGCTCTTCCTTTCCGATGTTAGGAAGCCACTGGAGCTGTGCGCTTTGAAACCATCCAGATTGAAAACTCATTTCTTTCGGAACTGCGTTTTGTGTTCTAAGCTTGTTCTCCCCCCGCACCTCCGATTAACACGGCTGGCTACGTACGGTGCGAAAGAAGTTCAACGTACAGACGAACATCAGCCGTGGTCAATCCGCCTCTGGATGAAGACTTTTGTCAAGCCATCGCCGTCTTCCACGTTCCTGTGATGAACCAATCCACCCAGCACCTGCACACGAACTGATTTATATCAAGATGGGGGAAGGTAATGGGCTGCTTCTCAAAACAAGCACACTTATATAAGCGTACGTGGCCTCGCCCCAAGGTGTGGACTTATATCATTGTTCAAGTGATTTTCTAATCAAAGCCGTCACTTGAACCAGATCGGGCAACTCCAGTTGTCTGGAATTCACTCCCTCCTCTCTCACTGCCTCACTCACAGCTGTGTCGGTGTTCACATTGCGTCAAAATCTGGACATGTCTCTCTCTTTAATTGATTCTCACGTGCCTCTTCAACGTCCCTATTAAGGTCGATTGTGTGCACGTTTATGAGTTTAATAACGAATGAAACAAATAAATTGTAATGATTATAACGATGATAATGCAGAATAAAAGTTGTGCGCTGTTGTTAACGTTTCCCATTTGTTTAAATAAATTGCAGAAAACGGTGAATATTATTTAACTTTAAAAAAAAAAAACCCATTTTGTATGTATGTTTAATATATATATTTTTTATCTTAGCCAACGCACATTGACCGGTGTGCAGCGCAGTCAAACAGCCCCCATGACCGACACGGTACAGGGAGGGCCTTCATCCATCAGTGGATTGACATGGGCTGTAAACTATTATTATACTTTTTATTGCATTTCCCAGTCCATTCAGAAATACAATGCTTACGAAATCGCATTCTGCTCTGTGAAAAATAAATAAAGCAGCAGTCAGGGTTTAAATCGAAAATTTCAGAATCTTGTAAAAAAAAACCCCGTCATTTTTATAAAAAAAAGATAAAAGATTAAATAGGACACTTGGAGAGTGTGTGGGGCAGTGTGCTCTGCTTCGCCTACGACCAAATGATTTGGACCAAATGACCCAAATCAAATGACCCCCATCTCGCCAGATCTTTGCATCAAAGCATGGTCGAACTTGGATAATTCTGGGATGGGCACCCACCATGCATAACAGATTGCTATTGGTTGCTACGGGCCGCAGAGTGCATTGCAGCAACATCCACTGCTGTACACTTTGCTTCTAGACTCCAACGTCTATGCTCACCGACCCGCACGAACCAGTGTGGTGATGTATTGTCAAATCACTCCCACGACCTCCACGGTGTGCATGGGGAGGCCTTTTATCCGGTAGTGGGCTGACGTGGATTTTTCCAGTAGAAATACATATTTTGATTCTCATGTATGCTACACCGTGCTTCATCGTGACAAAATTAATTGCGTGCCCCTCTGCAATTCTTACAAAACGCTCTCAAAAGCGAACAGAGACGCGAGACGTGTTGCGTTACCACCGCCACCACTGACGCGAGGCATTGGAAAGCCAAGCCAAAGCTTTGGGTACTACCGTCATCCTCGCAGCAGCGGCTTTTGGCTGGCCATCGAACAAACACGGCTACCACATCGCGCGCTTTTAAACGCGCTTCTGCGGCCGTCTGTAAATGTTCTTCCTTTCGATATTCGGAAGCCACTAGGAGCCATGCACTTTTAAATCTAGATTGAAAAACTAATTTCTTTAGAACTGCGTTTTATGTTTAGTTTGTTGTCTTTGATCCGCACCTCCGCTTAACACGATTGGCTATGTGCTGTACATAGAAGTGTCTCAAAGGGGTTTTAATTTATTGAAAAATAGTAGCGCATCAAACACGTGCTTACATTTCAAAATCCTAATCAACATAGTAGGCTGATTAACGTGTGAAGCATAGTATTACTATTATCTCTCTCATCTGTAGCTTGTCGACATACGTCTTCTCTCATCGAGCCAATTAAAACTGGGGCCCTTTTAAATATAAATACTCAGGGCCGCAAATTCCCAGGACCACCAATTCCCAGGACCACCAATTCCCAGGTCACCAATTCAGAGGGCCACCAATTCACAGGGCGAGCAATTCCTAGGGTCACCAATTCCCAGGGCCACCAATTCTCAGGGCCACCAATGGGGTTGATTGTGTGAAGGCATTGTGTGAATGGCGCTTATATCAACTAAGTTTTAACTTACTTACTTTACCAGTGTCCGCTGCCTGCCTGTTGTTGGTGATATGAAGCCAGTCACTCGCACAGAGAAAGTTGGATTGACACGGGGACTCCAAACGGCCACGTAATCCCACGGAGGCTCACGCCCTGTGTGCACAAGCGTCGTGACTTGTTCACGGGGAATTCCCCCCCCCCTCCCCACGGCTCACTTTCATCTGACGCCACGCCGTCACCGAAATAAGGTCTTGTGCAATAAGACCTGCGCCGCCGCACAGCCGCGTTAACTGCTCAAAAAGAATGCATTTGAACCGACTGTGAAGGTTTACAACGTGCGCCGGGCCGCTTTAGACTTTGGCCGAACGAAATGCTGAGGTTGCTCTCTCGAACTCGCTGCGCAAGCGGAGCCTGTTCAAATATTTGACGTTTTCACACTCTGCGGTACTATTTACGGGAGTTGCTTGTGAGGTTTGATGTTGCAGTAACCGCCACATGTAAGGTTCTTTAGTTGGAAAGTGGATAGCAGTCGGTGCCTTACGAATTCAAACCCTTTCGGGATTTGACACATTTGCACAATTTGGCATCAACGAATTGAGTCGGAGAACCATTTTTTTTGTTACCGTCGTGGTTAATTGTAGCGGGCCCTATAGGGGGTCACGTGAACCATCATCAGGCACGATCTATCCATTGCTGGATGACGGCCCCTCTCCAAGCTGTCTCGCCATCTCTGACGGCCTCGTGTTGTCACAATCCAGTTAGCTGCCGCACACGAGCTGGAGAATGAGAGCTACCTTTCACCGAGCGAAGGTCGACTGGGTGCTTGGAACAAGAAAGCATTGGCTACTGGAGCGGAGAGTGTGTGGAGAGGAGTAGAGTGAGACGAGAGGGGAGAGGCAGGTGAGTGCGTGGTGGAGGGGAGTAGAGTGAGATGAGAGGGGAGAGATAGGAGAGTGCGTGGAGGGGAGTAGAGTGAGATGAGAGGGGAGAGGTAGGAGAGTGCGTGGAGGGGAGTAGAGAGAGATGAGAGGGGAGAGGTAGGAGAGTGCGTGGTGGAGGGGAGTAGAGTGAGACTGGCCATGGGGATGGGGGGGGGGGATGAAAAGTGCCTAACAACCTCCAGTAGGTTGTTATGTAAACAATACTGCCTCCGGTATTACATGCGCTGCACGTATGAGACGATTTAGATTTTCTTGCTGCCTATCAAACTTCTCGCACGTAGACCGCAAGCCACAGCGTGGACACATTCGCAGGCATTGACGCCGATGGACGTTGCCCTGTCTTCTTCGTATGTTGTTGTTGTTGTTTCCCCTGCGGCTGTGTCCATCTGTCCCGCGACAAACACAACGTTCAACCACAGCCTCAAGCGGGCGGGCTCGCTACCAACAATTGCCGGCAGTGCCGTCCAGAGTGGGGGGGGGGAGGGGGATGTGAAGGGGACACGGGGCAAATCACCACTGACGCGAGCCCCCCACGACGCAGGGTTGGCTACATGCGGTGCGAAAGAAGACTCGAACTCGGGTGGCCGGGTTCGTAGCGCGGCGCGCTAACCACTGCACCACCGCTCCCCACTAATACGAAGTCACTGGTAGCGCATGCACAACGTGCGACTCCGCTGCCACCTACCTGTTAAGGGGCCGTCCATAAATGATGTCACGCACCTGGGGGGGGGGGAGGGGGGGGTCAGACATTTGTGACGATTTGTGACGAGAGGGGGGGGGGGGTTTGAGAAATGTGACGTCACATCAAAATGCGCAACTTTAAATAAATATAGACAACACGTTCTACTTAATTAAATAGACTTTTTAATACATGTTCTCTCCTACAACATCAGAGTGTACTACAATGACAAAAGTTTAAAGCGATTTGAAGCATGTTTTTTTTTAGGGGAGGGGGGCAGAGCTTTGTGACGTCATATTTGAGGGGGGGGTCAAAAATCGTCCAAAATCGCGTGACGTCATTTATGGACGGCCCCTAAGTTGCGTTGCGATGGCCACCGGCCCACAGTTAAATAGTTGAGTGAAGTGGGACTCCCAGGGCACGTGCAACAACGTGTCTAGCATGTGGTTTTCGCTTCATCCGTTTGGTGAACTTTCCGCGTGAACGAGTTTCGGCGATGCTGCCGGTTTCACGTGGGGCACAATACGACTGAGGTGCGCGTCGTTTCCCACGCGGAGAAATTTTCTTTTTTTTAAGGAGACCCCACGACCTTGGGAGGTCGTGACTTCTCAACCGGGACAGAAAACACACGGCAGCGGACGCCGATTATATTCCGCGGTCCCAGCCAAGGCTGAGAATGATGTAACCTCAGGAGCTATTTCTATTCTCGCGTATCCGTATACAGTACTGTATGTTGGACTTCTTTCGCACCGCACGTAGAACAACCGTGCTCATCGGAGGCGCGTCTCTCAGCAATACCTTCAGGACCTACATTTACAATTGTCAAGGTCCGCTAGGCGCGAGAGGGCTTCAGGAGATAGTTCGTGTAATTGTCCCACTGAAGGGGCTCAGACGACGGCGGTTGACTACATGGTCCATCGTTTTGCTTGGTTGCATGGACACAATCGCACTCCAGTACCGTGGCTTGTATCTTTAACTTTCCGTTCACATCGGAGACGTGCCCATCAGGCCTGCTGTCGATGTCCTGGTGCGGTTGATGGTTACACCACCGCCGGCGTCGTCGAGGACGAGGAATGTAAAAGCCAGGAGGTTGCGATGATGTTTGGGTCTCAAAGTGAGGTGGTGGTTATTATTCTGAACGTCCGCGTTGTTCCCAACTCTGCTCGCGAGCAGAGCCCTTGCAGATTTGGCCGAGATGGCAAAAAATCCCCGCCGCTTGGACCCGTTTTTGTCTGGCAGCACGGTCAGGGCTCAAATGTCTCGCCAAGTATTTGTCGGGCCGCTGGGGAGACTGGAGTAGGTGGCACGTGATGTGTAGCCACGGCTCATAGCGTGCGTTAAGCTGGATGTGGGGTAGAAATATTTTCCGGGACAGCTGAGCACGATCATCCATGCGAAGAGCAGAGCGAGCGTGCGTTAGGTCTCACAAAATGCCACGGCACGCTCAGTTGAGGTTAAATTCCCCAAATGTGTGCGTTGAGTCTATTTTAGTGGCCACTTATACAGAATTATTTTAACTTAAATGTGCATTGTCACACAACTGTCAGCGTCTCTCTCTTCGACGGTAGTTTTGCGTCTGACAGCAGTGACGAGTGTGGCCTCTGCGGTGAAATTCGAATTCTGATAAAATAACAAAATTCGCAAAAGTAAAACAAATGGGAGAAAAAAACCTCCCAAGATGCGTTCATTCTGGGCCCTGTTGCACTGACTACACACTTGATATCTAGCGTTCATTCTGGGCCCTGTTGCACTGACTACACACTTGATATCTAGCGTTCATTCTGGGCCCTGTTGCACTGACTATACACTTGATATCTAGCGCTCATTCTGGGCCCTGTTGCACTGACTACACACTCGATATCTAGCGTTCATTCTGGGCCCTGTTGCACTGACTACACACTTGATATCTAGCGTTCATTCTGGGCCCTGTTGCACTGACTACACACTTGATATCTAGCGTTCATTCTGGGCCCTGTTGCACTGACTACACACTTGATATCTAGCGTTCATTCTGGGCCCTGTTGCACTGACTACACACTTGATATCTAGCGTTCATTCTGGGCCCTGTTGCACTGACTACAGACTCGATATCTAGCGTTCATTCTGGGCCCTGTTGCACTGACTACACACTCGATATCTAGCGTTCATTCTGGGCCCTGTTGCACTGACTACACACTCGATATCTAGCGTTCATTCTGGGCCCTGTTGCACTGACTACACACTCGATATCTAGCGTTCATTCTGGGCCCTGTTGCACTGACTACACATTCGATATCTAGCGTTCATTCTGGGGCCTGTTGCACTGACTACACACTCGATATCTAACGTTCTTTCTGGGCCCTGTTGCACTGACTACACACTCGATATCTAACGCCACTGAATTTTATTTTCCACGACCATCAAGCGCTTGATTTTGCCCTGATTTTTATTTTGCATCGTCAGACTGGATTTCATTTGTTTTGATTTTGTCAATCTAGTCACCAAGGTCACTAGCCTGGGTCTTTGGAGTGATCAACCAGTAATAATAAAAAAAAAACTTTACTTGATTTGTAGAAATTACACTAATCAATGCTGCATATGTTGAGCAAAGCCCATCACAGCGGAATAATAGTGCAGTCCAGAAAACCATGAGCTTCAAACAACACAGCACTAAAGGTTACACGAACGCTGTCGGGACCGATATTATGGATTCATAACTGATTCTTGGGTCGGATCGCGTAAGCAAACAGTGTGAATTCAGGCCCAAGATTGGAGGACATTTTCACCTTTCTGCAACCGCCTGACGATGCTAAATGCAAAACGTCGTAACAGGGTATTTGGCTGCTATAAATGTCCACATGATAAGCCACTTTGTTGAACTTTCATGCGTGGCCAGGTCGCTTCTGAAAAAAAAAATCGACATAGTTGAGTGGAACTAAAGCAGTAAAAACATTGGCTACACTTTAACAAGTAAGCAACCAATATTATCCATAATAGAGGGTTTTTTTAGGGTGAGATCGCATCAGTATAAATGTCTGGTGGCGGGTTTAACGGCATACATTTACGTGATCTAACCCATAAAAACCCCCATTATGGACATTGGGACACGTTGGTCCACTTGACAACCCTTATTCATTGTCTGCGTCGGCTGGAGGAGGATTTCAGACACACGCGGACAATGTACTCAACTCGATCTGCCCCTTAAAAACTCAATCAATTATGAACAACTGCCAAAAGCGATGACAACCCATTGCTCGTTCCAGTAGAGGGCGCAATCCCCATTCCCTCGACGGGTGTGAAGGCGGGCAGCACCAGAAGGAGGGAGGCGGAAGGTCGGAAGGACGTGGGAGAGGAAGGAGGAGTCCACAGTTGTTTTGGCCACCACCACCAGCAAGCAGCAGCAACAACAACAGAAACAACAGAGGCGGTCATGCTGTGTGCTGTGGCCCCTCGGAGAGCGAGAGCTTTGTGCTGCGGGGTCGCCTGTCCTCGGTGGCGCGCGAGGGCCCCCCTCGGGAGCCAGGGCCCCAGTGGGGCCCCAGGGGCCCCGTGGCCCGGGGTTCGATGGGGAAGCGACGACGCAGCGCTGCGCGTCGGTTGCGCGTCCGCGTTCTGGGGAGACACGGCCACCGCAGGTACCTTGCCATGTGATGCTTCTACTGCTGCTGCTACTGCTGCTGCTACTACTGCTGCTACTGCTGCTTCTACTGCTGCTACTGCTGCTTCTATTGCTGCTTCTACTGCTGCGTCAGCTGCTGCGTCAGCTGCTGCTTCTGCTGCTGCTTCTACTGCTGCTACTGCTTCTACTGCTGCTACTGCTTCTACTACTGCTTCTACTGCTGCTACTGCTGCTTCTACTACTTCTGCTGCTGCTTCTACTGCTGCTGCTACTGCTGCTTCTACTACTGCTGCTGCTTCCACTGCTGCTGCTACTGCTGCTTCTACTGCTGCTGCTACTGCTGCTTCTACTGCTGCGTCAGCAGCTGCTTCTTCTACTTCTTCTGCTGCTTCTGCTTTTGCTGCTGCTTCCACGAATTGATGTCGCTTCGTACGCCACTTGCGTGTTCACCACACTTCCCACTGATCGTGGTGTGGTGGTGGTGGGATCGATCGAGTTTCGATTCGTGTGCGTGCGCGGTTGTGGCTTGGAGGCAGTCGCCCTCCAGCAACAACGGAGGGCAGAGGAGCGACGCTCACAACAACAACCAGCGGCTAAAACTCGAGAGAGTTGGCACAGTTGGTGCACTCAGACAATCATCTCAGCCCGTCAGCCCGTGGGCACCTGGGTCTTCGACACTTCACGTGGCCTCAAAGTGCACCTAGCCTGGCACAAGCGCCGTGGTTGACTTGGTGGTGAACGGCGGTTGTTGAAGTTGTGACCCCACCCCCCCCCCCACGATGCAGCCGCATTCACCACCGTGTAGCAATTAGCAATGCGATGATTATTATGATTCTATGGTTCTTTCGGTAAAGTCACGTAGATATAAAATAAAATAATTAAAAGGAAAATATAAAAATATATTAAATACATAAAAAAACTCACAATGAATTCCTGCAGTCACGAAAGTTTTAAGTCGCGATTTTTTGTTTTAGAAATAAGCAAGTATTGGAGACTCGGTGTGGCTATCCTAGAGAAACACAGGGCATTGATATGCTGTTATAATTATAATGCACGCGGTAAAGTGTAGCCACAGATTGCAATGTTGTGACCCTGATTTAGAGTTAGTCACCTCTCACCCAGTTCACTCCAACCCAGTTTCAGTCCCTGGACACAATCCAGACTTGTCGAAAGTAAAAAAAAACCACTAAGCCACGCTAGCTGCAGCTCATTGTCACGTTTAAGCAACGAGCTTTCACGCACCTGATGATCGGTAAACATGTCAACGCACGCCCTGTTGTGCTAGCTTGCGATATCTTTTGAGAGGTTTGCAAAAGTCAGGGCTATCTTAGTCGCGCGCGGCACTGTCACTTGCAATTGCATTCGATTCCCTTGCAACGTTTCGCTAACTTAAGTGCCATTGCATGTTGATCAGTTCGTGATTTAACGTTGATTTACGTGCGTGCAATATTTTTTAGATTTCTCACGTGATAGTTTTTTGCTTTCATTTCTATCGGCTGTTTTTGATGTACAGTATTGTACTTTATTGTTTCGTCGACTCAGGTCACGCTTGCAAATGGGGCTCACGTGGTCTCTTGAGCTCCCCATCCCTTTAAACATAATTAACCTCATTCATAATAAAGGTTTTTGGGTTAGATCGCGTTTATTTATAAATGTGTCGTAACCCTCCACCACCCGACACGGCCAATCAGCAAAAAAAAGTGTCACGTTGACAAAGGACAAATAATTCACTACTTCAGCCCACCGGTGTGTTGAAGAGTTAATCCACATTTACAGTTTGAGTACGACGTTTCGCTGGTAAATACATACAGCATCATCAAGCAATTCGCCAGAATTCGCCAGAATGGCGAATTCGCCAGAATGGCGAATTGCTTGATGATGCTGTATGTATTTACCAGCGAAACGTCGTACTCAAACTGTAAATGTGGATTAACTCTTCAACACACCGGTGGGCTGAAGTAGTGAATTATTTGTCCTTTGTCAACGTGACACTTTTTTTTGCTGATTGGCCGTGTCGGGTGGTGGAGGGTTACGACACATTTATAAATAAACGCGATCTAACCCAAAAACCTTTAATATGAATAAGATTGGTCGCGAAAGCCTACGTGTTAAACTGATAATTAACCTCAACTTAAAACTTGGCAGAATCAGCCGGGAGTTATAAGCAGTAGGCTGGCTCAAGGTCAAACCAATGCGACCGCTCACTGGGCAGGGCTAGTGAGTGAGTGGGCGTGGCTTTGCAAGAGTGGGCGGGGCTGACAGCTCACCATGTGTGTCCCAGTTGAGCCTCCCAGATTTTTGATATCTTTACATATCTCTGCCATGCGTTTTCGTGTGTGTGTGTGGTAGGGTAGCGGTTAAGGAGGCTCGTGAAATACACTACTGGGCAGTTGGAGGCAGTCGCCCTCCAGCAACAATAGATGGCAGAGGAGCGACACTCACAACAACGAGCAGAACGCGGGGTGGCTAAATCACAGCAAGTTGACACAGTCGGGGGCACAGGTGGTGCATCGGCCAGTTATCTCAGTGATTCAACCCATGGCACCTGGCTCTGCCCCGTGACCTCCTGCCAGTGGGAGTTCGACACTTCACGTGGCCTTAATATGCACATAGCCTGGCACAAGCGCCATGGTGACGTCACCCCCACGTAATGGTGATTGATGTTGGTAGCAGTTATTGCTACGCTGCGCTACAGACCCAGTGCCCCGAGTTCGATTCTCGCTCGCGGCCAACACCAGAGACGATTATCTGAAACCGGTCCTGGGCCTACCCTAGGTCGACTCAGCCTCAAATGAGTACCTGGTGCGCTGTGTAAACATCGCCACTAGGGAGACAAAGGCGGCCGAACGTGGTGCGGGCCACCCACTCCCTCGTGTGCTGTGTCGGCCTACGTAGGTGCTCGCTAACAGCACTTGCCCCAACAATCTGTTACAGCTACACGGGGCATCTTTGTTTTGTGTCCCCCCCCCCACCTACCAGTACCGCAACTGGTGCACGGCGGCCGGCTGGACTTCCTGGTGTTTGACTACCTCTCCGAGATCACCATGTCCCTCCTGGCCAACGCGAAGAGCAAGGCGCCGGTGAGGTCACCCAAACGTGTGCGCCTTGCACATCCCGGCTGCACTTGGCAGTCGTGAAAGTGAATTTGATCAAATACATAAATAATCGCGAGGTGTAGCCTGCCTGGTAGCTCAGGGAACGAGGCACCTGAGATGTCACCTTCTGAGACTCTTTGGGTTCTCGAATCCAGCTCCAGAGAATTTAAACGTCGGTTCGGTTGACATTGGCAGGGCCTTGCAAGTGCGTGCCCTTCATGCGGATAAGGAGCCAGCCATATCTATGGAATTGAGCTGCAGAGATCCGAATGGAGACTGCTTCATCTCATGACATGATGGTGATAAAAAAACCGTTAACATTATTGTTACGGGATGGGGGAAATTTGCAGGTTATAGATGGATATAATTCACGGTGTAGGATTTCACCAAAGCAAGGGTTTGGTGGTACGTGTCACATTTCTAAACATTGCCCCAAAAGGGGAAAAAAACCCCATAATGGCCCGTTATTGATGAGTGTGTTAAGTTGTGTTCGTTATTTATGCCTGTCAACCACTGCCATCACAGTATCACCGTACCATGTCACAGACATTGAACATGAATCCAAAGGGTCACCCCTGAAACACAATTGGCGTGCTCTGCAACTTTGTGTGCCTGTCTGCTCATCATCTCAGCTACCCCCACGCGTGTGTGTGTGTGTACGGGTGTAATATTACTACTACTCGACCTGTCCTCCTGTGTGTGTGTATTATTTATTACGAACCCAGCGACCCGCCTTCGATTACTGCTCACGGCCAACACATCAGTGACGATTATCTGAACTAGTCCTGGACCTCCCGTCGGTCGACTCAGCCTCAAATGATGAGTACCTGGTGCGGTGTGTAAACATCAGCACGGGGGAGACAAAGGCGGCCGGGTGTGCCACGTCCGACTTAATAAGTGTTACTTGCTAACAGCACATGCCCTAACAGTATGGTAAAGTCTATATGGGGGATCTTTTTCTTTGTAATATTAATACCAGTCACGTGTCACCTGCGTGTGTGTGTGTGTGCTGCACCAGAACATGGGGTACACGCCTGACTTTGTGTACGCTGCAATGGCTCCGTTCATCAAAGACATCCACAAGAGGGGTGAGGAGCTCGGATTGCAGCTCTCCAGCGAGAGTTAAGGTTGCACCGCGTGTTGTTCGCCACGATTTCCGACGTTGGCCTCCACGCACCCGAGGGTTCTTCGGGAACCGAAGCTTCTAGCTCAGTGGTGGGCAACGTGGGGACCAGTGGGCGGCATGCGTCCCGTGGAGCCCCTGGTGGTGGCCTGGTCTGCGTGCGCCTCGGGTGACGCGTGGGGCTACGGTTAGCGCACGAGCACGACGTCAAGCCTGCGGCCCAGTGAGGTGAAGGAGGGCTTCTCGTGTGGCCCACTTAACGCGTCTGGGTTGCCCGTCACGGTTCTAGCTCATGGGGCGTTCAGCACTTCGAAAGATTTCTTTAAGGAAGGCGTGATGATCGCGGTGGCGATGGTGATGATGGGGATGATGGTATAGAGGTGGCCTAGAGGTCAGAGTGCTGAGCTCAAGGGATCCTGGGTTCACATCCAATTTCATCTGCCACCGATTAAACCAGGTTGTCAAGCGTAGTGAGTTGGTCTCAGCATGGTCACCAAGTGACTGCACAAAAAAAAACTTCGTAGCATTGCCTTGGGTTCTGCATTTCATTTGGCGAAATTCCAGATGACATTGATTTGACCGTCATGTAACAAACATTGCTCTCGGTTGCATGGGGCAGGTGGGAAATTACCGCCCTCTACTGTGTGGACCGGCGGTCACTTGAAGGGATTTCCGAGGTAGTTCTCCGACATCCGCTGCTGTAGACCATCCTCTAACACAAACGCTTGCTTGGTCTCCCGACATGACCCTGTTGTATCTCGCAATCGGATCAAATCGGGGAAATAAAAGAAGTGATGATGATGATGATGATTGGTGTCTTTACCCGCACCTCCGGTTAGCACGGATTGGCTCACGCACGGTGTGCGAAATAAGTTCAACGTACATATACGTACGTGATGACGACAGTAACAGTGACGATGCATCTGACGGACAGCCACAACAACAGTAGCTGGGCTGCTGGCGGTCGTGCGGCGTCTCGGCCGCGCGAGCTTCCGTCGGGGATGTGTGCCGAGCGTGCCGCGTGTGTCCGCCGCGCCTTGCCGACGCCGCAGGCGTGCGCGTGGTGAGCAACGCGGGCGGCATGAACCCGGAGGCGTGCGCGCTGGCGCTGCGAGAGGCCGCCGCCAAGGCCGGGGTGCAGCTCAGCGTGGCCGTCGTGTCGGGGGACGACCTCGTGGAGCACGTGAGACGCTCGCGCGCACGCACGCACGCACGCCAAGACAAAGATCCCCTGTGTAGCCTTAGCAGACTGTTGGGGCAACCAGGAAGGCCGGAACGGCACACGAGGGGGTGGGTCGCAGGAACCACCCCTGGCCGCCTTTGTCTCCCCCAGTGAGCGATGTTTACACACCGCACCAGACACTCAATTGAGGCTGATTCGACCTAGGGGAGGCATTAGGACAGGTTAAGATAATTGTTACTGGTGTTGGCCGTGAGCGGGATTCAAACTCGGGTCACTGGGTTCATAGCACAGCGCGCTAACCACTACGTTACCGCTCCTCAATGTCACATAAAGACACGCACACACACGTACCCACGGGCATTCAGGACATCAAATTGCACGCACCCGCATGCAACATACACTCGTGCATACATGCACACGTGCACAAATGGACATGCAAAGGGACAAAGGGACAAAGGTCAATTCATGAATCCAATTGTGGCCCAAGTGGGCGAATCCTTGTATGCTGAATCAATGACTGAATATCATAGCTTTAATCTGTTCGAAATCAAGTAATGTATTTCTGTTATTATGATATGGCCCAGCGGTAGCGCACTTACCACTTCTTGCAGAGGTGCACGGTTTGAATCCAGCGGCCAACCTGATTAATGGGGCCCCTCAGTGGTGAGATGTTAACTACCTCGCCTGGTATACAGGTGGTCGTGGGTTCGATCCCGACTCTGACGCCTCTATATTTGGAGTTTGCGTGTTCTCTCCGTGGTCGCGTGGATTTTTCCCCGGATCTTAACGGTATTTCCCTCCACATTTAGAATCAACATGCGTTTGGAGTATTTGGCTGCTATAAAATTGCACGTGATAAGCCACTTCATTGAGCTATCATTTGTGGCCAGGTCGCTTCTAAAAAAAGAGCTATATATAGCTCAGTGGGCCTTTCCTGGTAAAATAAAAATTGTTGAACTAGCTTAAAGTTCAATACTGCGGATCCGGATGTGCGCCGGCGTCGTGGTCTGAATTAGAAGAAAAAAATGACACGCAAAATGTACTCAATCGAAATTATACACAGCAATCGGCACCCCTCTCCTGCAAAAAACACAGCAGGACTCTGCTGATAAAGAGTCGTGTGTCTCAGCGAGGCTCTCCTGGGTAATCGAGCATCGTTCCTTCTAATTGTACAGAAGGCGGCGATCGCAGAGTCCGGAGTACGAGACCTGGACACTGGAGCGCCCTTCCCACAGTCCGTCTACAGCATGAACGCATACCTGGGGTATTTGCCATCGCCTCTTTATTGTATGTGTGTATGTTGAACTTCTTTTGCACCATACGTAGCCAACCGTGCTTGTCGGAGGTGCGGGGGAAGGACAACAAACCTGATGAGTTTTCAACATAGATGGTTTAAAAGTGCATCGCTCCAGTGGCTTCCGAATGTCGGAAGGAAGAGCGTTCCAGACGGCCGCAGAAGCGCATCTGAAAGCGCGCGATGCGGTGACCGTCTTTGTTCGATGGCTTAGCCAAAAGCCGCCGCTGCGAGGATGACCGGAGTATTGCCAAGCATTCAAATTAATTCGACAATCGCTGGCACTTTTCCATCACTGGTGCCTTCCAAAACATAACCGCACGCTCAAATAAAGCACGCGAATACGATTGACGCACTCAACGTAAGTTGTGAAATTTCCGAACGGAGGCACCACGGTGGTGAGGTGCCGCGTTTCAATTTCCCAGCGCGCAGCCAATCAGCCGGGCGCTGGACCTCGGGGCGGACGTGGTCATCACTGGCAGGTGCGTGGACAGCGCCCTGGTGCTGGGTCCTCTCATTCACAAAGTACGTCGTCGTGGCTCGCCGAACCACCCAGCGGTCCCCCGCCCCCCAACCCCCTCCGCCGACACCTCGTGCCGGTCCCCCCTACCCCCCTCCTCGCCCATCAACGCACCAGCCGGTAGAAACCCGCGGCGAAACAGGCGCCCTCTAAAACGACGTCGGACGGACTCGCCCGCCCACACCCGGCTCCCGATGGCGTTTAGCTGCGTGACCATGCAGCTGCCCTCCACCGGCGTTTTGATCACTTGCCAACAATTCTGGGGACGTGATTCGAGAAAACCTTCGACATGCATTTATTAAAAAAAAAATTGCTAGCTGGTTTGTATCGTTTCTCAATGATATATATATGTACTTTTTACTTTACCTGTCTCTTCTTTGGTTCTTTCGGGAAAGTCACGTAGAATGAGAATAAAATAATAAATTGATGAAATAATAAATTGATAAAATATCAATTTATTATTTTATTCTCATTCTACGTGACTTTACCGAAAGAACCAAAGAAGATGAATCCTTGCAGTCACGAAAGCTTTAAATCGAAATTTACCTGTCTCGTTCCCGTAGATTTATTTGCTTCCCCCCTTCAGCCCAAATGGCGAGCTCTCAGATAATTAGCGCACAGGTAACGGTGCAGCCCCTGTGGGAACTCCGCTCGAGCAAGAGGTGGGGAGCTATCCACACTTTAAACCAAACTCGCACGGCGCTGCCGATGGACTTTGCTGTGGTGTTACTCATTTCACGCTGCCGGGTGGACAGGTGATTGAAGCAACATGGCCATGTCTGTACGAGTTATAATATTATAAAGATTTTGTATGAATTATAAATAACGCATTATTGTTATTATACTCGTAATTCACTGCATATGTGGGGAGCTTGCGGATCGATTTTACGATTTTAATCAATCGGTGGATGCATCGTTAGATGCCTATAATCAATCGGTGGATGCATCATTAGATACCTAGAATCAATTGGTGGATGCATCATTAGATGCCTATAATCAATCGGTGGATGCATCATTAGATGCCTAGAATCAATTGGTGGATGCATCATTAGATGCCTAGAATCAATCGGTGGATGCATCGTTAGATGTCTAGAATCAATCGGTGGATGCATCATTAGATGCCTAGAATCAATCGGTGGATGCATCGTTAGATGCCTATAATCAATCGGTGGATGCATCATTAGATGCCTAGAATCAATCGGTGGATGCATCGTTAGATGCCTAGAATTAGCCGATGATGCGTGATGATGTGATGTGATTTACCATCACGATCACGGCCATAAACATCGTCTGCACTGCACACCACAGTAGTTTTATTATTATTTGTATTATTATTGTTCCGCTTGCTTACCCAAGGAAGCCTCACCGAGTCTCACGATACTCTTTCAGGAGTGTCCTGCCAATTTTTTTGTTTGTTTTTGCAGTAGGTGGGGCAACGATTGCTTGCGTTAGATTCCAATTGAGTAGTTTGTGGGTCATTTGTGTTCGAATGTGGTAAAGTTTGACCATGACGCCCGGGCACGCCACTTGGCCTACTCTCTAGCGAGTTACGTCACGGGAGTTTACCTAGACGTCCACTGCGGGGGCAGGCAGGCGTCGTGTGCGTTTTGCGGTTTAGACGCTCTCGCAGCAGTGCCGGGTTAAGCTAGTGGGGCTCTAAATGAAGAAAAAAAAACACAAATATTAAAACACTAATTTTTTTACATGCATAGTAAATGTATTTTATTTTCTCATTTGCTTTACAGCCAGATAATACGACAAATCCATAACCTTAAACACCCAGTTCATAAAAGTGGAAGGCGGTATAGTACTATAGTAATAGAGCAAGTGCAGAATCACTGAACCGGAATTTATAGCTTGATAGCATTTAGCGCGGGGCCCTTGAAAGTGCGGGGCCCGTAGCATATGTAGCTACTTTTGCTACGAGGATAATCCGGCACTGGTGGGATGGGAGATTGCAAGTTTAGTCGAAGCACCGTCGCAAGATTGCCCGACATGGGAAACTGTGGCCTGTAAAGGGCAGAGCTTGAAACAGGCGACGGTAAGTGAGGCCTGCACATTCAGACGCTCAGCTGCGTGGCAATTGTAGGGTTACTTGAATAAAGCACACATGGTCCACTATCTGAACAAGGTTGGTGAAGGTCAGCTTGCGGGGGGGGTTATTTGGCTGGTCTGTACTTTACAGCATTGTTAAATGTTTCACCATGCCTGAGAATCTGCTGTTGGTATTGCAGTTTGGTTGGAAACCCCAAGACTATGACCTCCTTGCGGCAGGCAGGTAAGGACTTGCTCACTGTCATTATTATTATCATCATCATCATCACGAGCCGTCATCAATTCACCGCTGGATGAAGGCATCGCCAAGCCATCGTCATCTCTCACGGATCTTATGTAGTGCAATATTCTGCACCATTTATACATCGTCATCCACCATCAGTCCACTGCTGGATGAAGGCCTCCACAAGCTGCCACCTTCTCTCACGTCCCAGCGATGTAACAATACACTCGACGTCTCACGCATGATCCGATTTAATCGCTCCGTCATATACATACAGAATGTTTAAAAACAATCCTCTGTAAATTAAATCTGTTGATGTGTAACTGTGGCAAAACTTAGCATGTACATTGCATATTTACCCCCACGTGTTTGTGCTTTTGACTGTTGCAGCCTGGCAGGGCATCTGATTGAATGTGGTGCTCAGTGCACGGGTGGAATATACACCGACTGGCACACCATCCCAGACTGGTAAGACGCGGTCAAGGTCAAGAGGTCACCGCAGGCAATTCTGGTGATGTCACCACACCTCACTTTCGCTTCCTTCCCTGCTTCTGGATCTCGTAGCGGTAGCAAAGTCAAGACCCAATCTCATCCTGATGCACAGTCGACATGTCCTTTAAAAAAAAAATCTAGACTGAAAACTTAATTTCTTTAGAACTGCTTTTTGTGTTTAGTTTGTTGTTCTCCCCTGGCACCTCCGATTAGCACGGTTGGCTACGTACGGCGTGAAAGAAGCTCAACATACGTACGGACATATACGTCCTGCAGGAGGAGATCGCACTTGCACAGTCTCTTCAGGATGTGTGTGTTGGTGGCTCCCTTGGCCTGTCATCCAGCGCCGTGGAGGCAAGGGTTGGTGGATCACACAAATGTTGGGAATCTCCCCTTGCCAAGCAGAAGGCGGAATATCCAATGTGGACTCCATCCGTTCCGTCTGTATGCAGTGTTGTCCCCTCGTACACGCGGGTTTTCTCCGGGCGCTCCGGTTTTCCTCCCACATCAATGTAGTTCGCGAAACATGCAAAATATAGGGTCGCAGAGCTTGGGCAATTGTTGGCGTCACTTCTGGCTGCCTTCCCACTTGTTTTGTGGTTTCCCCGCTCTTCTGAATTCACAAAAACTGCACAGCGTTACAAATGAGTAAATAACTCTGATCACTCTAGATTTGAAGTTTTCGTGACTGCAAGGATCCATACTCTTTGGTTCTTTCGGTAAAGTCACGTAGGTGAAAAAATAAAATAAAATTAAGAATAAAAATAAAAACTCTGATCACCAACGGGCTTTAGGTCTTCTCTTCCCCTTAGTCACCAATCTCTAGTCACCTGTCCCTCTCCATCCGAAACACGTGGCCCCCAGCCACAGCTGCCTCCTCTTCCCGATTCCTGCCGAATTACATCGACGACGTCGTTCGCAGCGTTGTATTCCAAACTTGCGGGTTGTTTACCCTGCCCATCCGCGACTGTCCCATCCACCCCACCTCCTCCGCACGCACACCGGTACCCCCCCCCCCCACCCCCCCCAAGTCCGCGTGCGCCGCTGTGTGGCACGGTTCCTCCGCAGGGACAACATCGGCTACCCGGTGGTGGAGTGCTCGGCCAACGGAAGCTTCACGGTGAGCAAGCCCCCCGGCACGGGCGGCCTGGTGTCGCCCGGCACGGTGTCGGAGCAGCTGGTGTACGAGGTGGGCGACCCGCGGAGATATCTGCTGCCCGATGTGACGTGCGACTTCTCCGAGGTCACGCTGACCGAGCTGCCCGGTCAGTCGTCGTCGTTCTTCACCGACTCCTACGGCTTTTTCCTGCTCCTCGTCCTCTTTCCCCTCTTCCTCAGCGAGTGCCACGTCGACGCACGCACACGGCCCGGCCAATTCTGCCTCTCTGTGCAAGAGGGCCCTTACACAGAGAGGCAGAAGCGACTCTGACGTGCCAACGTTATTAACGGTGACGGTTGCCAGGCTCAAATATTTCACCGCCCACCCCCCCCCTCCGGTACTCTTGCGGTGCCGGATGAATGTCGTTTTCGGGTTGTTTCGAGGTGTTTGCGGGCCCGTGTGAATTGAAGCGAAGCAGCGGCCCGCGTCTGGCCTGCGGGCCATCTTCCTTGCCGTCTTCCCTCCCCCCCCCCGCCCCGCTGCTTCTCCGCCGTAATGGCTGCTTGCCATTTTTGCCGGGAGCGTTGTTTGCCGGGAGGGGGCGTGGTTTTACCGGGATCGTGGTTTGCCGGGAGGGAGCGTTATTTTCCAAGAGCGTTGTTTGCCAGGAGGGAGCGTTGTTTTGCCGGGAGCGTTGTTTGCCGCGAGCGTTGTTTGCCGGGAGCGTTGTTTGCCGGGAGGGAGCGTTGTTTGTTGACTGCCGGGAGGGCCCCTCCTGTTCGCTCAGGTGTGGAAGGCGGCGCGGTGCTGGTGCGGGGAGCCAAGGGGTCACCGCCGTCACCGTCCTACAAGGTCAGGCGTGAGACGGCGACGAGCGACACGCGGCCGGGTTAAAGTCACGCCGGGGATTCGGCTCATTGTCCCAAGAACCTCACGGCACAGAACGTTGTGGCCCAGTAAACGCCCGGAAGTAAGGCCATCGACCAAAATATCAAGTTTGATTTTCTCCTCTCTTGTTAAAAAAATATTTCTGTTTAAAAATGCAATTAACTATTTGTTGGGATCTTCAGCTGGAGGTGAAGTTTGCGGAGAAGATAGCGAAACGTATTTATGCGCGTGTATACGGGTGTGTGTGTGCGCGCATATGTAGTCAACATCGGCGACGATTATCTGAACCGGCCCTGGGCCGCCCCTGGGGAGACAAAAGTGGCCAGGCGAGGTGCTGGCTACCCACCCCCTCGTGTGCCGTGCCGGCCTTCATAGGTGCTCGCGAATAGCACTTGCCCCAGTGGTGGCGTAGTGGTTATCGCACCGCGCTACAAACCTGGCGACCTGGCTTCTATTCCCGACCACTGTTAACATCAGTTACGAATGAACCGCTCCTGGGCTTCCCCTAGGTCAACTCGGCCTCAAGAGAGTACCTGGCGAGGTGTGTAAACGTCAGCGCCGGCAGGGTTGACAGATGCAGGCGTGGCGCGGTGCTAGCCACACCACCACCACCTCGTTGTGCAGAGGTGGTGGTGTGGCGCTCACAGCACTTGTCCGACCGGTCTGTTTTTGGCCACGAGGGGCAGAGTCTTTCGTCCGCGTGCGTGCCTCTGCCGACGCAGGTGAGCGCGACATTCCTCGACGGGTTCCGCGCCACGGCCGTGTGCCCCATCGGAGGCCCCCGGGCGGCCGAGAAGGCCCGGAGGACGGCCGACGCCATCCTCAAAAGGTGGGCGCGGATTTCCGCGTCGGTGAGCCGAACATATTAGTTACTCCCCCCCTTCCACCACCAACCCCCCCCAATAATGATGCGCCCTCTGACTCGCAGCCCTCGGTCCTCCTTCAGCCCTCGATCCTCGATCGCTCAGTGGGAGGTCGCTCATTCTCTTGTGCTGCTCTGGACCTCCCTCCCCCCCCACCAGCCCTCCGTGCTGTTGGCTCCCTGCCCCCGTTCACATGCCACGCTACGGAGGCGTTCTTCACGTGTCGGTCAAGCTGACTCCTTTCTAGGACCTCGGAGATGGAGATTTTTTGCAATTGAGCGGAGACCTTGTTTGACACGATGTGTTCTTTTTTTTTGTGCAGCCATTTGTTCATGAGGTCCCAGACCATTACCTTGCCAGCTTTGAGAACCCGATTTAATCGCATGCGGTTAAAACCCAGATTGGAACTCGGGGTCTCAGCGACGCTGGCACGGTATCTCCGGCGTGGTATTAGCTTAGCTCTCCGATGCATTTATTCATGTTGTGCCGCGTATCGTTTCGGTGCGATGTTCGACGTTTCGCTCCCGCGTGCTGGGAGCTTCCGCAGCTTTCTGTAGGAACTGAAAACCTGTAGAAGCTCCCAGCACGTGGAGCAAAGCGTCGGACAATGTTGTCCTTTTCCCCGGCAACTCCGATAAGCATGGTTGGCTACGTGCGGTGCGAAAGATGTTCAACGTACATACGAACAACAACGCCGCGGGAGGGAGATACACAGCACGATCACGAAAACATACACAGGCGGTGAAAAATAAGAATTTGTTTGACCATTTCTGGCAATTAAACAAGAGGTGTTAAGATGTTCAAATAGCAAATAGATACCTTTTGCAGGGCATTAAGTCTGCATTAACCACACGTACTTGTGGTGAACATGCAAACAAACCTGTTATGATAATATATGCATTGTCTTTGAAACGGATTGGCCTACACCAGAGACAGCCTTCTTTTGTGGGCTTGTCTCAACAGTTTTAAAACCAGAGAAGACCAAAAGGCAAACAGTACATAGACAACGCAAGTAAAACATATTCTTATTTTTCGTCGTCTTGGATACCGGCAAAAAGGTCCCATAGATATACACAGGGAGGTTTGCTATCTTGAGCCACCTTCAGAGCTTGGCTGAAAAAAACGGTGACGTTTGGCTGCACGGAGGCCTAGCCCGTTGTGGCAAAAAAATGTTCTGGTCTTCTCTTTCATGGATGTTCAATCCTGAATGAAGGGCTCGGAGGATCTTCAAGCATTTGGGGCTCAGTGACTTCTCGAAGGTTCACGTGCAGGTGCTGGGAGCCGAGGACACGTATGGGCCACACGCACGCAGCTGGCCCGACGGGGTGAGAACTCGCAGTGCCCTATGGATGATAACAACAACAACTAACAAATGACGTCATCGCACAAAGAGTACTGCAGATATAGCATTAAGATGCTTTTTAGAAGAGATCTTTAGACGACACATTAGGTTTCAAACTGGTCTCATTGTCAAGAAAACTATTTTAGATAGTGAAACGCAGCCATCATCGTCAGTCATGATCAATCCACTGCTGGGTGAAAGCCTCCCACAAGCCTTCGCCATCTCTCACGATCGTGTGAGGTAACAGTGATTAAATGATAATATTGCTACAAGTACAGATTGCAGTTTCATTATTTCATGGTTTTTCATAGCATACATTTTAAAATCTTAAAATTTTTATTGCGATTTTTACCAGTTTTGTGGGTGTATATCCTGTCGAGATTGTCGTGGAGGGGGTTACTTTCAGATGGATAGTATATATTTGTTCTCGTATGGAATTTTCTATTTTTATGTTTGAATTGGAGGCCGACCGAATTTCGGTTGCGGCGCCGAAAGTTGGCAAGTGACCTCTTTCGGCATACTCTCAGTTTCGGCCGAAAGTAAATGTTTAACTTTTGGTCTGGTTTCGGTTTCGGCCGAAACTGACATTGACTTTCGGTCATTCATATTCTTGGTTCTTTCGGTAAAGTGACGTAGAAGGGAAACAATAAAATAATAAAAATATGAAACAATACAAATTTTGAAGAAAGTAGCCACTTTTTTCAAATTTTCTTGCTGTGGTTTTCACACCTGATGACGATTGCTTGTGTTGCAGTCGAAACGTCGTGATAATTTTTATTGTTTTATATTTTTATTATTTTATTGTTTACCTTCTACGTGACTTTACCGAATGAACCAAGAATATGAATGCCTGCAGTCACGAAAGCTTTAAATCAAAATTTCGGTCATTCGTCAACCGAAGATCTATTTTTAGAATACAATGCTAGTGCTACGTCTATCACTCTGCCTAACGGTCGGTCAGTCGGCGCTAGGCAATCCTATGCGATAGGCTGCAAACACACACACACTTACACACACACACACACGTCAGCAGCAGCAGCTTGGGAGCGAGGTTACAGCCGCAAATATGGTCTGCTAATGTATATACAGTAAAACCTTGGATTGCGAGTTTAATTCGTTCCGGAAACGTGTTTGTAATCCAAAGCACTCGTATATCAGTTGTGATCACGTGACGCTCGGCAGTACAAAGCGTATACGTACTACTCGTATTGCAAGACCCTCGCTCGTTTATCAAATTAATATTTCTTAAAAAAATTTTGCAGAGCAAGTTACTCACAATCCAAGGTTTTACTGTACGACCGGTCAACAGACGGGGCAGCCTGTCTGGCTGAATGCGGAAAAAACTGTTGTTTCTTTACTACAACATTCGTTTGTTTGGATATAATTACTAAGTAAGTAACACCTAAAGATTTTATATTTAGCGACTCTTACTGCAGGCTCTGAATGATTAGTTCTAGATTTATATTTCATTAAAGTAGCATTGCATCATGACATATTTAATAAATCTTGTGTTCGGTAAGTTCGGTTATATACCTTTTTGTTTCGGTTTCGGACGAAAGTGAAGTTAAACTTTCGGTTTCGGCCGAAAGTAAATTTTTAACTTTCGGTTTCTGGTTTCGGTTTCGGCCGAAACCAGAAATTCAGTTTCGGTTGGCCTCTAGTTTGAATATTAATGCGATGGTGCTTTGAGTGGTAGATTTGTGCCAGAAAGGCGTCGCACGTGTGCATGCAAAAAATAAAATTGATCGATCACATATACGCAGGTACCTCCGATTAGCACGGTTGGCTACGTCCGGTGCAACAAAAGTTCAACGTACCTAGACGTACAAGTTACGCGTACTCGCGGAACGTTGTTGTGACCCACGGCAGACACGCGCACCTTGAGAACCGTTGGTTACCACACGCGCACCGTTTGATGACCTGGTATCGTGAATGCAAGATTCGATTTTAATCCGACGACTCGATGCCCCCAGTGTACCATACCACCCCTATCCCTCCTCTCCCCCCGCCCCCCGAACGGTCGAATCGTCACGCCAGGGTCCCAGGGACGTGGCCCTGTGGATGTCCGTGGGCCACAGCCACAAGAGGGCGCTGGAGCTCTTCCGCATGGAGATCGCTTCGGCGGGCACCAGCATGGGTACGACGCGGCGCTGCGGCCCCACGGCCTGGCGGCTGCGGCCTGATACCCACGGGCCTAGGCCCCGCAGGCCGTCTGCCAATCCACCGCTGGATGAAGGCGGGTTGGTGGCGACGCGGAGCGTGAGACGTCGGGAGCGTTGGAGTACTACAACAAGGGATTGTGCCGCACTGCGCACTACTGGCCCACCACTTTGCACTGACTTGCGATTCAGTGGTTGTGATTTGATACGAACAATTTTAGTTTTTCTTAAACCGTTGCGCTGAACGTAGCAGCTTGAGGTCGCTAATGATAACATGACATAGTGATATCATAACAACATTTGTGTCATTATCTTGATGCGTCGCCCTATGCCGTATGATGATGTCAGCCATGGGGGTCGTTTGGCCATACTTCGCCACGCTGGTCAGTGCGGGTTGGCGAAGGAGGTGGCTGGTGACCGGCTCAGCTGTTACTTGCCACTAATGTTAGCCCTGACCGAGGTATCAAACCCGGGTCGCCAGGTTCGGAGAGAATTGCGCTACATCACCGTGCAACCACCACTCCTCCACCCCCATGCACCGTTTTTGAATCGTAAGAACAAATATCGGTTCTTTAGCACGAGATTCAGTTACATCTATCATTAATAAAAAAGCTCTTTCACCCTCACAAACCGCAACCACATTGCCCCCCCCCACCACCCTGTTCTGTAAATGAGTACTCATAGCACGAGTAGTCAATATGGAACGTCTGTCTGGTCTCTGATATCAGTGTCATTGTTGCCCGTGTGAGTGTAGTGTAGTGGTCAGCGCGCTGCGCTACGAACCTGGCGGCCCGAGTTCGATTCCCGCTCGCGACCAACATCCGTGACGAATATTTGAACCGGTCCTGGGCCACCCCCCAGGTCGACTCAGACTCAAACTAGTGCCTGGTGCAGCGTGTAAACATCGCCACTGGGGAGACAAAGGCGTGGTGCTGGCCACCCACCCCCTCGTGTGCGGTGCCGGCCTGCATAGGTGCTCGCTAACAGCACTTGCCCCAACAGTCTGTTAAAACTATACGGGGGATCTTTGTTTTTGTCTTTGTTTTTGTCTTTGTTTTTAGCTCCAGGACTGACTGGCATTGTCGGCGGACGCCCCAAAATGTAAGTGATCAGTGTGTGTGCGTGTGTCTGATGGTGGGGGGAGTGGTGGTGCAGCAATTAGCGCACTGCGATACGAGCCCCGCTGACCTGAGTTGAACTCCCGGCCGCAGCTCTAACGTCCGTTGCGATTGCTATCCGAGCCGGGCCTGGGCTCCCCCACACTTTCACCAACCCCTTACAGACTGGCATGGTGAGGTATGGTGAAACAACCCCTTCGTGACTAATACGGCATGGTAAGGCCTCCATCCAGCTGTGGTCATCGATACGCGAAAGTATTTACAATCATTTGTGGTGTCTCAGTAGGCTAAATTGGACACACTGGCACCTATCACATTGACGTCACAGGGTATTTTACATTTGACCTTTCCACCTATGTCCCTGCCTACATACCTACCCAGGGACCGTATTGGAGCCCTGCATTAACCCACAGTGACGTGTGGCAAATGTTACCTATCACTGGTCCAACAATAATAGCCTATCTGGATTCGAAGGGAATCCATACTCTTTGGTTCTTTCGGTAAAGTCACGTAGGTTAGAAAAAAATCATCTGTGATGGATCCAGTGCAATGTGTTTGCTATTTATTTCCGTGCCAGCCTTGCTGGCGACACTGGAAGAGGCTCTGCTGCCACAGACCTAATTGGTTGTCTCTTCATTACGATTTGCAGATCCCCAGTGCTGAAACTTTTCTCCTTTCTGTATCCGAAGAACAAGACCAAGGTGAGGCTATACATAGAGAAAGAAAAACCCAATCGCGCAGTCCACACCGGGCTCCATCGTCGGTGACGGATCCTGTTGTTGGGGCTGGTGCTGTGTTGCGAGCGCCTCTTAAGGCGAGTGTCATGAAATATTTTTCTTTGTTCCCGAATGTTTGTTTCCTTAGAAATGAATGTTTATTCACACTCGTCACCGGTATTCAGGAATTGCGGTGTTGCATACGGATATTTGTGCCCCCATATATTTACGTGACGACATTTTTTTTAGTTGCATTTACGTTTATCCGTAAATTGTCAACTGAAACCTTTATTTTTAAGAGCAACGTCCAAACTTACATGTGAAACAGTTGCTCATTTTACTTTTTGGATACTCAGAGATCCAAACCAATGTGGCCCTAATGCCTAAGCATTGTCCTATCCTGAACCCCTACCCAAACCTCTAACATGAACCTGAAGCAATAACTAGACCCCTCACCCCGAATTGTAACTCAAGCACTACCCCTAACCCCTGCATTAATCCATGACTAATAACCCTAACTACGAAACAATAACCAAATGCATAATCCTAACCAATAACACAAATCTCTCGCCTCCAGCTCTTACCCCCAATCCAAAACACCGAAATCCTAATCCACTTATCAAACCATACCGACACCCCTACCCATACACCCTAATCATGAACCGAAAACCCCAAACACTAACCCTTAACCTTAATCCTAGGACGCCAATAGGTATGGGGGTAATGACTGTTACTGTAGGCGAACGGATATTTCGTGGGGGAGACCCGCTGCGCATTGACTTGGGCTCGGCGCACCGTGGCTGTCGCTCGCGTCTCTCTGAGCAGGTGGACCTCAGCCTGAACGGCGTTCACGTGGAGACGTTCACGGGAGACGCGGCGGAGCCCGGCGGCTCGGCAGTGCCGGACGAGACGGCGCAAGAGGGCGCCTCCTCCTCCTCCTCCTCCTCGTCGTCGTCCGGCCAGTAACTGCGACCTGCACACAACCACTCACTCACTCACTCACCCACACAATTATCTACTTACCTAATTACCTGCTTACCAATCTACCCAAGCATCTTCCCACCCACCCATCGGTTTAAGCACGCGCCCATTCAAACCACAGCCCGTCCACCCGCTTATCCGCTGACTAATCCGTGAATCGCTCTATTCGACCACCACCTACCTACTGACCTACCCACCCACCCACCCAACCGCCCATCCGCTTACTTCATTTCTACCTACGCAGCTGCTTACCCAGCCACGCTTCCGTCTGTTTATGAAACCCTGAGCAGGCGAGGCACAGCTGCCCGGGGGCTCGCACAGCTACAGACTGGAGGAGCTGGCGTTGACGAGGAGCGGCGACAAGGCCGACACGGTTAACATCGGTGCGCACACGTCACTCCCACTGCCCGGACACACGGGGAATGTCTGATAAACAGCGATGCGACGACACGGTCTGTAGCTTGGGCGTTTTGCGTCCAGTCTTCATGACGTCCTTGAGGGTTTAGCCGGGCGCTGGTGGCTATGATGGATGTGGCGTGCAATCCAGCACGATGTAACCCATAAAAAAAAAATATTTTTTTAATCAATTTAATATTTGTTGCAAAAACCTCCACGTTAAAAGCACCTTCACGTTATTTGCCAAAATTGTAAACAATGCTCGCGCGTACCATTCAGTGCACGCGTTGCGTGCGTTTAAAAAGTGAATCGACGCATCATCACGTAACCTCGTCGTCGTGCCTGTAGGGGTGATCGCGCGGCACCCAGCACTCTACCCCTACCTCAAGGCGCGACTCACGGTGAGCGTCGTGCAAAAATACTTCCAGCACCTCGGCAACGGAGCGTCGGGCCCAGCCGTGAGCAGGCGAGACCATTCTCCCACCCGCCACCACCCACACACCACCCATCCACCATCCATCCACCCACCATCCACCCACCCACCATTCATCCACCCACCCACCATTCATCTACCCACCCACCATTCATCCACCCAACCACCCTACATCTACCCACCCATCCACCCACCACCCACTACCAGTGACCGCCCACCACCTACCCACTCGCCCACCTACCCACTCACCCACCCACTCACCGCCCACCCTCCCACCCACTCACCCACTCACCCACCCACTCACTCACCCACTCACCCACTCACCCACCCACTCACCCACCCACTCACCCACCCACCGCCCACTCACCGCCCACTCACCGTCCACCCACCGCCCACTCACCCACCCACCCACCGCCCACTCACCCACCCACCCACTGACCCACCCACTCGCCCACCCACCCACTCACTCGCCCCCCAACCCACTCACTCACCCACCCACCCACCCACTCACCCACTCACCCATCGACCCCACCCACCCACTCACCCACCCACCAACTCACCCACCTACCCACCCACTAACCCGCCCACTCACCCACCCACTCACTCACTCACTCACCCACCCACTTACCGACCAACTCACTCACCCACCCACCAAACCACTTACCACCCGCCCACCCACCCACTCAACCACCCACCCACTCAACCACCCACCCACCAACTCACCCACCCACCCGCTCACTCACCCACCCACCCACCCACCAACCCACCCACTCACCCACACACTCACCGCCCACCCACCTACTCACCACCCGCCCACTCAACGTCCACTCAACGCCCACTCACTCACCACCAACCCCCCACCCACTCAGTGCTGTGGCCCAGGGATGGCTTGGTGCCCTGACCTGGCCATCAAGCTTCCTTGTGACTATGAGAGCGACTGTGGCGAATTTCCCAACTCGCCGGTTTAAGCGAGGTTTTTTTTATGCCAGGGGAAATTAAAACCACGACGAAATACTGGTGCCGTGCGAAACAATTCGCAAAGTACATTTTTAGCAAAAAAATTGCAGAAGTCTTTTTGGGGAAATCTGCGAGCAGAAATTGAGCACGCGACGACGCATACCTCCACTCCTATAGACACAAAGCGAAAACTGTCCGACCGGCACGGTTTGTACAGTGCAGCCCGCGTTTGCTTGTTATGGGGTTATGGCAACTTGCGTAATTGGGCCCAGGTTTTGGCGGCAGCTTAATCCGCCACGCAACCTTCAACAGGGCTGTGCGTTTCACTTACCCTGTGACATGTGGCTCTTTTTCGCTAAGGGGACTATGCTCTCTCAACCCGGGGCCGCCCTTGGAGGCTGTCGTGATATGATGGTGGGGGGGGGGGGGCGGTCAGAGCGGAATAGATGCAAGTTTGCTCATATGAATCTCTTTTTCTCTGAGGCCAACATCAGATGCACCTTTTTAGAAAAACATTTTGCTTGGGATGGAGAAACCTAGCCCACGGACACCTCCAATTAGCACAGTTGGCTACGTACGGCGCAAAAGAAGTTCAACATACATACAAACTGTGCTAACATATTTTCGAAGGTAGTCGGATCGCTTTGCTGCCACCGAAGGCCTAACAGAGGGGAAGTTGGTCGAGTCCCCCGGGTGGCTCAAACGCGAGAGCTCCGAGCCGGCTCCGCTGAGATCTAGGGTTCGAATTCAGGCTTCGGCCGTCCGTGATTAAACCTGGGCTCGCGAGAGTCGATGGTACTCAGCCCGGTCACCCAATAGCCGCAACGTAAAAATGTATTTTAAAGTTTGGTTATGCGCTTCATTTGGCCAAGTTCCAGAATTGACTGTATCGGTTTGACTGAATGCGACCACCTTCCGAGTGGGGGGGGGGGGGGGGGAATGTGCGAGGGTGCAGCCGTCACTGTGTAAAGAATAAAAATGGCACCTGAAGGATTTTTCGGTGAAAAATCTCTTCCGTGGCCGTCCTCTGCCACATAGCACCGCACAGCTCTGTGAGACGCATTGTTCTGTCCTGACAAAACGTCCGTAATTTCATATATTTTTGCATATAAACCGCAATTGTGCTTGGTCTACGCATCACGAAACAAAGTGCGATCACTGATATTTTACCGTTCTTCCTTCTGCCCTCAACTGCCACCCCACCCATCATCATCATCATCCCGATTCCTCCAGCCACTGCCCTCCATCCTCCTCATTGTCTCTTTCTCCCTCTTCCCCCCCGGGCAGGTATGAGCTGCCAGGAATCCACGCTCTGAACTTCGTCCTGCGGGAGGCCCTGGGCGGCGGAGGAATCACTTCACTCCGCAGCGACCCCCAGGTGGGAACGTGGCTCCGGGCCGCTCTTCCGCACACAAACACAGAGATCCCCCCCCACCCCCGTGTATAGCCTCAAGAAACTGTTGGGGGTAGGTGCTGTGAGCGAGCACCTTAACGAAGGCCAGTACGGCACATGGGGGTAGATTTCCAGCACCACGCCTGGCCGCCTTTTGTCTGCTTAGTGGTGATGTCTACTTTAAGGCCGAGTTGATCTAGGGGAGGCCCATAACCAGTCCACCATTTATTGATCCTGAGCGGGAGTCGGAACTGGGGTCGATGTATTCGTAGCGCAGCACGGATTGTAAATGTTGTCGCTTGGCTCTCCAACACACCGGTTAGTGCTGTACTAGTGACGAATTGGCCACGTTCTGTTTACGTGACAACCCTTACTAGTTGGCTGTGTCGGGTGGTGGCGGGTTTTAACGACACATTTATGTTTACGCGATCTAACACAAAAAATCCTCTTATGGATAATATTGGTTGCGAAAGCCTACGTGTTAAACCCCACAATGGTTCACAAAGTCGCGTACGCATAGACACACACACCCCGGGGGTGAACCCAGGTAACCTCATGTCTGGTACCTTGGTGATGAACCCAATGGGATTTTTCAAGGTTAAACCGCCAAGCAATAATTTTATAGCTAGGTCGCCGGGTGTGTGGCGCGTGTGGAAAGCCATCCAAGTGTGCGCTCGCAAAGCTCGGTCATTGCTCTAGTGGCGGAACGGTGGACCCAGCGTGCCACACGCACGCACGCGCACCGGCCCTTTCGCCAATCCACCGCTGGGCGATGGGCCACCCCATGCCGTTTAGTCATGGCTTGGTCGTTTTTTCATTCCCACCATATTTCACCACCACCACCATCAGTCGGCACGGGTTGGCGATGGCGGGGGGAGCGCATTGATGCGAGAACACCGAAGCGCAGGACAAAAACGAGCCTTGCCGAAGCTGAACCTCCGCTGCCCAACCACGTAGCCCCCACAGCTGGCCACGACGGCCTGTTCGTATCGTGGTCCAAGCACTAATCCAGGCTTGGCGCTACTTGCTCTCCGATCTCTGGGCACATTCCAGGCGGTTTGGTCATTGGACGCACGTGCAACGCGTAGAATGTGTGGATGTTGAACTTCTTTCGCACGCCGCGTAGCCAGCTGTGCTCAACTAAACGCAAAAAAGCAGTTCTAGTTCATCTCCCGGCCAATCGACGAGCAGTGTAGCTCCCCGGAGATTGTTTGGCGGGTGGTGGGGTCGCACCTGCGTGTCGAGATTCTCTCCTCCTGGCGCGCGGAGCGAAACGTCGGACATTGCGCCCAACAACACGCGGGTATGATCCTGGAAAACCCATAGGCGAGCGACACGCCCGTCCCGTTCCTTTGCAGGGCAAAGCTCTCGGCCAGATGCTGCTCGACTTGAAGGTGGGAAACCTCCCGGAGCTGAAGGACATGGCGAGATGAGAGCGGACGGCGGCGAGAGCGTGAAAGCCGCCGCCCCTGGCGATTTGAAGAGAAACGCGCCGTCAACCGCCGGGTCGGCCGACGGGCTGGCGGGCGAGCGTTGTCGTGCCCTTTCCTCGGTTTGTTTTGTGTTCCTTACAAATAATTTCAAGGAATCCCGTTCTCTAAGATTTTTCTTTTGTGCCCCCCGGTGGCTTTGAAGAGACGACGGCTCGCGATGACGATAAATAAAAGGTGCTTGGGACCGCTGGCGAGATTTTTGTGTCGTTTTATTGTTTTTCGTAGAAAAGAAAATGGGGAGGGGGCATGACACAGAGAGAAAAAAAAAATTATGTCACGGCGATCACGAAAGAAATTCTCTTTTAAGCGTCACAAAACGGCGCAAAAGTCTCTTAAAAAAACCGGTAAAAAAGCGAGCATATTTAGTACAGTATTAAACACGTCGGGAAAGAAACGGCAGTTATTAACTATTTTTACATTTTTTACATAAACCCTCACTCCACACCAATAGACTGGCTATGCTACAATCAGCATACTTGCACACGTCCAGATTTGTCAACCGAACGTTAGGCTCATGGCCACAACCAAGTGCCAGACGACTTGAACCCATCTCAGCTTATTGGCAAAAAGAAATTGTAATAGAACACGTTTTGCCTACTCACCGTTGCGTCGGTGGGTTTGGCATTCGGTATGGTGGGCAGTACACGCTGGACAGTGGCCACTCCTGGCCCCAATGTTCAGGATGGCACGGCCAAAGCAGTTGGCACTTGGCAGCACGATCATTGTAACTTTGCCCTCCATTGCCTACGGCTACCCGGCACACCATATTGTTTCCGCTCGTCTCCTGTTTGTGCCGTATTTTACTGTTCGCCGTGTTATTGTCTGTTACCGATAAGCGTTTGCCAGAGGTTATGTGGGGCCAAACTGGCCTTTATTGTTTTGCTCCGTGATAAATGAAAAGCCGCGTGGCCATAGCGAGGGTCCCTGATTCGTATAAAATGTACTTTTATATATCCAGGCAAGTCTCACCGAGTCTCAAAGTACTATTTTTTTCCCGTAAGTTCCTGCTACATTGGGATCTTTGGCCATTAAAAAATAACCCAATTATCCATCCACCCAGGAAAAGACACTGAGTCCTAAGAGTCTTTGTCAGGAGGGTCCTGCTACATTGGGCTGTTTGGCCAACACCAATGAATGTTTTTAGCTCTGGGAGGAAACTCGAGAACCCGGAGCAATCCCACGCAAAACAGGGGGGGAGAACATCCAAACTTCACAGAGAAAGGCACCCGGGGTCAGGAATTGAACCCAGGTTCCCCTCTTGCTGTGCGACACGAGTGTCACCACTGCGCCAACCCTGCAGCGTAGGGACCAAAGTACCCCAACGAGTACTCAAAATCTCCGCGCAGAATGGTTTAACCCTGTGCGATGAAAACTAACAAAAATTACTAACTAAATTCCAGACACTTTTTTTTTCTTCATCAAAAGTGCCACCTGTTTGGGCTACGACCTTCATCGCCAGAGAGAGGTGGGCAAGTTCCATGCAGCAGTAGCAGCGTCGGTGTCTTAATAAATTGACGAGTGGAGTTGGCGGCGCAGTGGTGGGGAGGGGAGGGGGGGGCACTGCGGTGTTGCGCACCCGACGACCTTCGATTGACTGGCCACGGGTAACATCGGTGGACGGTGATGGAGCGTGTGAACGTCAGCGCGGGGCGGATTACGGTGGGCCGGGCGTGACACTGGCTACACTCAATGCCTCGTGCGACGTGCCGGTCCTTAGCAGGTGCCTGCTAACAGCACTTTGCCCTCACACTCTATAATTATGCCACGTGGCTGTGTGGGGGAGTGGGGATTCTTCGTGTTTTTTTGTGTGCACCTAAAACAGGCGAGTGGGCGACGTTTCTCTGTGGGCCCGGCACCACGGCCGTGTGCCCCAACCCGGAAGGCCACCTTAACAAAATCCACGCTGACCGGCACGGCGAAGTATGGCGACGCGATATAACCGCAGGGAGTTTTGCCAAGGTACTATATCGAAGCCACGCAATGCGGAGGAAACTTCACAGCACTGGAGCATTAACCGGGGTCCGCTTGAACCCCCCACCGCTGGGGGTGCATCTGCAACAGACACCGCTATTGTGACGGCACCGCGTGCTATTTTTTTCCTCGTACAAAAATGCATCGCTCGCTGCCGTTCTGCTACGCAAAAGGCGACGCGTGCTTTTCGTTCCGGTGCACAAGAGTGTCTTGAGATGCACACCCGCAGCATTGGGAGAAAGTACCTCGCACCGCATCCGACGGGAGAACAACGCCACTGTCTGTTCCCGCAGAAAAAGGCCGTGGGCCACACTTTCATTGTCCTGGGCTTCGACGTTCGAATGCGTCCTGCAGTGGCGTTGCTTGGACGACCAAACGACGACTGCCCGAGGGGAAGCCCACCTCAAGGCGTCGTTGCCTCGCGACGTCTCAAGAGCCGCGCGGTGCCGAGGGCGGTGGTTGCGAGGCGAAGAGGACGAAGCCGGATCGTTGAAAAAAAAAAAAACCACAACAAGGGAGAGGAGCCGAGGCACGGACCCGCCGCTTGGGCGCGGACGGCGCCGTCACGCCTCGCTGCTCTCCACGTTCTCCAGGTCCACGGTCTGCTTGAGGAACGAGCTCAGCTCGTGCATCACGTTAAAGTGCAAGTTCTTCTTCTGGGCGGTGACCGGGTCGATCGCTAACTGACCGTTGAGCTTCACGGAATCGTGCCTCTCCATCCTGGGCCCCGAGGCCTGAGGCCACACGGGGCTGAGCGGCTCGGCGGAGGGCGTCTGGGCCGCGACCGCCGCCGTCCTCAGTCCCGGCCCGGCGCCCGCCGGCTGCGCGGACGGCGCGGGGGCGACGGGCGTGCCCCGCTGCGGCGACTTCCACGCGAGCTGCTGCCGCGGTTTCGGCGTGGGGGGCGCCTGCTGAGCAGGCTCGGGGGTCACCGGCGAGGCCCGACCCGCCTGGCGCGGCTCGCTCGACGCCGAACACTCGACCTGCTGCGACTGCTCCGGGCTCGGCACGAGGACCTTGTGCTGCGGGCGCAGGCCCGGCGGCGGCGGCGGCGGCGGGGACGGGGCCGGGGAGGCCGTTACCCTGCCTTGACGGGAGGATGGCGGCAGCAGAGGAGCGTGGGTCGCGCTGGCGGCCACCTGGTCCTGACGTGAGGGGGGCGCGAGGGCCGGGCGGGGCTCGGGGGGCGCGGCGGCTCTGTCGTTCTCTTGGGGCCACGGTGCGGCCAGGGAGGGCTCGTCCAGCTCGGGCCTCCTCTCGTCCGCAGTTGGGTTCTCCTGAGAAAAACAAATTAACATGAAAAGTTTGAGTTGAAAAATTACACCTGCATTGATCTGTTATTATTACAGGGACATTTTGTATTTTTCCTCCCCCCACACTCTCGTTTCAATTGTGCCATCGGTGCCATAGCATGAGGCTAAAAATCCCAAATGTTATCCCAAATTGTGCTTTGTATCGGCATAGCGCCATGAGATGAGGTGACAATTTGCATCGCTCACAGAGCGTTGTGATATCTCCTTCGACAGATAATGGTCTGTAGAAGGAGATATCACATAACTAATTCTGAGATCCTTTAAAGTGAACCCTTTCTCTGCAGACCAGAGGGCACCACTTTCCCACACGCTCTGTTGCAGAGAAATGTCCACCGCAAACCGTCAAACTAGAATGTTTTCAGATTTTTCAGAGCCTGAATATAGTTAAATTACGGTAAAAAAATGTTGCATTCATTGGTGGACCACTCTGAGACTATCAACTCACTGCTACACTTAAAAACCCGGTCCAAATCACGGGTGTCTGAACCCCGGATTCAAACCAAGGACCTCAGTAGTGCCCTGGGCCCCCTGAGCCACCTTCTCTTGTCTCCCTTGCAAGACAAGCGGGGCACAGCTGAGGACAAACAACTGTGGGACAAATGCAAAAAAAACACCAGCAATGTTAAGATTTGGGTTAGGGAATTTCTTTGTTATTAGGGAATGTCTTTCTGTTAGGGATGGCTGAAGCAGTAAATACAAGCTTGCGGGCTCATGCACTGCCAAACACGCAGTTTCACTTCCACGCAATTTGCCCTGCAAACACCGGGTCGGCAAAAGTGCAAGGCCCACCCCGTGTGCCCTTGCTGCGGGAACACTCCGAAATCATCATTGCACATTCACGCAGTCAGAGCCAGCAGGAGGTTTAACGACAGCACACGCGGTGGCAAGGGCGTACACGACGGTTATTGTCAGGAGTGGAGTGCTCGTTTTAAACTACGGCGAGTGTAAGGGCAGGACCACGCGCAAAGGAAATTAAGTGGCGACGTGAAAATGCACGAACGTGGATGCAGGCCACAAGCGTAGAGAAGCGTAGAGAAGAAGCGCAGAGCAGCGCTACGGCACAAGCACAGCACGGTGACGACGCAGCTCCATGCAACGAGTAATAAAATATTTTTAAAAATCAGTAACCATTTCTACGTCATGCAACCTACAACTCCCCGAAGGAGGCCGCTGTTCGAGAGCCCTGACATGTGCTGCGTTCCCAACGCCCACTAAATAGTCGGCTGTTTCGGTCCGTGGACCGGGAAGGTGGGCCCAGCCCGGGTTGCTGTGGCAGATATGTCCACCAAGCGAGCTTTAACCGGGCCATGCGTTTCGCTTAGCCCAGGCCAAGTTTCTCGTTTTGCCAAGAGGGCCTTTGGAGACGGTCGTAACATCACGGGGTCGGAGCAGAATAGATGCAGGATTGTTCAAATGCATCTTTTCTCCCTTAGGTTCACCTCAGATCCACGTTTTTATATACACACACATATATATATAAATATCGTGATTAATGAAAACAAAATAATGACATTGCATGGGGTGTACAGTAACCCAACCCACATGCACGTCAACATTTTTCAAAGGTCACGGTCGCTTTCCCTCCACCCGCAGGCGCAAATGGAGGGAAGTTGGCCGAGCCCGCAGAACCACGAGACTGTTTTAGCGCCCATGGAAAAGCAGCAATTTGTAAATAAACCTCGGGCGAGGAGGGGCTGGTGCCGGAGCAGACGGCATCACTTCGGGTCAAAGGTTACGTTTACCTGTGTGGGTCACCGAGCTCAGCTGTGCTGTGCTTCTCAGAGCAGGCTCTGAAATGATAATCGTAAATCTTGACTTAAATCTTTCGTGACTGCAGGAATTCATCTTCTTTGGGTCTTTCCGTAAAGTCACGTAGATAGGTTCAAAGAAAATAGCAAAAAATTACGAAAAAACTACGACGTTTCGATCGCAACGCAAGCGATCGAAACGTCGTAGTTTTTTGTTTGTTATTTTTTTTAACCTATCCACGTGACTTTACCGAAAGACCCAAAGAAAATTATAATGGTAACCACTGAGCCACGGTGGCAAGATGTTATCTCCCTCGCCCGGTACGCAGGAACTCGTGGGTTCGATCCCAACACCTGTATATTTGGGGTTTGCATGTTCTCACCCGTGGTCGCGTGGATTTTACTCCGGGTACTCCAGTTTTGTTCCCTCCACATTTAGAATCAACATTGCGTTCAGAGTATTTGGCTGCTATAAATTTTCACGTGATAAGCCCACTTCGTTGAGCTATCGTTTGTGATTGCCAGGTCGCTTATGAGCAAGAGCTTTATAGCTCAGTGAGCCTTACCTGGTCAAATAAAAGAGTATTTTTTTTTACTTTAACTGTGCTGGGCCGTTTTCTTTGGGTGATGAAAACGCTTGAAGATATATATAAAAAAAAGTTAAACCCAAAAACATTCCAAAGGACAAACGCTGACAGAACTTGTGAAGAAGTGAAACATTTTTGAAGGAAAGTAAGATAAATGACGAGGAGACCCTTGATAAATCAAATGGGCAAGGATGATGACCGACTGGAGGAGGCTGGAGGGAAAGTTGGGGATATCGGGAGACTGCCACTGTGAACTCCGTCGTGGTATTTTCCCTCGCCTAGCCAAAGCCAACGTTTTTGAAACTCCATTCCCATACACGTCTTTCCAAGCACACCGGTTTACATTTCGAATACCGCGCAGGAATCTGGCGATTGATTTCGCCAAGTGGAGGTCGTCGATTCGAATTTAGACGCAGCTCGTGCGGGTGCGCATGCGTACGTGCGTCAACGACGCCAAAATGGGAAGCGGCAAGTGATTATTAGGTGGCGTGCAGCATGTGACGACGATTTGTATTTTAACGCGAGTCGAGCTGGGAAGGTGAGCGATAAGCCTCCCTGGGGTGCCACCTACGCCGCTGAACGTCCTCGAATGCAGCAGCGGCGCACAGCACTCAGGCACAGCACGCATGCATAGTACGCAGATGAGTCAAAGGTCGTCCGTCCGTCTCCGTGCATACGCGTGCGTTCGGTGCATGTGTACGTGCAGTCACGCACGTACATGTGTCTGACGAGCGGCGGTGTAGCGGTTAGCGCGCTGAGCTACAAACCCCTTCCGATTCCCGCTCACGGCCAACACAAGTGACGGTCAATTGAAACCGGTCCTGGGCCTCCCCTAGATCGACTCAGCCTCAGATTAGTAACTGGTGCGGTGTGTAAACATCGCCACTGTGGAGACAAAGGCGGCCGGGCGTGGTGCTGGCCACCCACCCCCCTCGTGTGCTGTGCCGGCGGCCTTCATAGGTGCTCGCTAGCAGCACTTGCCCCGACAGTCTGTCAGGGCCATACGTGTGCACACATGTTCGGCGCGCGCGTGCATACATGCAGTCGCGTGCGTGGTGTGTGCGCGTCCCACGCGCGTTTGGTGCGTGCGTGCGTGCGTGCGATCAATCGTGCGGCAATCGCCGTACAGGCTCCTTGAAGGCCATGCTGTTGGAGAGCGTCAGCCGGTGCAAATCGCTGCCCCGCAGGGGGATGAGAACCTGGCTGCCAAGCTTCTGGGTCGTGGAGGAGGTGCGGCTGCGGAAGTCGCCGTCGGGAGGCCACACGTCGCCCTTGTGCTGCCGGTGGTCGAGGGGCGCGTGGGATGGGGTGGTGTGGTGGGGGCGGGGGGGTCAGGCGGGCATGGGAGAGGGCGCAATGAGAATTGAGAGGAATCCGGAACAATTTGATGACCCGCTAGTATGGCTATAAAATTCTAAAGCTGTTTGGTTCCTGTCCATGCCTGACATCAGTGGTGAGTGATACGCCTTTATCCATTGGTGGATTGAGAATTAATTTGTATTTACATTTTTTTCATTTTAACCCATACCAGCTTGAGAGTTCCTTTGTTTTTGCTTTTGGCATTTTGGTGATCAGGGTCACACTCGTAAAATGAGGCTCTTTGAGCTCGCACTTGGGTTCAACAAAATCAACTTGAACTCGCATGAACTCACCGGAGCACCTTGCAATCCCGTGTTTCGGATCCAGTTTCATTTGAGGTGGGATGTAACAATGCAATGACTCACTCACCCCATCAAACCACTCTGCACAAAAGCGGATTTTCTGGACAATGAAATGTCGTGGGTGATCAAGTTGACATGTTATTCTCGCTCATAAAGATGTGGCGAGATGTTTATGACCTCGCTTGGTATCCAGGAAGTCGTGGATTCAATCCCAACTCGGACACCTGCTGTATATTTGGAGTTTGTATGTTCTTCCCATAGTTGCCTGGATTTTTGTGGGTCCTCTGGTTTTTCCCTCCACGTTTAGAATCATGCGTTTAAGAGTATTTGGCTGCCATAAATTTCCACGTAATAAGCCATACCTCCAATTAGCATGGTCGGCTACGTATGGTGTGAAAGAAGTTCAACATACATTCAAAATAATAGACATTCATACTTTATCGGGCGATCATTTGTGGCCAGGTTGCTTCTGAATAAGAGCTGTATAGCCCAGTGGGCCTTTCCTGGCAAAGTACAAATAGTTTGGTAAAATAAAATAAAAAGTTTTTGTTTCTAGTTTTAGTTTGTTTATAGTTTTAGACTTAGAATGCCTCCTGGTACCTTCAAGTTGAGCATGGTGGCCAGGCAGTCGCACAGCTCCTGGTGGCTCTCAAAGCACAGAAACCTGGCGCGGAAACAAACGGCCCCGTGTACAAAATACATATTTTTTTTTCACGTCCATGTTCGTGGTGCTCGCCAACAAACGTTTGGCCAGCGTCGAGCGGCACGCACCGGGGGAACACGCGCACAGTGCAGCAACGTGGCGAGCACGCGGGGGGACAGCTGCTGTACGGATCCTTGCCCAAAACGATCATCTTACCTATAACCCGCTTCCACTGCTCCTTTAAAACAATCGCCATCTCTTCTCCCCCGAGCCCATCCCTACGCTACTGCCACTCCCTGCCCCTTGCCCCTCAGCGATGACCCGGCCTACCCCAACCCCTGTCAACTACCTCTACCCCTATCACTACCCCTACCCACCATTCCTACCAACACCCCAACCCTTCCCTTAGCCTTTCCCACTTGTTCTCCTATCACCATAACTACACCACTGCTATTAATAACCCCCACACTTCATCTCAAACCACGATCATCTTAACTGCTGTAAAGCACCTTGGGATAAAGGCGCGATATAAAGCTGGATAAGATAGGAAATGACGACGGAGGGTAAACAGCTTGGGGAAGCCTTCATCCAGCAGTGGACAGATCACGGCCTACGATGATGAACAGCGTCGCCGAGAAACCCGTGATGTCATCGTAACGACAGCCCCGCCCCCCCCAATTCCCCCATGGAACGAGTCTCGCCCCCTGCACTTGCCAAGGCGCGGATGACCCGCGGGGGTGCAAGGGTTAGAGGTGTGCCGCACTCACCACCGCTGTTTGTCTTGCACCAGGGTCAGCCCGAAACTGCGACACAGAATAAAAAAATGAATAATAGAATAATAAACACGCGCAACAAAAAGCAAGGAATAAAAAGCACGCACACGCGTGGAATTCTGGGATAGCTTCCCGACGCGCGCGTTTGATATAAGCCACTCCGATGAGCTATCACGTGCGGCCAAGTCGCCACTGAAAAAGAGCTGATAGCTCAGCAGGGGCTTCAGCTGGTAAAATAACATAGTTGAGTACATTTTGATTTAAAGCTTTCGTGACTGCAGGGATTCATATTCTTGGTTCTTTCGGTAAAGTCACCACGTAGAAGGGGAAACAATAAAATAATAAAAATATAAAACAATAAAATTCTCACGACGTTTCGACTGCAACACAAGCAATCATCGTCAGGTGTGAAAAGCACAGCAAGAAAAAAAAAGGGGGCAGACGCGGGTTCACGTCATGGACGCACGTCGCGCGTATGCAGGCAAAGTTCATCTTCCTCTGGGTTGAGTCTCCAAATATCGCGCAACGCTTTGATCAATGCGTTTGGTTTTCACGAGAGTGAGTCCGTCAAAGCATGACAACTTTCTACTAAAAATCATTTGTACTGGATCATCTTTATAGCGTAACCACCCTTTACAGTTGGACAGAAAGATAATGCAGAGATACTTTCAAACTTAGTTGGCAAGATATAACCAACGCTTCTGGTACCTCCTACTTCACGAAAGCGTTTAGTAGTCACTGCAAGGGCTCGTGAATTACACTGCACACCTGATGATGATGATTGCTTGTGTTGCAGTCGAAACGTCGTGAGAATTTAATTGTTTTATATTTTTATTATTTTATTGTTTCCCTTCTACGTGACTTTACCGAAAGGACCAAGAATATAGTTGAGTAAGTTATTGAAGCCACTTTAGAGGGAGTTACATTGCAGGGACCGTGTCTCATGAGAGCTTCACAATGACAGCGTAAGTGAACGTACAAGTGGGGACACTATTAAACTTGTGAGTGTAAGGATAATGACGAGGGGCCACCTCGTGGGAGGTTTCAGCTTCCTCCGAATTCCCAGGAACGTTTTCACCGTCTGCAGGCTCCAATCCCTCTCCGCCTTGTTGGTCTGACGATGGAAAGCGCGCGCACGCACACACACGCTCGATTAACATCTCGAAAGCCTCGCGCAGAATTTCAAAGAAAGCGTCAAAGCGACGATGAAAATGTAACCGCCTTGCAGTTACATTATGAGACCTCCTTTGCCAGTAACAAGATATAGTAATAGGTTTTACCCTTTTAACTGGCACAAAAACTGGCACCTTTATTCAAGGCATCATGTTTGCAATGACCACAACACAAGCAGTCAAAATGCAAACAAAAGAGTAATCTGGTCCAACACCAGTGGAGACTAGGCTCTAAGAAAAGCTGTCTCGGGTGTGGACCAATCAAATTCAAGGACAGTGCATATTATTATCAGAGTTGTCTTTTTTGTTTGCATTTTGACTGCTTGTGTTGTGGTTATTGCAAACATGATGCCTTGAATAAAGGTGTCAGTTTTTGTGCCAGTTAAAAGGGTAAAACCTATTACTACGCCTTGCAGTTGTGCGTGGGAGGCCCAGCCCTTCGTCACCCGCGAGGGGGGTTGAGAGCGAGAGAGCAGAACGCGCGATGGACAACGGCAAATCGTGTCGTGACGCCTTCAGCCTGACATTTGTCTAAAGCAGTGTGGTTCATAACCTTTACTGCGGCCTTGCACCCCTTTGGTTCTGAATCGTAAACAAAAATGTTAATAACTACACAGGGTCTGATGAAGTGCCCGTGCTTAATTTATGTTTCGATGATTTACCTTCTAAAAAAAAAAATCTGGCCATTTCCCGCACCCCCAGAAAGCGCATCTCGCACCCCCAGGGAGTGCGTGCCCCCCCCCCCGCCCCCCCAGCTTAAGAAAAACCACCGCTCTAAAGATTCTCTACCATTGGCTGTATCGTGCAGCCACCCGAGTTTTTGTATGTGCCTCCTCCAGCCCCCGACGCCGTCTTTAGACGAGGAGGTCACGCTCGTTGGGGGGCTGCTGTCTGCCCCCGTCGCCACGGCTCACCTTCCTGTCCTTGAACACGAGCACCCTCCCGGCGCAGAGAGCCATGAAGCGCTCGTTGAACCTGCCGGTCTGCAGGAGCAGAGCGTGGACGCTGCGCTCCTCCCGGAAGCGCACAGGACCCTGCCACTCCTTCTTGTCGCGCCCTTCTTCTACACACGGAGAGCACCGGGCGGGGGGTAGTGGGGATAAGGAGGGGTGGGATGAGGGAGGCGATGAGGGAGTGGGGGGTGAGGGGGGGGGGAATGAAGGGGAGGGGGGATGAGGGGGGCACGGTGGAATGAGGGGGAATGAGAGGGATGAATAGGGATTAAGAGGGATGGGGAGAGAGGGAGATGAGAATGAACGGGGAGTTTGTTTTAGCCCGAGGCTTCGTCTCTTTCGACGACGACGACAACCTGTGGGTTTTGAGTCGATACCTTGGGCCGCAGATTCCTTTCTCTTAGTCTAGAACGCGGAATCAATCAAACGCACGCACACGGAGTCCGCCCTTCGTTGTTCAGAGTTGGTGTATGGGGGGGGGGGGGGGGGGGCGCAATTCAATTGTCTACCTCGAGTGAATAATAAAAATGAAATGTAACACCGGGAAATGAATGAAGTTCAACACTGGCAGGGAGGACCGAGATGGAGCAGCGGAGATGGCAGAGGTCAGAGAAGAGGTGGAGAGGGCAGGGGGGGGGGGGGTGTCAGTGGCGCTGGGGTCACGTTCTGAAAAGTCCGAGTCGTGCGGCGGGCAATTTCTCGCTCGCAAGCCGAGTCCACGGGGATGGAGGCCGGAGAGTTGAGCAGACGGAGCCACGGCAATGCAGCAGAGGGGAGGAGGCCTTGGACACGGCCTCACCAAGGTGGCGCCTCATCCCTTCGAGGTCGGGGTGCCTCTTCACCAGGAGGTAGTTCTCCTGCGGATCCGGATGGAAGAGAAGCTCCAGGACCCTCTCCTTGTAGTGCAGCGGCCGCTCTGCGCACACGCGGAGGGAAGGCGAGGATCACTCGTATGGCCCGACCAGACCGTTGGGGCGAGTGCCCCAACGGTCGACAGGTTCACGCGAGAGGGGGTGGGGCGGCCAGCACCATGCCCTGCCGCCTTTGTCTCCCCCCCCCCCCGAGTGGCGACGTTGACACGTCACACCAGGTACTCATTGGAGGCTGAGTCGACTTAGAGGAGGCCCGGGATATTTGTCACTGGTGTTGGCAGTGAATGGGAATCGAACTCGGGTCGCCGGGTTCATAGCGCAGTGCGCTAACTGCTACCCTACCGCTCCTCGTAGACTCACGGACACAAGCGCATGCACATGAAGACTATCGCACGCTTAGTTTGAATTGTCCAAAAGTTCGTAATAATATTAACAGCGGGAGGACTCACCCAGCTCCCCAGACACCTCGAACACGGCCATCGCGGAGTCATTGTGCTGCAGCTGTCCCTGCCTGAGGTCGAGCACCTCCAGGAGTAGCTCCTGTGCCGTCATGAGCCCCGACACCTGGGGAACAAGACAAGCCAAACATATAGCCATTAACCGGACTGTAAGGGCGTTTGCTGTTCGCGAGCACCTATGAAGGCTCAGAACGGTACACGAGAGGGTTGGTGGCAAGTGGCGATGTTCATTATACACCGCAACCAGGTACTCATTTAAGAGGCTGAGTCGACCTAGGGGAGGCCCGAGACCGGTTCAGATAATCGTCACCGGTGTTGGCCGTGAGAGGGAATCGAACTCGGGTCCCCGGGTTCATAGTGCAGCGTAGTGCTAACACATACACACACAACACATACACACACACATAGACGCACACATACACACACACATAGATGCACACATACACACACACAACACATACACACACACACATAGACGCACACATACACACACACACGCACAACACATACATACACGCACACACACTACACGCACAACACATACACACACACATAGACGCACACATACACACACACATAGACGCACACATACACACACGCACGCACAACACATAAACACACACATAGATGCACACATACACACACGCACAACACACACACACTTAGACGCACACATACACACACACACACGCACAACACATACACACACACAGACGCACACATACACACACACGCACAACACATACACACACACACATAGACATACACACACACACAACACATACACACACACGCACAACACATACACACACAGACACACACATACAAACACACACAACACATACACACGCGCACAACACATACACACAACACATACACGCACACACACAACACATACACGCACAACACATACACACATAGATGCACACACACAACACATACACGCACAACACATACACACATACACACACAACACATACAACACATACACACACAACACATACACACACGCACAACACATACACGCACACACACAACACGCACACACACGCACAACACATACACACACACCACACACGCACAACACATACACGCACACACACAACACGCACACACACGCACAACACATACATACACACACACACACGCACAACACATACACGCACAACATATAGACGCACACAGGCAAGTATGAACCCTCAGGTCCAACGGCCACGCAGTGCTCCGAGAGAGAGAGAGAAGTGAACGTGATTTACAGGATTTGAACTTTCTGACTGCGAGCCGCCCGCTCTACCCACTGACACGGGACAGCGCAAGTAGAACACACTTTACATGTACGGCACAGTACGTATGTACGTAGACTTTATCATTAACATTTTCTTCAAACACTTGATCAAGTTACGCAGTGCATGTGAACGATAAAAAAAAAATGCTCTGGCCTGGTGGCTCAGACGTGGTGCGAGTGATCACATTGGTCAACCCAGGTCTGCCTTAGTCTTGACCTTGGTTAACCTGGGTGGGACGCGTTCACGCGCACCTTGAGGCTGATGCAGGTGTCCGTGCTCTTCCTCTCAAAATAAACCGAGACGATCAAATTCCCAGCTTGAGCGGAAGGTTGCTGTAAAACAAAAACAGCAACAAAATGATGACTTGCGTACATTTAATCAAACCGAAATGCAGTGCTCACCAGCAGCAGTCGAGTTCTGCGCGAGTAGCTAAGTTCCGACGGCAGACAAAAACGCGACTTTGCCGGAGGGCACCGACCTGACTCAGTGGGTGCACCGGGCTGGGCCCCGGGAAGAGACTCACGTCGGCCCAATCTATCCCCACATTAGGGGGGGTCTGAGACCTGGATCCTTTGCCGGGCTCACCTGCGAGGCCAGACCGACCGACAGATCCGGGGTCCGTTGGGCAGTGGTGACACGGCCACAGCCGCGGGGCGTTCGTTCGGATTCGAGCTTCGCGGCTCGAATCCGGTGGGCCGCCCCGGTTATTCCCACGGTGTCAACCGTGAGACGCTACACTCCAACCGTGAGACGCTACGCGCCGCCTGCTTCACGGTGGAACGCTGAAAATGAAATGACGTCATTCGAAACGGGTCGGCCATTGTGTGCCGGAGTCACGGTCCAAATTTGACACGTCTGAAAACATTGCCCGCAAATTACTCGATTGGGATCGCGCACGGCAATCGTCGTCCCCCTGCTGTGAACATTGTACAGGACCCTCCTGAAAAAAAAGTAATGAGCGAGGCTTTCCTGGGTAAGCAAGAGGAATAATAATACCAAGTCGCAATAGCCCTCAGGCCGCATATACGTAAAATATATATTTGTGTGTTCGTGTGTGATTATTGGTGATTGGGCAAAGATCATCAGCCTGCTCTGCCTGAGCACCTGGTTTAGTTAGCCTTCATCCTGGGCCAGAACTGCGCCAGAACTGAGCCAGAACTACGCCAAAACTGGGCCAGACCTGGGCCAAAACTGGGTCAGCTGTGCCGGGGTCCCAGTCGTCAGGAGGTGAGGCATTAGTGACACATAGCATGGCTGATGATGCATTGCCTCTTTCGGTGGTGTCTCCTCGTACCTTGACCGTTAACCCCTTGACGATGAGTTCGATCACGTGCAGCACGTTCTGGAAACGCTCCGTATCAACCTGGCGGAGTTGAGACAACCACGGTTACTACAATTGAGGCCACCACGGTTACAACAATTACGGTAAAGGTAGGGGGGGGGAGCGACGGAATGGGCTGGTGCGCAGGCGCGAGGTGGATCGTTGCATCACGAGACCGTGAGGGGGGAGGGCCTTCATCCAGAAGTGGTTAGATCATGGCTGGTGATGATGATGCTGATGATCGGTGAGAAGCGATGCGTGACGGAGCCATCGCTGAGGGGAGCCAATGCTCTAACAGCAGACGGAGCCGACCGGTGGGGAGGGTGATGGGTGAGGAGGTGTGGTGAAAGGTGAGCGGGTGCTGTCAGTAACAGGCGAAAGGCTTCACATGGGTGAGCGGGTGAGGGCTGGATGACGGGTGAGTGAGCAATGAGCAATGGGGCGAGAGGCGAGGGGGGTTGTGGGTAATGGGGAGGCAGCAGAGGGGGATTGTGGGTAATGGACTGTGGGTGAGCGCGGCACCTCGAACACCCTGAGGTAGTTGCTGATGAGCGCCTCCACCACGATGACCTCCTCGCGGCTCGCGCCCTCCGACTGGAAGAGCGTCGGGCCGAACACGATGCCCAGGTTCCGCGCCGACATCTGATTCGAGTTGGCGTTGAGCTGCACGCTGTCGCCGCGGGCGACGACGACGGCAAGGCAAGTTGGGGGGGCAGTAGCAGCGTTGGGAGTTGCAAGGGGTGTGGAGGCGGCAGCGGCAGCAGCAGCAGGAGAAGCAGCAGCAGCAGGAGACGCAGCGGCAGCAGCGGCATGGGTGATGGTAAGACAACAGGGGCAGCAGCAACAGCAGCAGCATCAGCGACAACAGCAGCAGGGATGGAAACAACAGCAACAAAATTGGCACCGGTGAGTGCATCGTTGTATCGGGCCGTGACTCCTAGCGATTACATGAATTGGTATGATCAGGGCTCGCGATATTGACAGCTTTGTTTGCTTTGTTTCTTGTTTGTTCATTCCGGTTTGTGCAGTTTTGGAAACTTCCTTAGACGAAGTAAAGCATTCTCGTTTCGTTTGAAAAACGACGATTCACACACTAATTTGAAGCTTGCATCACGAGTGTAAGAAACGATTTTAATCAAAGGATCAGCGCATCGGTTTTGAATTTTGGAATTTGGCCATCCATGACTAAACGGAGATTTTCAAGAGCAGCAGGTTGATTTAGGCTAGGATTTATTGAAGTTTATTTTGGCACAGGTAAAACCCATTGGCCAATAAATTATAATTTTTAATGGGGACTATCAAATAAACCCATCATAATAATATGATATTTTAACTTAGGCTGGATAAATTCCAAGTTTTCACTATCATGTGACAGACATAGTGATCAAAGTTGTTGGTTAGTTTGTGCATAAAAATGTTCGCTCAAGCGATCCCTGTGAAATCTGCTTCTGCAGGCCATTTTCGAACAAAGGGGCAGTTGCGCCGCTCTGCGAAAGTTCCGGAAGGACACTCTCATCTGGCCGCTACGAAGCCAAGAGCACCATAGCGACGAAATCAGGAGCAAAAAAAATGTGACGAAACATTTTTGTTAGTTGACATAAACAAAACACAATTCCGTTTTTTATACGCACACACGAACAACACTCGCTCATTATTAGCGAATGGTCCAGTCCGGCACTTAGAAGCCCATGCGTGCGACACTGAAAGACATTGGACTGTACCACTGATTGCGGAGCAGCGGGGGTGGGGGGCGGGGGGAGATGTCCCAGTGTTCCCAGTTGCCTCTCACCAGTAGAGATGTTCGATGAGAGCCGCCAGGGTGGCGCGGTTCACGTGCGGCAGCTCCTTGACGAGATCCTTGTACCTCTGCAGCCGTTCCCCATCATCTCGAATGTCTGCACATGACAAAAACGTTCGCGTTTTTACACACACAAGAAAAAAACCCCACAGCCATGATGAAATTGACCACAACGGCAGCGGTGTTATTCTTTACCCATGGCCGTCTCACGGAGTCTCGGGATTCGTTTTCAAGAGGCTCACGCTTTGGGGACGGGGAGAGTGGGAGAGCGGGAGCAAGAGGTCAGGGGGAGAGAGGAGAGAGATGAGGGGAAAAAACCGAGAGAGCAAAGAAGAGAAATTGAGAAGAATGGAGAAAGGCAGGGAGAGAGGCAGGGAAGGAGTGGGAAGAGAGGCAGAGGACAGATAGCGGCAAGGAGATAGAGAGACATGCGTGGTAAAGCGGAAGCCGGGAGAGCAAGAGGTGAGGATAGAAGAAGGGAGATAAATAGTGAGAGGAAAGGAGTGCGAGAAAAGAGAAAGCATGGGGAAATATAGAGAGAGAGATGCATAGTGAAGGAGAGGTAGGGAGTGAGAGAGGCTGGGCGAAGCGGGGAGAGGGTTGGGATGCAGAGAGATATTGCGATGCAGAGAGAGAGGCAGGGGGTGGGATGCAGAGAGATGTTGAGATACAGCACGAGAGGCAGGGAGAGAGGCGTGGAGATAGAGCCAGGGAGGCACAAGGCAGAGAGAGAGAGAGACGGAGAGAGAGACAGGGAGAGGAGACAGAGAGGCGTAAAGAGAGAGATTGAGAAGTGCGGAGGAACGAGGCAGGAAAAGAGATACATGGAGAGGAGATGCAGAGAGAGTGATTGCAAAAGAGGAAGAGACAAGGGAGGGAGAGATGGAGATGCAACAAGGATCATGGACGAGAGGGAGACACACAGGGGGGGATAGAAGCAGAAAGTGAAAGTGTCTCATGTTCGAGCTTATTTGGTGTGACCAGCGGAGACCGGGAGAGAGGTTCTCATTTGGATCTACGGGGAGGGCGAACGGGTTGTGTGGCGTGTGCACAGAACTCGCCGCCGAAGTCGGAGGGACTTCGCCCGCTGTCTCGAGCGCTCGTTTGCAAAAGTGAGCCGGCTCGAATAAAATGACGAAATAAGCGCGAACACGGTGAAGATGCAACCAAAAATCAGGGCCAGAAAACAACGAAACAGAACTCAGATTGGAAATCGGAGCGACGGAGAGGGTCGAGAGACAGGGGTGCTGGGCTGCTGCGAGGGGGGGGGGGCAGCGGTGCTTGGGAGGGGGGGGGGGGGGTGGTGGCCACCCGACCCGCGGCGGCTCGTGTCCACGCGAGGCGAGCGCCGGCCGGCACGGTGCCGTCCTGCAGCTCGCGCAGGAAGCGCTTGAGGACGTTGGCGACGTCGTCCACGGAGTGCTCGCCCTCGCGGAGACGCACGGCGCGCGCGTCTCGCCAGAACTCGGCGAGGAGCGCGTGCGTGCGCGAGTTGGTGCCGCTCTTGCGGTAGATGCCATCCGACGTGAGCCCTGGAGAACGCGTACGCGGAAGCGTTTGAGACTTCTTGGCCATCCGTGACTAAACGTGCATCCGTCGTATGAAAGGCTGGTAAGTTCGAAAAATGTGTACTCGGCTATCTCAACAACGCTATTTGTTATTTTAGCAGGTGACGCCCACCGAGCTACGTAGATCTCTTTTCAGAAGCGACCCGGCCATCGAAAATGATTGCTCAACGAAGCGGCTCATCATCACATGGACATTCGTAACAGCGGCCAAACTTGGGGGGGAAACAGCGGAGGACTCGTCAAAAAAGTGCGCACGAGTCAGGGGAGAACCTACAGACTCCAAATACACAGCAGGCCGTCAGGGTTGGAATTGACCCTCCTCTATACCAGGCAAGGTGTACAGCGCGTGGCGGCGGTGCGAGCACGTGGGGGGCCGCACCGTACTGCGTGATGTACTCCATGCAGCGGCCCAGCACCACGGGGACGTCTCCCTCCAGCAGCTGCTGCTCGGCCAGCAGGCGACCCCCTCCCCGCGCCACGTTCTCCAGCGCCAGGCGCCAGGCGGCGAAGTTGAGCCGCGTGTCGCTCTGCACGTAGAGCATCCTGCGACCGGTGGGGAGTGCGGGGGGGGGGGGTGTGTTGGACGGGTGGAGGAGGCAGGGCGGGTGGGGCCGGGGGGGCGGGTGGGGCAGGTGCCTCGGGCACACCGCCTGAGAGAGGTGCCACCTGCATGTGGCCCAAATCTTTGGTGAGGTGGTGCCGGCACCGCAGCAGCCTTGTAGCGTGCGTGCCTTGCTGCCGTGCGTGGTCACATTTGTCTCGCGGGGCTTGTACCTTCGTTTCTCCACCAGGATGAGCGTCTCGTACTTCTCGATGACGTGGTCCGACATTCGTACAGCTGCCGATGGACACAAAAGCCCGTCAATGACCACCAACACGAGTCTCTTAGACTCACGAGGAACAAGCCGGCCGTGTTCTATTGCATCGAGGAGTGTGCTGCATTGCCATCATCGGATGCAGCAGCTCGCCGCTAAACTAACTACACAACCCGGCTTCCTGTTTTACACTAATCGGGAAATGTTGTTGGTGTTGTTGTCAATGTGTTTGTCTGAAACGACTGCTCGTGGAGCAGTGGTGACCATTAATGTTGGAGAACTGCCGACGGAAATGGATATCGTAAAACTACTTCTGAGATCCCCATTAAGTGACCTTTGCCCGGGAGCAGCACTTACCCACCCGCCCTGCGCTGCAGGGTAACGCTCACTGCGTGACAAACAAAACCAACTATTCTTAACTCTCACAGCAGAAATGATAGCCATGTTAAGTGCACACCCAAATCCAACGTGATGATTTGTTTGTGCAAGTCGCTGATACCAAGACCATCGGCCCACTACATCCGAGAAGCCACTTAAATAACTCGCAGCCGCCTGGATTGGAACCCCAGGCGGCCCGACAACCTCCCGCATGAGACTCAAATGAAACCTTTTGAATCCCGGTCCCATCCACGCTCCCCTCCTCCCCCCCGGCAAACAAAACCTCCGGCTGGCTCGACGCACGAGGGGGGAGACCTCTCACGTACAGATCTCCTGAAGTTTCTGCAGGTTGACCACCACCTCGGTGCCCTCGAGGTCATCACCGTCGCCGCCACCGCCGTCCTCGCCACCGTCACCGTAGTCGCCGTCGTCTAAGCCGCCGTCGTCACCAACCTCGTAGAAGCCCTCCTGCGAGGGCGACGCTCGGCCCAGCGCCCCGGACAACTGCCTCTGGAAGGCCGCGTCGGCCTGGGCGATCGCGGCGGGCGGCGTCGCGACGACCGCACGGAAGCGCAGGAAGGCGCCGTGCAGCGCGAACACGGCCGGCTGCCAGCGGATCTGGCTTCGGCCGTCGCGGCACAAGAGGGGGCCCACGCGGTCGAAACCGCGGCGGCACAGGGCCTCGGCACCGGGCCACGGCAGGGCCTGCGGCGATGGAGAAGTGCCGTTCGTTTCTAGTCTTCGTCGTGGTTACCGTCGTCGTAATCGCCGTCGCAATCGTCAGCGGCAGCGTCGTCATCAGCGCGATCGTCGTTGTATTTTTAAAATATCTATATATATATTTTTTAACAAAAGTGCTCGGTCCAGAAGAGAAAAATGGACGGTGTGTACAGATATTTTGTGGACAAAAGCCCGAGGCACGGTGCTCACGGAGGCAAGGGAAACTGGAGAAGGATGACCTCACTGTCCTTCCTAAACGTGGGGACAACGATCGGAGGGGGGGGGAGGGGGAGTGGGAGTGGAGTTTCTTTAGGGGAAGGGAAGGCAAAGGAGAAAAAAGAAGGGGAGGGTGTGGGGGCTGGGGTGCGGATCATCGTCGTCGTGTTGATGATCGTCGTCGTCAGCGACCATCAGCACGACGTTGTTCACGAACCTCCGGCACGTACATGGTCGATCGTACCGCGATCAGAAGGAAAAACGGATTTGGCAGCATTTCACAATCGGTTACTATTAAGTCTATGCCGATTAGCACTGCATCATGGGCGCATGGCACCAATTGGTCGCTTTCAATTAGATAACAATTGTATATTTCGATTTAAAGCTTTCGTGACTGCAAGGATTCATCTTCTTTGGTTCTTTCGGTAAAGTCACGTAGAATGAGAATAAAATAATAAAATAACACAATTAAATTCTCACGATGTTTCGGCCACAATGCAGACAGGTCTGTTCCTTTCAGGTGAAAGGTACAGACCTGTCAGGACGACAGAGCTGTCGTCCCAACAGGTCTGTTCCTTTCACCTGAAGACGGCCGCTTGCGTTGTAGCCGAAACGTCGTGAGAATTTTATTGTGTTATTTTATTATTTTATTCTCATTCTACGTGACTTTACCAAAAGAACCAAAGAAGAACAATTGTATAATTATAAAAACATCTGAATACAAGAACTTGCATTTAGTGTTGGGAAATCGGCAGGAATTTATGTACTTTTGCAATTTGTACGTGCTTACGTTTTCTACGTTTTGCACTCCCATCGTTTGCCGACCCGCCCCTACTGGGCATCTGTGACGAAGAGCTTCACAGCTCCATCGGATTCCTCCTCCTCCCGCAGTCTAACAAAAGATCCCGATATCGAACTGGGCCGAGAGCGCCGGCGGACGAGGAGCGGGCGGCACGGGGAGGGGGCCGCACCTTGAGGAGGGCGAGGATCCACTCCCTGTGCGTGGCGGTGCAGTCCGACCCAAACAGGAAGAGCTTCTCATTCTTGGTGCAGATCTCAAAGGTGTGCTCCATCCTGGCAAGGGGGGACAGGCGATGTGTCAACGGGAGGGATTTATTGTCAACAGGGTCGTCACGAACGCTCCCATCGCTTTCTTCCTTCTCTGTAGACCCAAAAGCCGTTGCATGAATCGAGAGCCCGTCCTCCAATGTCCGCCCTTACAGCCTCGTCACCACCGCCGCTGTGTGGCTCCGAGTCGCTGCCTCCTGCTACGCAGGTGACGCATCCTTCGAGGGCCGCTCTTGCCATGCCCTGCCTCTTCCCAGCCGCTCGTCCGCCCTCCCCTTCCCTTCCTCGTCGCCGCAGCGTGGAACTCAGCACGTTCCTGCTCCGCCCCCCTCCCTCCTTCCCCTCCCCTCCCGTCCATCCCTCCTCACCCATGCGCGTTGTGCGAGTGGGCCCCGCTCACGGCCAGGCTGACCAGGTCCTGCAGCTCGACGCGGCCGCTCGCCGTCGTGCTGCGCTCCGACTCGTAGTAGCTGAGCGCTCCGTTCTCCAGCACGCACCAGCGCCGGCAGAAATCTGAAGCGCACCCCCCACCCCCGCACCGCGACCACACAGCCAAAAGGATTCAAGCGTTCGGTCACCCGGCAACGTTACCGCGCCGGCAGGAGAAGCTGCTGCGCCGTGGGCCCCCCAAACGACACAAAGCGGCGGCGGTGGCGGAGCGAGCTCGGGGTGTCTTTTTTTTAGTTCAGAGCGTCCTCACCTTCCTTGGGCTTGCGGTCAAACAGGACCTTGGTCGTGGAGGCCGTTTTGTAGAGGTAGCCCGAGACGATGGCCGGTGATGAGGGCGGCACCGTGGCTCCGGGTATGGCTGCGGTCGCACCACGGGTGGCGGCAGGGGGGGTGGGGGGGGGTGGTGAGCAACGAGTGCAATTTCACATTCCAGGTGGTCAAGCCGGATAACCGCGTCAGGAGCAGCGGAGTGGTGTAACATCGCTGTGACGTCTCCTTCGTATTTTGTGGATCGGGGCATTGCGTCATTAGACGTTGTACGGTCTCTGTTCTTAATGACCACAGTAACACACCGGAGATTTTTTTTACTTTCCATTTGTGGCATCTGCCAGGGCTTGTGAGGATACGATACAGGGTGGACCATGGACTAACTCTGGTGCGAATTCACTCGCGGGAGCAGCATTTATGAGGCTCAACAGCGCCATCAGTGTACCGCGGTGCGAACAGGTTACATCATGCCAACCCGCTCTGACCAGCGTGGTGGGGTACAGCCTAAAAGGCTCCAAGATGTGCACTGTGCGTCGGGGAGGTTCTCATCCAGCAGCGGAGTGAACAAAAGGGGCTGCACGTATACATCTATGTGTCTGATTTACGTGGCTGCACGGCTCAAGAATGTAGAGGACCGCTGAGCTGGCACCACACTAATAACCTGGGTTCGAATCCGGGTTTCAGTCACCCATGATGAAAACCAAGCGTAGGGAGTTGATGTTCTCGGCCCAGTCACCAATAACTCCCAAGGCAAAGATCCCCCATATAGCCTTAACAGACTGTTGGGGCAAGTGCTGCTCTTGAGCAGCACCTATGAAGGCTGGCACGGTTACACGATGGGGTGGGTGGCCAGCACCACGCCCGACCGCCTTACCGGTGTTGGCCATGAATGGGAAACGAACTCGGGTCGTCGGGTCCGTAGCGCGGCGCGCTGACCGCTACGCTACCGCAGTAACGACGCACACACACTCCACACAATCAAGCGCTTGATTTGGCCAATTCTCGACGGCGTGGCCGGTAGCGATGTCCCGCGCCGAGTGGCCACGCACTCGAGTTGCGGTTCTGCAGCAGGAGCTCGGTCTGCAGGCGCTGTCCCGCGCGCTGTGCGAGCTGCACCGGTGTGGCGCCGTCCGGCTCGCCCGTGCAGCACAGCATGCTCGCTCCGCAGAACACGAGCGCCATCGACTCCAGCAAATTGGAGGTCACCACCGCCCTGCACAGCGCCTGGACCGGGGGGGAAGAGGAATGGGGGGGGGGGGGAGGAGGTGCAGGGGTGGGACGGGGGAATGAGTCAGTGGGCGAGTGGGCCCAAAGCGGCCAGGTGGGCGAACTGAGCGAGCGGGCGGGTGGCTGGGAGAGCGCCAATGAGGTGAGGTGAACGCGCTCGCGTGCCGATGTGGCTTGGTTGAGCGGGGGAACGGGCGAGTGGTCTGCGTGGGTGGGTGCCAATGCGGTTAGAGGGGCGAGTGAGTAGTCGAGGGTCAGTGTGGCAGGATGAGTGGGTGAGCGAGTGCCAAGGTGCTGGATTAAAGCGTCCCAAAGCAGTTGCGATTGCTCAAGGGTGGTCACGAGGCAACAGCAATCCGTCTCGGCTCCACGAGCTCGGAGAATAAGTTCCGACTTGTAACGCGCGCGCGGTATTCGCTCACTCTTAGAGAGAGAGAATCACTCAAAGGTGCCAGGAACAAGCGGGAAGGCAGCCGCACGGTGAGCCGGCGCTGACGAATGCCCAAGCTCTGCGGTCCTCTATACAAGAAGATGTCACCAGCCAGCGAATGAGTGTGGGCGGAATCCGGAGCACCCGGAGAAAACCCACGCGTGTGGAGGGGGAAACGCTCGATCCCATTCATACAGACGCAGGTGGACTGCACATTTCTGCTGTAACTGCCTTCTCCTGGCAAGCCAGGGGTATGGCACCTCCTCCTCTTCGACGCCCACGGGAGGCGAATATGGATGACAAAGCTAATCGCCACCTCTGATTCGCACAGTTGGCTACGTTTAACATACACGCATACGTACGGGGAAGGGAGTTTCATTCCGCAGCATTCGTGCGGCCGTCCACTAGCCCTCGCCCGACCAGTGCCTGTATTACAGACTCCTCGGCGCACAGCCACCACCGCCGCCACCAGCCCGACCACCACGAGCGCGAGTCTCACGGACGCTCACCGTGCGCACGCCGGCTCGCTGCTCGGCTCGACCGAGCGCCGCCGCCGCCGCCACGCTCACCTCGTTGAGCTCACTCTCGTTGCCAAAGCACGGGTGGTAGCAGCGGTAGCGGCCCTCGCGGTACTTGGCGAAGACGTACTCGCGGCGCCGCTCGGCCTCCGAGCTCGGATCCACGGCCTCGCTCGGCGGCACCGACGCCGCCCAGAACTTGTTCACCTGGGCATTCCCCAGCTCCTGGAAGAGCTGCCTCGTCACGCGAAGATCAACAACCCACGTGTAGCCGTTAACAGACTGTTGGGGCCGAGCGCTTTCAGCGAGCACCTATGAAGGCCGGCGGGTGGGGTGGCCAGAACTTACGCCCGGCCGCCTTTGTCTCACTCAGTGGCGATGATTGTTTTTTACACCGCACCATTCCTCGGCCTAATGGAGGCCCAGGACCAGTTCAGATAATTATTGTCACTGGGTGTTGACCGTGAGCGGGAATCGAACTCGCCCACGGGCGTGCCGGGTTCGTGGAGCCCATCATTGAACGAGCGCGCACGGTGGGGGGGCGGGGGGGGGGGTTGCGACAAATTACAAATTCGCCGAGACGCGACCAGGCTGGAGCTCGACGCGGGCCGGCACGTCGCTGTCGCCGGTCAGAGGCGACGGTCCCGCCCGGAAAACTATCCGGCCCCGCGGGGGTCAACCCTGAGTAGCATCTATCTATTTATTTATTTTAGTCCACGAGAAGGCACGCTCCGGTCCTCTCCACCGCAGACCGACCTCGATGAGGTTCTTGGTCCAGATGTTCTTGTCCATCTTGAGGCTGCGCACTTTGGACACCGTCTGCCCCAAATTCCGGTGCTCGCCTGGAGACGGTGCGCACGGGAAAACAAAACACGAGGTGGAATGAGCTGCGCGGCTCCACGCACCGTCGCTGAGGTGAAGGCAAATCGGCACGTGGGCGGAGCAGTCGCCAAATTATTTTGAAAAACTGAAAAAAGCAGTTGTATTTCACCAGGTAAGGCCCAACTGAGCCACATCGCTCTTTTTCGACCTGGCCACAAATGATAGCTCAACGAAGTGGCTTATCGTGTGGAAATGTACAGCAGGCAAATACTCCGAATGCATGTGCATTCTAAATGTGGAGGGAAATACCGGAGGACCCGGAAAAAAATCCACACGACCGCGGGGAGAGAGACACGCAAACTCCAAATATACGGCAGGCGTCAGGGTCGGGATAGAACTCACGACCTCCTGTATACCAGGCAAGGTAGTTCACATCTCACCACCATGGCGCCCCCAATATATATAACTAATTAGCATCATTATCATTAACCATGATCTATCCACTGCTGGATGAAGGCCTCTTGCCATCTTGCGATGCAACAATCTCGCTTCTGTGCACGAGCAGATTTAAGCCGCTCCATCTCCGCGGTGGATGTTTCCCCGCTCGGACGCGTTCCCTGCTTTGGCTACCACTCCGTCGACCCTTCCTGGGACGAATCCTAACCGTAGGCTTTCGCGACCAATATTATTCATAATTAAGGTTTTTGGCTTAGATCGCGTTATTTATAAATGTGTCGTAACCCTCCACCACCCGACACGGCCAATCAGCAAAAAAGTGTCACGTTGACAAAAGACAATTAGTTCACTACTTTAGCCCACTGGTGTGTTGAAGAGTGAATCCACAACATTTACAGTTTGAATACGACGTTTTCTTTAGCGGTCAATATGATGAACTCACAAAGGGGCTGTAAATAATTATTATTGTTCAAATAAACAAATACATCTCCAAGAGATGCAATGCATTAATTTGTAAATCCATTATTAAGCCAAAAATACTTCCAAGACGTAATCATGGAAAACTAACCCAAACGCGCAGCACTCAACTCCGCTGGCAGTCCTGGGTCAATGGATGAATTTCCACGTTCCCGTGGTGGGGGCCCAGTCTCTCACCAAAACAATCGCCGTTGAGGTCCCACGAAACAGAACCCGTGTTATTGGCAGTTTAAACGGAGCCTGGGCCGGGATTTTAAACCATAAACTTCCCACTGTGAAACGAGCCCTCCCCAGCCACCAGAAGAAACAAAAAATATGACCCCGGTGTAGCCTCTAACAGACTTTTGGCGCAAGTGCTGTGAGCGAGCAGCGCCTATCAAGGCCGACGCGGCACACGTGGGGCGGGTTGGCCAGCACCGCGCACAGCTGCCATTCGTCTACACCATGACGATGTTTACACATCGCACCAGGTTCTCATTTGAGGCCGAGTCGACCTAGGGGAGGTCAAGGACCGGTTCAGATAACCGTCACCGCTCGCGATTCCCGCTCGCGGGAATCGATTCCCGGGGTCGCCGGGTTCGTAACGCGGCGCTGCCGCCACAGCCGCCACCGGCTGTCAACGCCCTTGGCTCTCTGTGGCCGGTCCGTTACCGGCGCAGCGCTTGCAGATGACGACGCAGAGGTTGACGGAGGCCCAGTCGGGCCAGGCGGCGCCGCAGTCGGCGCAGCGGCGGTTGTGCTCGTTGGCCCAGATCTGCTTGGCGACGTCCAAGTGGGAGAGCGAGGTGGCGATCGAGTCCCGCATCGTCTCGAGCCACTCGTCCCGCTCGCGCTCGTTCTCCGCCATGAAGCTGCGACCGCAAAAATCACGCGCCGCCCTCGAACGCCGGTCGACCGCGCTTGCCCTCCCGCGGAAGGGAGCCAATTCGTGCATTCCGTTCGTCCGTCCGTCCGTCCCGTCCGTCCGTAATGGCGAGGAAACTGCAACTCTTGGAAACGCAACATGTTCGTTGGGCGGTGTTGTTATTGACGAGCGCGTTGAGTTTTGTTGTCGTCGGTGCTTGTGCGCCAGCAAATAATTTGTTTAACGCTAAGAAAGATTATGCAATGTGAGCGAAAACGTTCATTTAGAATTGTGTCATTACGGACTGACCCGATTCAACACCGGCTACGGTGACCAAAGAGTTACCGTTACTTGCCGACACAAAACCGGGGCAAAAAGCAGAGCACAAATCTTTGTAAGCAAGCTTTTACCCCCCGACAGCTACTTGTCAGATTCCATACTCATCGCGAAATTCTTCAAGAAGACCAAACGCACATTGGAAAGTGTTACGTAATCCACGTGGCAAGCACGATTTTCCGCAACTGTTTTTTTTCCCCCTTACAATTATTTTCCATTCGTGCTGCCGGCCCGTGAGCAAATCACCAGGAGGGCGCTCAATTTGCATCGGATCTCGGAAGCTCTTGCTGGGTTGAGCCCACACCGTGCTTCGATAGGCCACCACCACGTGCACAGCAGAGGACAGCGCAGCAACTATTGTTGTACTGTACTTGTACTGAACTGACATCGCGCACTAATCAGCATGGCGAAGTATTGTCACATTCACCCCCATGACCTGCAAACTATGGGGGGCAGGGGAGAGACCGTGATTCAACAGTGGACTGACAAGCAGCTGCGCATGTATATATTTAAATCACGCTTTCAGAATCATGGCATGAGCTAAACTAAATCTAAAGTAATCTATTTTATTATTTCAGAGGCGACCTGGCCACACATGACAGCTCATCGAAGTGCCTGATCATGACATGTGGGAATTTATAGTCGTAGCCAAATAATCTAAACGCATGTTGTTTCCAACTGCGGAGGGGTTTGGCAAAACTGGAGGAACCTGGAGAAAAATCCGAGAAGAGAGGACACACGGACTGCAAATATACAACAACAGGCATCGTCAGGGTTCGGGATCAAACCCACGACTTCATGCATACCAGGCGAGGGAGATAGCATTTCGCCACCGCGGTAATCAAAAGCTTTGTGCTGCCGCAGCAAAAGCGACTTTGGATGTCCACATTTGTTTTTATTTATTCATTCATTGGAGTCTCTGAGTCAGGGTGGGCCAGGATTGGGCAAGGACAGAGCTCCACCACTTTTCACCCAGGAAACCGGAGCGTAACCACATTAAAAAGTATATTATTATTAAACTTTTTTTTATTTTACTAGGTAAGGCCCGCTTTTGTTATATAGCTCTTTTTCCAAAGCGACCTGGCCACAAATGATAGCTCAACGAAGTGGCTTATCAAGTGGACCAAATGCTCGAAACACATGTTTCTAAATGTGGAGGGTAAAACCGGAGGACCCGGAGAAATATCCATGTGAACATGGGGAGAGCGAGACACGCAAGCTCCAAATATACAGCAGGCGTCAGGTTCGGGATCAAACCCGCGACCTCCTGCATACCAAGAAAGGTAGTTAACATCTCACCATTGTGGCGCCCCACTTAGATACTTCTTTACTCATCACTCAAACAAACAACTACGTATACTTTAGAGTGCACAACATAAAAAAATAGCAAATTTACTAAAATAGTTACAATTCTAAAAGTTTAACACCTTGTGCCAGAGGGAGGCCCTGGGAGATGTGAATTCCCCTGCCTGACATGCAGGTCATGGGTTCGATCCCGACCCTGACGCCTGTATATTTGGAGTTTGCATGTCATCTCTCCCCATAGTCGTGTGGATTTTTCCCCGGGTCCTCCGGTTTTTCCCTCCACATTTAGAAAATTTAATTTAGAGTATTTGCCTGCGATAAATTTCCACGCGATAAGCCACTTTGTTGAGCTATCATTTGTGACATCCAGGTCGCTTCTGAAAAAGAGCCGTATAGCTCAGTGGGCCCTTACATTGTAAAATAAAAGTTAGTTTAGTTTTCGTTTATGTGGCACATTAGGAATGGACCACTCTTTTAATTATTTCCTCGTGCAGCAAGGTAGTAAAGTGTGGTTTTGTGAAAGTCCTAATGTGCTGTGCAGGACATCAATACACTTGTGGACACCAGCATGCGATAACTGAGTTGGGCCTGTGGGTGGCTGGCAGCATTATTGATGAACTGGACCTGTACACCAGTCACGTGGTTAATGGCGACTCAGTTGAGGATTGCTGTGTGTGACACCACGTGGTGTTGCATCTTACAGATAAAGGACCCAAAGGTTGTATTTGATCGTTATAGAAATATTCTAGAATTGTTCTAGACTTCAAGCTTGGCTTTGAATTGTTAGTTTGTGATATATTCATTCGAAAAGGTTTGAGCACTGTGCACTGTTAAGAATGACGTACTGTAGTTAATACTTGTAATTCTCTAACCCTGATACTGTTTATTCTATAACCATGCCCATGCACCCACAGTATGACTACTTGCAATGCTATTGAGAATAGAACACATGTACAGTCGTAAGTTGTAGAATGGTGACAAGTACAGTCCGTATACTGTACACATACAGTACAGGTAATGGGTGCAAGATACCGATATAAGTGGATGGTATAGATAGACATACAGCTTAGGATTAAAGTAATATGCGAATAGTGAAGTGCAAATGTTATTGTCAAAGACAAAGATGGTTTATCAGTCGTAGAATTGGGTTTAAGAGAAACTTATTGATTAACCGGGCTTGTACACCAGTCACGTGGTTAATGGTGACTCGGTTGAAGATTGCTGCGTGTGACACCACGTGCTGCTGCATTTTACAGATTGACCACAATAAATGTGTTTGCCCTCGATTTGGAGCACCTGCCCACATCCTTCATTTCGCGTGTGCAACATGTAACTCTTGCTGAGATCTCTTGGAATGGGAGGTCCTCATTTATCCACATTAGGGGCTCCTTACGAAGGGGCCCCAGTGCAAAGGCCTCTACCTGAATGTTTTAAACGCCGTCGTGAGATCAATGCCCTTCTTCTCCACCGCCCTCACGTTTGCCACGTTCATCTCAATGCAGGTGATACCCAACGAGGTGCGGAAGTCCTTAATGAATAAAAGAACACACACACAAACAAAGAGAAAGATCCCCCGTGTAGCCTTCAACAAACTGCTGGGGGCAAGTGCTGGTGGTGAGCACCTATGAAGGCTGGCAAGGCATACCTATTACCCCACTGCTTCTCTACAATCAGCTTAGAATGCACTACAACTGACTGGTGAGTATCTCTGTAAAAGAGTATGTTGTTTCTTAAATCTAAGTTAAAATGTAGGCTTAGTTTCATTTTTTAAAAGTTTTATGTGCTTGGTGAACCGTAACTACACCTCTCAGATAACCGCCATGTTTGATTAACCGGCACCCTCCATTCCCCCATGGATGCCGGGTAACAGAGCTGGATGCCGGATAACAGAGCTGGATGCCGGATAACAGAGCTTTTGCTTTTCGATTTAAAGCTTTCGTGACTGCAAGGATTAATCTTCTTTGGTTCTTTCGGTAAAGTCACGTAGAATAAAATAATAAAATAACAATAACAATACAATTCTCACGACGTTTCGGCCACAACACAAGAATGAAACTAAGCCTTCTTCAGAAGGCTGCTTGTGTTGTGGCCGAAACGTCGTGAGAATTTGATTGTGTTATTTTATTTTATTTTTTTATTCTACATGACTTTACCGAAAGAACCAAAGAAGAAGAGCTTTTGCTGTATAACGGTGAGTTACCAACCCTTTCTCGGACACCCTGTGATCATGCTCAACGATGTATAGTATTCCCTCGTTGTTTGTGAGGGATACGTTTCGGAGATGCCTGTGAACAGGTTTTTTTTGCGGATAATGATATTGGCCTACGAAATAAATTACCTTAAACAAATACATTAATAAGCTATACTTTTTGGTTCTTTCGGTAAAGTCACGTATAACTAGGTGACTTTACCGAAATAACCAAAAAGTATGGATTCCTGCAGTCACGAAAGCTTCAAATCAAGATTAATAAGCTACTAACTGCATAAAATTTAGCATAAAACAAAAATATATACATTGCTTTTCATACACATAAAGTAAATGAAAATAATTCTCAAGTAAATATAAAAATATTTCATGAATGAACTTAAGTTTAATTGCACATCACCACTTTATCCCATCACTTTATATGATCACTTTCTTGCATCTCATTCTCTCTCATTGCTTTTTCTCTCTCGATGCAGCGGTCGAGCAGAGTTCAGATACCGGAATCAGCCAAAATCGCGGGATCGAAAAAGTTTGTGAGTAACGAAGGAACGCGTGAAACGGACGTTTTACAAAGTGCTTGCTGGAAATGATCCACAATACCTTGCTGATCTCGTAAGGGATAATAAATCATTACACGAACTCTGGTCACCCTCACAGCGGCTTTTGGTTAGCTCACCGCATCGCGCGCTTTTGGATGTGGCCGTCTGGAACGCTCTTCCGATATTAGGAAGCCACTGGGAGCTATCCATTTTAAAATCTAGATTGCAAACTAATTTCTTTAAAACTGCTCTTTGTGTTTTAGTTTGTTGTCCTCCCCCTCGCACCTTCCGATTAGCACGGTTAGCAATGTACGGTGCGACAGAAGTTCAACGTGTGTACAGACACACACACACACAAAACAACCTGCTCGCTCTTGAAGAGCCACAGGCGGTCGGAGCAGCAAACGACGTAGAGCTTGGCCTTGCCGCGCAGCTCCAGGGTCCCGCGCTTCTCCTGCTCCCCCCACAGGGCCTCCCCGGGGATGACTCCGGCGCTGTGGAGCATGGAGGCCACGCCGCCTTCGGGGGACCGCTGGGCCTGGACGGCCTCGCGCAGGGCTGACACCCAGCCGGCACGCTCCGCTGCACGCGCGCAATGCACGGTGGGGGTGAGACGCTAAAGCGTTTGTTTTGCTGCCCGTTTGTTTGAAGGTTCGATATTGTACCAGCTGCCAGGGACGTTTGTTTGCATACTTACAAACAGGCTTTTAGCTTTGGTTGTCGTCTCCCATAAAGCAAGACATTTTCACAAGGGGTTAATTCATATTGACTTACTAGGTCCCCCCTCCCACCCATTACCAACAGAGTTAATACTTGAAACCCGTTCAACCATAGCTGGAAACCGTTACAATGTAAGGTCAGTTATTTCTTCCAGTTTCTTCAAAATAAACCAGCTGGCCAGGCGTTGCCATTGGTGGCGAGCTGTTATCTCCCTCGCCTGGTTTACAGGAAGACGTGAGTTCGATCCCAACCCTAATGCCTGTATATTAAGAGTTTGCATATTCTCCCCGTGGTCTCGTGGATTTTTCTCCAGGTCCTCCGGTTTTTCCCTTCACACTTAGAATCAACATCACGCGTTGAGAGTATTTGGCTGCTATACATTTCCACGTGATGGTGATATGCCACTTCGTTGAGCTATCATTTATGACAGCCAGGAGGTATATGCTCAGTGGGCCATACCTGGTAAAATAAAAATAGTTTAGTTTTAGGTTTAGATTAACCCTTGCTGAGATCTCTTGGAACGGGGAGGTCTCTTTTATCCACGTTAGGAGCTCCTTGCGAAGGGGCCCAGTGCAAAGGCTCTACCTGAATGTTTTAAACCACTCACCCTCCGAGTCGGCGCGGAACACGAAGGCCCTGGTCTGCGTCACCACCTCGAATTTGGCGTCTCCTCCTGTCTGAGTGAGGACCTCCTGGACGGCGGACAGAGGCAAGACGCCCTTGGAGTACATCTCCTGTGGTGTGGGACATGGGGAGGAAACCGGGAGGAACCGGGAGGAAGAGTCGGACACCAAAACCCCGGTAAGAGGAGAACGGGCGGCTCGGGGGGGTTAGGTCAAAGGTTAATGACGCCATGATCCTGGGTTTAAATCTGGGGTTCACCCACCTTGTGATTACTATTTGTATCGCAATTTTATTTTTTACCAGGTATGGCCCAACTGAACTCGACAGCTCTTTTTCAGAAGCAACCTGGCTACAAATGACAGCTCAACGAAGTGAATTATCATCACGAGAAAATGTATAGCAGCCAAATACTCTAAACGCAAGTCGATTCCAAATGTGGAGGAAAAAAGCGGAGGACCCAGAGAAAAATCCACGCGACCACGGGGAGAGACACACGCAAACTCCAAATATACAGGCGTCAGGGTCGTGATTGATCCCACAACCTCCGGTATACCAGGCAAGGTAGTAAACATCTCGCAATCGTGGTGCCCCAACCTAATTGAAACCATATTTCAAAGTGAAAATGTAATCGAATAATTATATGAGTTCATGAAATTAACGCATCACCAATGACAAAAAAAACAATAAAATAGATTAAATTTGTTAAGTAGAAGGATTTCGGTCAAATCGTGGACTCACAAATATTTTTTTTACGTTCAAGGTCGCGATAAAGTTGAATGTTTCGAGTTTTTATCGTAAATTATGTTTGTGCAACACTGCCAATGAAGTTCCACCAACTAATGAATGAAATAAAACTTTGGAATTTTACGCCGGCTGGTCGGTGCGGCTCGGTGACGAGGAGCCACACGGGAAACGGTCCAGATGCCACTCGCCACCGATGGGAATCGAACGCGGGTAAGCAGCTGGGGTCACAGCGCAGTGCCGCTAACCACTACAACCCCGCCCCACCGCCACCACCGACCGCCAGATACCTTGTCGTTGCTGTAGTAGTAAAGGTAGCGGCCATCACTCTTCACCCAGCGCTTCTGGAAAAGGTACGGCCTGGTAAAAAAACGTGAGAGCGAGAAAAAGCATGGACACGTTTACACGGGAATTGACCTCGGGTTGCCAGGTTCGTGGCAGAGTGCGATGGACCATTGCAACGCCGCTTCCTTCCTTCGCCACCTTCCCTTGCCCCCTTTTGCGCCGTAAACAAAACCAAAAACCCACGAGGGCAATTTTTGTTCGGTCCTCACAAATTGCGTGGCGACTTTGGGTTTGGTTCGTGTTTTTGCTTGCGAGCGCGCACGTCGCCAGCATTCGCCCGTGGCTGGTGTGAGCTCTGGGTGATGACGGTGAGTGCGTTGAGTGTTTTATCACAATCCCAGAAGAGGGCAGCCCTGCAATTTCTTGCTCAAGCTGCTGCTGATGCTTGGGCCTTCTAGAGAACCCCAAAGTCAAGTTCAAGTTTATTCGTTTAACGGCATGAGAACTCAAGAGACCAGGATGAGTCTCATTTGCAAGAGTGTCCTGGTGCATACATCTGCCGGAAGGGGACCACGATCGCAGCTGTGCATCGTCCCAATTGAGTAACTTGCGGGGCAAGTTTCGAATTTTGACACATTTTGGACCCCTCCACACTGGCATACAATGGCCTGCCCTTGCGAACAACGCAAGGGGGATCTTTAGCGTCCACCACGAGATGAAACGGACACCGTGTGGCATCACTACGGTCGACACAGCAGCGTAAAATCAGCGCGGCCGCAGGATTGGAACCGCAAACCCTCCGCGACAACGAGCGGAATGGGTGGCAAACTCCGGAACTCCGTCGGCGGCCCGGGGGGGACCCCCCCCGGGGGGACCCCCCCCTACCCGGCCCCGGCCCTGCCCTCCCCTCCTCACCCCTGCGGCGCTTGCTTGTCGAGCCAGCCGGCCTTGATGCTGCCGCTGCTAACGGGCCGTGGGGCCAGGACGAAGGTGCCTCCGCCATCACCGTCGCCCGTCGAGTAGACGTGGCGTTCCGACTCACCCGCCCCCTCCACGTCCATGACCAGGCTGTAGACACGGTTCTCGTCGTCGGAGCAGCTGGACGCGAGCGATAAGAGGCACCGTAAAATAAATGAAACAAGTTAATCGTGGTTTGCCGAGTACAGGCCCAAAGCATGCCAAATATTATCCACAATTAAGGTTTTTAGATCATACTACTATAATGAGCCAAGAATGTATGTGTGTCCTGCGCGTGACGTCACTCCACGGTGGCCAGCCCCCCTCATTAATACTTATGAAGAGGTGACGTATTCCAAATAGACAACCCCCCCCCATTAATAATAATTAGCGGGTCACATCACACGATCTCAATAACGCTGTTGTTGAGACAGAAATAAAAAGGACGTCATGATGAACAAGGGATTATAACCTTTAAATGAAATAAGTCTGTGTCACCGCGGTCTTACAAATTGCACACGAATTGATGCAATGAATATCACGTCACGGTCTGCTTTTCGCTTGCAAGTTTCATATTTACTGAAATACACCCATCCTTGGGCAAAGGCTAAGGTAAATATAAATGTGCCATTAAACCCACCACCAGACACAGCCAATTAGTAGGACTTGTCACGTAAACATAAAGCAGGCCAGCATGATTGATTTGGGCCAAGGTGATTGCACACACTTGGGACAAGAGTCTGCCTGAAGCGTGTTCCTCAACATCGGTGGAGGAGTCAATGAGTGAGGTTCATGGAAACAGTGGCTGTGGCGAAAGTGACAGCAGAATGGTAAGGAGACGACTGATCGTCAGTGAGCGAGTGAATGCAATCAATCGGCGAGCAATGGATCATCAATCAACCCGACGGCTCTATGCTGAATTCTAGAACATGTGTACGTACATGTAGTGCCGCCTGGCCAGAAGCTTCATGGCCTTCCCGACACCTCTTTACTAGACATCTGTGAAAAAGAGCTTCATAGCTTTTCGGATTCCTCCAATATGAATAAATATTCAGATTCTGACCCCTCTTCCATCCCCCCCCCCGGCCACCGCCACCTCTGGTAAAATTTAATCTAGATTCACAATTGGTTTCTTTTGAGTTTGGACGTCGTGTTAAAATGCGTGTCGCGAACCCTCCTCCACCCGACATGGCCAATTTATGAAAGTGTCACGTGACTCAAACGTGCCAAATGTGTCGCTGCTTCAGCAGCGCAGCACTACCGGTGGCGTTCTCGTTGTCGGAGAGTAGTCGCACGACACTTGAATGAGTAACGACGCTTCGCTGGAGATGACATCCAGCGTCATCAGGTCGCTAACAGGAGCTGAGATCTCGAGTGAAAGCCCTTCCTGATCCGGGTTCTCAGGTAGATGCCATGACGTCATCGGCACGGTCATGCAAGTGATCCCATTTAATTATAATTGATTTGTTGTGACTGGCAGTTTAGGATCATGTAATAAGGTGAATCCATGAAGCGGTTGGTGAAAATAGGCTTTCCTTAATTATGTTAGGGTATATCGTGTTTGAAATAAAGTTGGGATCCTATCTGTTCAGCACGCATTCAGCACTTTTGTCTACCTTCATGAGTTTGTATATATATAAAAAAAACTATTAAATCCAGGGTGCTTCAAATTTTTTTAACACTTCTGAGAATTTGCAACAATATCACAAGAAATGTGCTGCCTCCGGGCTCTGGAGACGACCTGGAGAAGATTCCAGGCACGTGTTGACAATGATGGCGTTACAGTGGAGACACTTTGAAGCCATTTACATACATTTGTTATCACGTTACAGTGTATTATCCGTTCTTTTCCCATTCAAAACGATAGTCCCATATAAATATTAGCATTGTTGTGAAGCACCCTAAATAATGTATTACTACCGTACCCTGCGATTGTAATGTTTAACATATTTTTGTTTAATGGTGGGTAGTGGGAACTTGGCTGCGCAGTCCACGGTGTGTGACCCCCGTCTCTCTCTCCAAGCTTTTCACATTCGCCCTTCGGATCGCCGCGCAACGACAATAAAAATGTCGACACGGGTTCACGCGGGGACGGGCCATGGGGCCCAATCTGAAGGGAAACGACGCGGAATGCGACGCGACAGATGTGGCCGAGAATGTTGTCTCCTTGCGACCGAATATAAATCCTGCAAAAGATATATGGGATATCAGGTCACGTCTGTTGTTTGAAACAAACGTGTTTTTTTTGTTTTGTTGCAAACAAAACGCCGACACTAGCCTCCCAATAAACATGGAGTCATTGGTGTGAACGTTTGTCCAACGGTTCCGACCACATGCCAACAACTTTTTATTTTAACAGGTCAGGCCCACTGAGCTATCTATCTCTATTTCAGAAGCAACCCCGGCCACAAATGATAGCTCCACGAAATGGCTTATCATCACGTGGAAAATGAATATCAGCCTAATGTTGGCTCGACGATGGTCCGACGTTGGCCCAGCGTTGGCCCAGCATTGGCCCAACTACCGCCCAACGTTTGCACGTTTTCTGGGCTGTCGTAGGAAAATGTTATCCTTTTACAAAAAATAAACAAACCCTCAACACATTCGTCAACAACACTGTGTTTGTGGCCTTAAAAGGAAAACATTACATGAGACGTTTCAGGCAATGCACCTTCTTCACCGCACATAATGGTCCTGGTAGCAGAGGTTACAGGCTAGGCATAGTCGCGCGTAGCCATAATGATGTAACGTTCATCAGGGGTGGGAAGCGGCTATTGTAAAAACGTCAAAAAAAACACGTGAGAACATTGAAGTCCCGCTACGGTTGTCCGGGGCAAAGTTCGGAAACAACAGCAGGCTCCCGGCAAATACAGGTGTCATCCGGTCGTAAGCGGCTCTTGCGCACCACGCAGCAGCAGCATCTTTTTTTTACAAAGTTTAAAGTCGAGCCACGTCTCCGTTGTGAGGTCAATGGCTGGGGAGGCACTGGCTCGTGTCACGGAGGGAGGCGTGGCCTCACTGAGGGGGGCGTGTTAGACACGCCTCTTTCAGTGAGGCAGATGTGATAGCTGCCTCTCCTGGTGCTTTTTCATTGCAGTTTCATGACGAGACCAGCAAGCCTAAATATCTTTATAGACATACGTGAAATAAGTTACCTGGAGTATGGAAGGCGAGGACATGAAATGAAGGGGTCTACAAACATGACATTGGTGACATACTGAGATAGTAACAGGCACGCGCTTATCGCCCGCGCTTCATCCAGTTGCTGAGGGGTTGCGCAATCAGAGGGGAGGCTGAGCTCGTCGCTGCCTCACCTCTCGTCTCTTCCTGCATTAACAGCGGACCTCTGCAAATTTGGCGATTTTGACTATAAAAATGATTGGAATCGTACAGAAATGACATTTATAACAGATCAGTGGAAAAATCTTAATATTTATTTTATTATTCTTTCTTTTAACTTTTCGTAACAGCTATTTTCATTGGAAAATGACAGGTGAGGCTCTGCCTCCCCTGCCTCCCCTGACCGCACGTCCCTGGTGTGTGTCCACTGAGGTGATGAAATCACGTAGCTAAATATTCTTCTCCGCAATACCGATTTCTGCGACAGTTGCAATGGATTCTCCCCCTCGCGGACACGAGCAACACGTTCGTCAATAACGACACTGTCTGCGGCCTTGAAAGCAAAAAAAATATATACCTGAGGCAACGTTTCGGGCGACGGCCTTACCTCATAGCACATTATTCACGTGAACATTCCTCATGGCACATTCTTCACGTGCTTCAAAGAAAGCCCGTTGTTTGAAACATCGCCTGTTTGCCCATTTTCTCCCTTCGAGGCCGTTGTTGACGAATGAATGCTTTGTGCTTTGCATAAGATCATGTTTCAAGTTCCTCATACCAATTAACGTCGCGTGGAAGTGACAGATTTAGACTGAGGTCTCAGGCAAGCTGTGGTCGTCGTCGCTGTTACTGCTCACCGCCGGGCAAAGACATCCCCTCCATGACTAGCTTTCCTCGGTTGCTCCCGTTCCAGCCGTGACCCCCTGCACTGCTGCAATGCCGTCTCGCTGCTGCTGCTGCAGTCTCTTCCACTGCCTCTCCTCCGCTTTCTCTTCCACTCACTCGGTCTCCACTCCGTGGTGAGCTTCGTCTCTCATCCCTCTCATCAGTTGTTCTCGCAATGCATTCTGCCCCCCCCCTTCTCACTTGGGTTCTCTTGCTCTAACGAGACCAGCGTCCTTGTTGGTGAACCGTCACTTAACCTACCTATGAAACTGTAAACAATTTTTCACTAAACCAGGTAAGGCCCCCTCAGCTACGTAGCTATTTTTTGCAGAAGCGACCTGGCCACAAATGATAGCTCAACGAAGTGGCTTATCGAATGTTAATATATAGCAGCCAAATACTCGACACGCGTGTTTTTTTTTAATGTGGAGGGAAAAACCGGAGGATGCGGAGAAAAATCCACGTGACCACGGGGAAAGGCGTCAGGGTCGAGATCGAACCCACGACCTCCTGTATACCAGGCGAGGTAGTTAACATCTCACCACCACAGCACCCTTCTTTCACTTACATTATCACTATTTCCCGTATAACTTTGGCAAACCTGCAGAATTTGTTTTTTATCTTCATGCTTAGGCAAGCCAATTCTCATGTTCAATGTTGCAAGTTCCTCATGCCAATTAATGGCACATGGTAGCGACGAAAATAGACTGGAATTTTACTTTGCAAGCTTCTTGCCTTGAGTTACAATTTCCTCATGACGACTGATCGGCATGCCAGAAATTTCAATAAATGGTTGGCGGATGACGAAAAGACACAACGGCTCCGAGGGCGATGATGGAAACGAGTCGGCGATTCCACACGCAAGGTCAGTGGCGTATTCCTGGGGTCCGCTTGCTCCACATCGCGACGAACGATGCGATGACATCACCGAGCACTGGCCTCAGAACCGTCCCCTTGTCGCTGTTCGGCCGCATCAGGCGGACGCCGGAGAACGCGTCGGCCAATGCCCGGGGCGGTGGTGGGCTCTGACAAGCGGCGGCGTGTAATCCAGCAGCACGGAGGCGAGGGATGGCGGGTCGCACAAATGTTTCTGTGGAAATCCCCTTTCTGCGAGTGACGAGTTGCCTTATCCGGGCAAATGGGAACCCCACCTGTTACATCCATGTCAGCTTGAGCGTGTTTTCTTTCTCCTGGTTGCTCCGGTTGCCTCCCGCGTGTGTAAACGCTCGTTATTTAGCCGACAACACCTCCGTAGACAAGAGGACTGCAGAGCTTGGGAAGGGGGAAGTAAGCGCCGGCTCACCACGTGGCTTGCTTACCGCTCGTCTGTGGCTCCTAACTTCTCCAAGTCGTCTTCTCTCTCTCTCTCTGTTCGAGAGCGGAGCGAAAACTGCGTGGTGGTGCCGAGTTGCAATTTGAAAATAATCATAATTAAAACAGCTACTGACGGCTCCGCATCAAGTTGAGGAGGAGCAGAGGGAGACCAAAGTGGCCACCCGAAGTACCCAGCTGCCTGCCGGCCTCGTCGCACCCCCCCCCCCCCCCCCCCCCCCCACCGTCATCATCATCGTCATCAGCCATGATCTATCTACTGCTGAATGAAGGCCTCTCTCAAGGTCTCACGATGCAACAATCCATTCTCCAGCGCCAGCATATGAGCCGATTCCATCACTCCGTCTCCACTGTGGACGTGTTCCCATGCCCTCCATCGTTAGTCTTGACCACCGGCCGTCATCCCTCCCGTAGAGGTAAAATACTCAACTCTGGCTGTCGCCTGGTGAGGCTGATTGTTGTAATTATAACCGGCGAAGCGTCGTACTCGAATTGTCAATGTTGTGGGTTTACTCTGTGCTGAACGAGTAACTCATTGGCGCGTTTTGTTTACGTCACAAACCTTGCTGATTGGCTGTGTCGGGTGGTGGCGGCTTTAACGACACATTTACATTGACACAATCCAACCCAAAAAAAGCCTCTATTGTGGATACTCTAGCCTGCTTTCGATTTTTAATTGTGCAAGTTCTCTAATCCACGTGCTACCTCTTCCCGCCTTTCACAAGTCGCGTAGCTTCCTCCGCATATTTCGAAGGATGCCAAGCAGGTTTTCTTGAGCAAGTAAAATAAGTAAATAGATTTAAAAAAACACATATCCACGCACACAATATAAAAATGCTGGGCATGCTATTATTCGCCAAATTCTTACCGAGCTAACACACAAAGCAAGTATCAAATCGCAGCAATTGTGTAGAAAGTATCAAATGGCAGCGAGTGTGTATCGCTTCAGAGTCCTTCTGCAGTATACAGTGCTTTGTCAATGTTCGTGCTGTTTCTAATAAGAAAACGTCAAGGGTGATTCAGTTATTTTATTGCTCGCCTGCCATCACACAAAGACATCAACGGTGCATCAGACCATGGCTGATGCTGCTGGATGATGGCGGTGACGGTTGTTATGACCACGACGGCAGTGTTGCCACATTGCAGTGGTTTGGGCACTGGACGGACCCGTCAACCCGGCCACCATCGTTCAATTTCCCGGCCGCGGCTAACATCAGTGGCGAGTGGTGTCAACAATAAGTGGAGTAAAGTACGGCCAAAACAGCCCCTGCGGCTGACACACGGCATGAGGGTGGTGGTGGGGGCGGTGTTGGAGGGACCTTCACCCGGTAACAGACTGCCGATCGCCTGTAAATGCACTGCGCTTTTTGTGTGTTCGTTTGTCGTTCTTCCCCCCGCGCCTCCGATTCGCACGGTCGGCCACGTACGGTGGGCGAATGAAGTCCAGCGTGCAATGCGTACGGACAAATGATGCCAATGTCTGTTATTTATTCTGTGAGTAAAAAAAAAGAAGAAAGAAATCCGCTGGCTGAAGCCAAAGTGACGCTTGGCTGGACTTTACCCCCCCCCACCCCCCCCAATGCCACCACGCTCGGACAAACGCGGCCAGGCACAGCGCAAACTCCGTCCGCCAAACAAAAAATCAACGACGAGCGTCGTTCAGCGCCCCCTCACACTCTCCTCCTCACCTGTAACCCATCTCGTTCACGGAGCTTCCCGATGCGTCCGTCAGGTGGCCGGGGAGCCTCGTCATCGCGACGGGAGCCTTCCTCTGTCGCTGCTGCTGCTGTGGCTGCTCCTGCGAGGCAGTGTGTGTCAACATCGGGAACGAGGACGTGAGCAGTGGTTACCAGCGCTCCGAATGCACATTTTCCTCTCTCGCTTCCCCAACCCCCTTGGTGTCACCAAGGGGCGTAGCAGCGAGAGACGACCTCCAGTCAAGGAGGAGTTCCTCAATACTGTTTACGGTGTTGGCAAAAGCAAGTCCGAGTTGAGCGAATAAGTTGGTCTTCTTTTTTTGGAAGAACCAGTTCCACAACTTGCTTTCTTAAAAAAGTAGGCGCGCGTCAAGATTTGCATTAGCGATGCAGGAATTGCAATGATCCCGCCCTGCGCGCGGTAGACTCGGAGCAATGCCGCTGTCAGCGAGCACCTATCAAGGCCGACTCACTGGCCCTGCCAGCCTCAACAGCACCTATCAAGGCCGACTCACTGGCCCTGCCAGCCGCAACAGGTGCTACTGTCAGCGAGCACCTATCAAGGCCGACTCACTGGCCCTGCCAGCCTCAACATCACCTATCAAGGCCGACTCACTGGCCCTGCCAGCCGCAACAGTTGCTACTGTCAGCGAGCACCTATCAAGGCCGACTCACTGGCCCTGCCAGCCGGAACAGTTGCTGTTGTCAGCGAGCACCTATCAAGGCCGACCCACTGGCCCTGCCAGCCACAACAGTTGCTACTGTCAGCGAGCACCTATCAAGGCCAACTGACGGGCCTGCGCGGCAGTCGAGGCTTTATTTTTCAACCACCTAAAAGACTTTCCCGGAGATAACAAGAGTCTTATTGCGACGGAGACCTCGGCTTGCAAAAAGGTCAAGGGTCAGAACTTAAACGACGTGGGCCACTCCTGCAACGGGGTTTACATTTCCTTCTGCAGCGTCCACCTCACACCGAGTTCCACGCCGCAGGTGACCGATTGATGTCGCGCAGAAAAGAGAAAAAAAGAGAAAAGAGAGGAGGGACCCACGCGCGCCGGAGAGCGACAACAAAAAAAGCGGCGAACGTAACGAGGCGCAACATTGGAATGTAAAGCGAGCGAACGACGGCGACGGTGGCGAAACGTTTACGGCAGACGAAGGTGAAAAGGAGGTGCTGTGCAGGTGGGTACGAGAGGGTGTGCTTTAAGGCCCAACACTACACGTGCACAGCAGACAAGCAAAGGCAAAGATCACACACCCCACCCCCCCCCCAGACTTTTGCTTTTGGGGCAAGTGCCGTTTGCGAGCGCCTATTTAAGCCGGCACGGCACACGAGGGGTTTGGTGGCCGGTAGCACGCCCGGTCACCTTTGTCTCCACAGTGGCGACGTTTACACACCGCACCAGGTGCTCATTTGCAGCCGAGTCGACCTAGGGGAGGGCCAGGACCGGTTCAGATAATCGTCACCGGTGTTGGCCGTGAGTGGGAATCAAACTCGGGCCGCCAGGTTCGTAGCGCAGCGCGCTGACCACTACACTACACTCACACGGGCAACGATGACATTGATATCAGAGACCAAACAGAAGTTCCATATTGTTATGAGTACTCATTTAAGGAACAGGAAGGACCAATCTGGTTGCGGGTCGTGAGGGAGACAGTGCTCCTTTTAAACCACAATACAGTGAGGGAAAAAAGTATTTGATCCCCTGTTGATTTTGTACTTTTGCCCACTGACAAAGAAATTATCAGTCTATAATTTTAATGGTGGGTTTCTTTGAGCAATGAGAGACAGAATGACAACACAAAAATCCAGAAAAACGCATGTCAAAAATGTTATAAATTGATTTGCATTTTTAATGAGGGAAATACGTATTTGACCCCCTCTCAATAAGAAAGATTTCTGGCTCCCAGGTGTCGTTTATACAGGTAACGAGCTGAGATTAGGAGCATACTCTTAAAGGGAGTGCTCCTAATCTCGGCTTGTTACCTATATAAAAGACACCTGTCCACAGAAGCAATCAATCCGATTCCAAACTCTCCACCATGGCCAAGCCTAAAGAGCTCTCCAAGGATGTCAGGGACAAGATTGTAGACCTATACAAGGCTGGAATGGGCTACAAGACCATTGCCAAGCAGCTTGGTGAGAAGGTGACAACAGTTGGTGCGATTATTCGCAAATGGAAGAAACACAAAAGAACTGTCAATCTCCCTCGGCCTGGGGCTCCATGCAAGATCTCACCTCGTGGAGCTGCAATGATCATGAGAACGGTGAGGAATCAGCCCAGAACTACACGGGAGGATCTTGTCAATGATCTCAAGGCAGCTGGGACCATAGTCACCAAGAAAACAATTGGTAACACATTACACCGTGAAGGACTGAAATCCTGCTGCGCCCGCAAGGTCCCCCTGCTCAAGAAAGCACATATACATGCCCGTCTGAAGTTTGCCAATGAACATATGAATGATTCAGAGGACAACTGGGTGAAAGTGTTGTAGTCAGATGAGACCAAAATGGAGCTCTTTGGCATCAACTCAACTCACCGTGTTTGGAGGAGGAATGCTGCCTATGACCCCAAGAACACCAACCCCACCGTCAAACATGGAGGTGGAAACATTATGCTTTGGGGGTGTTTTTTTCTGCTAAAGGGACAGGACAACTTCACCGCATCAAAGGGACGATGGACGGGGCTATGTACCGTCAAATCTCGGATGAGAACCTTCTTCCCTCAGCCAGGGCATTGAAAATGGGTCGTGGATGGGTATTCCAGCATGACAATGACCCAAAACACACGGCCAAGGCAACAAAGGAATGGCTCAAGAAGAAGCACATTAAGGTCCTGGAGTGGCCTAGCCAGTCTCCAGACCTTAATCCAATAGAAAATCTGTGGAGGGAGCTGAAGGTTCGAGTTGCCAAACGTCAGACTCGAAACCTTAATGACTTGGAGAAGATCTGCAAGGAGGAGTGGGACAAAATCCCTCCTGAGATGTGTGCAAACCTGGTGGCCAAATACAAGAAACATCTGACCTCTGTGATTGCCAACAACGGTTTTGCCACCAAGTACTAAGTCATGTTTTGCAGAGGGGTCAAATACTTATTTCCCTCATTAAAATGCAAATCAATTTATAACATTTTTGACATGCGTTCTTCTGGATTTTTTTGTTGTTATTCTGTCTCTCACGGTTCAAATAAACCTACCATTAAAATGATAGACTGATCATTTCTTTGTCAGTGGGCACACGTACAAAATCAGCAGGGGATCAAATACTTTTTTTCCCTCACTGTAGATGTAACTGATTGTCGTGCGAAAGAACCGACATTTGTTCTTACGATTCGTCAACGGTGCATGTGGGTGGAGGAGTGGTGGCACAGTGATGTAGCGCAATGCGCTACGAACCTGGCAATGCGCTACCAACCCGAGTTTGATACGGCATAGATCATCGTCACTGGTGTTGGCCGTGAGCAGGGATTGAACTCGGGTGTCCGGGTTCGTTTTTGTACAAGGTGTGCATCATTCCCCCACTGCTAAATCTGCCCAGCTCACGGTCGCTCTGTATTTCACTTCTGAATGTGCAATTTATTTTAATACCCTTGACTTGTACATTACCCTGGCGAGCTCCATGGGCATTTGGACGCCCCGTACATTCAAAGTGATTTTAATGTTACCATGAAACTCAACACATTCGTCAATAACACCGTGGCCTTAAAAAGGGGAAAAAATACGACAAGGCAACGTTTTTTTGGGCAATTACCTCTCCTTCACGGCGGAATTCACGTGCGTCATGAAGGGCCGAATATGTGACGTGAAAAAGCCCATTGCCCAATACATCACCTGCTATATATTTTTTTTCCTTTCCTGGCCCACGCAGTGCTATTGACATCACGTGCTCAGCTTCACGTCCTTGGCTCCTGTGCATTCGCTGCCAATGCAGCAGCAGCACGGGCAGCAGCAGCATCACTGCACCGTTTTATTTCAGCTACGATGAACATACCCGCCGCGTCTGCGTTCCCGTTCACGTACCTTCGTGGCCCGCTTCTCCACATACTTCACTTCTTCGTACGTGTTGCCATCGTCCTCCATCCCTCGCGCTGCGCGAACGCAAACAGCACCAGCAGCGACGGCGGCGGCGAAAATTACACAACACCGGCCGCGAACGGCGCTCCGCGGAGCGTTGCCACACCGTTGAATTATTTTACCCCCCCCCCCACACACCCCGCTCCGTTGTTTGCTTCTACAGACCGAAGAAATAGCATAGTCCATGCAAAAACAAGGAAGGACGGCCCACGACTTCCTCTACACCCAAGGTACACACTGCTTCCTGAGCCCTCCCCGCAGAGAAAAAAAAACGGTGGCGTGCGATTCGCGGACTGTCCTCGGCGGCCACCCGTGACACCGCCGCTGCCGCACCCCGACCACCCCCCCCAGTTATCTCTCCCCCGAGCGCGCAACGCGAGCGCGGGGACAACGATCGCCAAGGGCGAAAGGGCCGAGGCGGGTCGTGCAGAAAGAAGCGCGGTCGTCCGTTCGTCCCCCCTCTCAGTGCCACCGCACCGCGGGGGGAGTGTGTGCAGCGTTTAACCGCGTCGGTTACGCACGACAGCCAGGATTTGCTGGCACAGCGGTTGTGACTTCCGATCCAGAGGGCCTACCGGGCTGATTTTATTTCACGGTGTGGCGGTTGAAACAATAAATCGACTTTTGTTTGTTGAACGCTCTCTGCCTCTGTCCACCGCAGTTAAGTCGATCGGCAGGTGCTGCCAGGGGCGGAGCCAGGATTTTCAGCCCGGGGTGACATTCAACAAATTTTAATTTCAAGAATGATTGAATGAGAAATCGGCTATACCCCACGCCATCGGTTGGCGACACACTCTGACAATGCAGTTGCACGGAGTCCGCCAGACCGAGTGTCGTACACTTATACGCAGAATGTTTCAGATTTTCGATTTTTTTATTCGCGGGTGACAATTGCCTACCCTGTCACGCCCCTGGCTCCGCCCCTGGGTGCTGCTGTTCGGTGGGTGGTGATGAAGTATAGGTCTTCCCGCCTCTTCCATCACGTACTGGCCAACGTGGAAGAGTAGGCCGACATACTCTCCCGAGCTTCCAACCAATGGAGGCCCTTCCGCTAGCAGCGGCGCGAGTTAGAAAATTGCAGGGCTGCAACTTTTACACATCACAGCACAATGCCCTTCCTTTCATGTGGCCCGTTTATTTTTCCTGGAAGCGAAGGGTTCTCACTAAAGCTGCGTACCTTCATGGAAACGATAAGAGAGAGTTTCCCCAAACATTGACTCTTGCAACCCACCGCTACGGCCAAAACTTTTCCCGTCCTCACCAACCTCTGTACAAATGCCAATTAAGTCGTCGCACACTTTACGTGCCTGATAATTGCTAAATGTACCGTGTGATGCCGAGAGCGACGATTACGATTGTTCTATTGGCGCGGAGTCACGAGACAGAGCATCCAATTCTGATTCGGCCCTTCAAGTTAGAGAATGAGCTATGTTAGCGAACATCGCAGAACTACAACAGAGGTCCCGTCACATGACCTCTGGTCTCCGCTGCCCCCTGCTAAAATCACAGCCACACAGCATGCTCCAGTGCCTGTTTAATGCACGGCGGTCGCCCATCCAAGCACTAACCAGGCTCAAACCCGAATGAGCTTTTGAGGTGTCACAAGGTTGAGCGACAATCACAGGCATGTCCCCGTGATGTCACAACAATTTCAAAGAATGCCATTGTGTATTGTCATGCGTTACAATCAGCATGTCCAACACCACAGTATTTTGTGAGCATTTCCCCATTTTCAAGACTGGTGGACAACTTATTGGTGCCTGAATTACATTGCTTGAGATACTATGCCTAAGGAAAATGCCACTTCACGCCTATAACTAATGACTACCAACATGTTTAAGTTCCTGAAATGTACGTCGCAATCATGCCCAATTGTCATCCTATGTATAGACTCAGCCCTGCTATAAGAACATGGAATTTGCACCACTGGTTCAGGCCCACTGATGGCAACAAGTGCAGCAATTACTTAAGTAGCAAAACACACCGATTGTATTTATCTGTATAGGTTCCTTGTGAATGTCACCTGGACGCACTGGGATTATCTGCACGACTTTATCTGAGATCCGAACTTGAAGAAAGGAAATCGATCGATTAACGAACCACCCAGCTAACGCAGACTTTGAAGATGGGCGTAAACAACGTAACGCCTCGGTGGCCATGTGGATCATAGGTCAGATTGCTGATCTGGCACTAACTCCATAACTTGGCTTCGCCACAGGTGATGAAACAGAGGTGGTGGTGACTAAAAGGAGGCGATGGCCAATGACAGCGCAAGCAAAACTGACCGTTTAAAATGTGGTTCAGCGCTTTAATGTGCCTAAATTCTCAGCTGTGATGGATGAAAAAAAATCGATTTGACCCGTTTTAACACAGTGATCTCGGTGACGCAGTGGATGGGAAAATGCCACCCTCTGCTGTGTGGACCACGAGTCACTCGAAGCAACGTCAGAGGTAGCTCAGTGATATCCGCTTCCAAGCTCTGCCAATCTCCAACACGAAGTTTCTCCGCTTTGCGAGAGATTCCGATGGATGCTTTGTCTCGTTATGCATCGGCAAGAGCACAGTCGGCTAAAATTGAGATTGATGGGGGGGGAGGGGCGGCGGATTTAAAAAAAAAATATTTAAATCGGCGTTCTGTACATCAGGTGGAACATGTTTAGTAATCATCAAGCACGTATGAGTAACGATTCTACGTACAGTTCCCACTTATACGACACAATGCGTTGTTCCTGGATGCCCCATTGTCGTAAAATCGAAACCTATTTTTCCATAGGCAGAAGAATCAGTGTAAACATCTGTGGCACATTAGGAATGGACCATTCTTTTCATTATTTCCTCGTGCAGCAAGGGAAGAGAGTGTGGTTTTGGCAAAGTCCTTATGTGCTGTGCAGTACATCAATGCACGTGTGTACACCAGCATGCGATAACTGAGTTGGGCCTGTGGGTGGCTGGCAGCATTATTGATGAACCGGACCTGTACACCAGTCACGTGGGTAATGGCGACTCGGTTGAGGATTGCTGTGTGTGACACACGTGCTGTTGCATTCTACAGGTAAAGCACCCAAAGGTCGTTATTGATCTTTATAAAAAAATGTCTAGACTTGTTCTAGACTTCAAGCTTGGCTTTGAATTGTTAGTTTGTGATTTATTAATTAGGATGGGTTTTAGCACTGTGCACTGTTAAGATGACGTACTGTAGTTAATACTTGTAATTATCTAACCCTAATACTGTTTATTCTATAACCATGCCCATGCACCCACAGTATGACTACTTGCAATGCTATTGAGAATAGAACACATGTACAGTCGTAAGTTGTACAATGGTGACAAATACAATCCGTATACTGTACACATACAGTACAGGTAATGGGTGTAAGATACCGATATAAGTGGATGGTATAGATAGACATACAGCTTAGGATTAAAGTGTAAAGGTTGCTGTCAAAGACAAAGATGGTTTATCAGTAGTAGAATTGGGTTTAAGAGAAACTGTTATTGATTAACCGGGCTTGTACACCAGTCACGTGGTTAATGGCGACTCGGTTGAAGATTGCTGCGTGTGACATCACGTGCTGCTGCATTTTACAGATTGACCACAAATGTGTTTGCCCTCGATTTGGAGCACCTGCCCACATCCTTCATTTCGAGTGTGCAACGCATCACTTGCCGATATGTTTTTTTCTCCTGTTATCGGCCATATCTGACAGAGTTTTTAAGGTAAAACTTTACAAAAACGCTCGAGAATGACAAATTTCCACGCCAAGTCACGTCGGAATCCGGGCTGACTGTCCAAGTGCGTTCGGAGTCGTGTCGCAAGACGCGTCGTAAATCAAGTTTATGCGTGATAAATCGATCCATGGTGGCGTCGTAAATTGAACCCGCGTAAGCCGGAGGCCGCCTGGATTTGTATTAACAGAGGAGATTGGTGAATGTGGAGAAGATTGGTGAAACAACAAGAACAACAACAACAAAACGTCAAACAATACCGACACAAAACGACTGGGTGTCAGCTACTTACGGGAGGGCTCCCCGCGTGGAGCTGGGATGTCCGATATGTCCTCGTACACGCGGTCGTGCACCATGGCCGATTGCCTGCGGTGGGCATCCAACAAAAACACAAAACAGTCACTGAGTCGGGGAGGGGGGGTGGTCACGTCTCGGCAGTTGCCCCACCAACGACGACGACGGTGGCCGCCATTCGTCAATTAGGCGGAGGTGAAGTCACAACCACCCAACCAAACCCAACCAAACCAACCAACCAAACCAACCAACCAACCCAACCAACCAACCAAACCAACCAACCCAACCAACCCAACCAACCCAACCAACCCAACCAACCAACCCAACCAACCAACCAACCCAACCAGCCAAACCAACCAACCCAACCAACCAACCCAACCAACCCAACCAACCAACCAACCAACCCAACCAAACCAACCAACCCAACCAACCAACCAAACAAACCAACCAACCAACCAAACAAACAAACCAACCCACCAACCCAACCAAACCAACCAAACCAACCAACCAAACCAACAAACCAAACCAACCAACCAACCAAACCAACCAACCAGCCAAACCAACCAACCCAATCAACCAACCCAACCAACCCAACCAACCAACCAACCCAACCAACCCAACCAACCAACCAAACCAACCAAACCAACCAACCAACCAAACCAACCAACCAACCAAACCAACCCAACCAACCAACCAAACCAACCAAACCAACCAACCAAACCAACCAACCAACGAAACCAACCAACCAACCAAACCAACCAACCAACCAAACCAACCCAACCAACCAAACCAACCAACCAAACCAACCAACCAACCAAACCAACCAACCAACCAAACCAACCCAACCAACCAACCAAACCAACCAACCAAACCAACCAACCAACCCAACCAACCAAACCAACCAACCCAACCCAACCAACCATCCCCAACCCAAGCAACCAACCACCACAGTGCTTGTGCCAGGCTCGGTGAGCTTTGAGGCCACGTGGCAGCTGCACCCACGCCACGTGCGGGGAACGTCGGCCACATTGCCATTGGGCTCCCCAGGAATCTGCTCCCAATCGGGGAATGCGGTGGCAGTGGCGACGGTCCGCAATTGCCCACGACTAAATCTGCCCTGAATGCGGCGGATATTGTCAGATCTCGGAAGCTAAGGAAAGTCGAGCCTGGCTTAGTACTTGGATGGGGAGTCTGCCGGTGAGTACCGATGTTTACGTTAAATTAACGTGTCAAAATATATCTGCTTTTTAAATAACTGGCCAAATTTTTTTTTATCATTTCTCTATTAAGTTCAAGAAATTTTTCTTCAATCAAGTGCATCCTAAATGCCTGAGATCTGATCATATTTCATAAGCTAAGCAAGATTTTGAGCCTGATTAGTATTTGGATGGGTAACCAACAGGGGTGGAGGCTTGGACTGCGAGATGGCCAGATGGCAGTGCAGCAATTTAATGTTAATCCGTTCGCTAACAGCACTTGCTACGGGGAATATTTGTCTCCTTCCATGTGTGTGTGCCGACCTGCCGACAATCCATGCTGGGTTTAAGCAGGCTGGATTGTGCGAGACACAGATCCTTAAAACGCCCGGACACACAGCTCCATCAGTGGAGCTCCTCCGGCAGGCAATGATGCATTTGGCTGGGTCATGTGCCTGCGTGCCCATCCACCGCATATGCAAGCAGTTTCTGTTTGTCTAAACTGAGGGGGGCTTTAATTCGGCACAGCGTGGACTATACAGGAGGATGGCCAATGTGGTAAAGAGGGAACTAGAACTGTGTGGATTTGCTGATGCTTGGCACCAGTGGTGTCAAGACCGGCCTCTGTGGAGGAAGCTCGTGAATGATAAGACTCAGCAGTTGGAGGCAGTCGCCCCCAGATACAACGCGAGGCGGGGCGACGCTCGCAAGCCCCGAGCAGAACTTTTCGCGTTTAGTCTGTTGTCCTTCCCTCACACCCCCGATGAGCACGGTCGGCTACGTACGGCGCGAAGGAAGCTCAACATACAGACGCGTGCATGCAGGAGGAACCGGGCAAGAGGAGCAGCTGAGGCCAAGGGGCCGGCGTTGCTCGGCAGCGTGTGTGGCCATGGATCTGAGCCCTAGTAGAATGACCCGGGACCAATTCCCAGGCCGAGGGGCCCTCCCTGTGGCGGTGGTGGGAGTGCCGGTGTAGGAGAGGCGTGCGAAGTGCGCACCGCACCTCCTGATGATTTTCTGCCAAGGGATGGGCAGCGGCCGGCTCTGCAGGGCGTTGCTCTTGGACAGAGTCACCGGGCTGTGACGGCTGGGGCTGATTGTTTCCCGGGCAGGCGTGTCTTCGGGCTTCTGAAACTCCTCGTAAATGTCGTTGTCCATCATTTCCAATGGGTGGTCCTCCTCCTCCTCGTCCTTCTCCTCGGCATCAGGCCAGGGCTCGCCAGGGTGCGGATCCGTGGAGGGCAGCTGGGGGTCAGCTTCGTCCGGCGACCACATGGGGATCTTGAATCGTGACAGGCCGCTGTGCACCCTGCGCGGGCATGGAAGTAGCTTGGAGGGTGTGTCGGGGCTCACAGAGTCTGCCGTGGGGAGAGACAATGAACTCGTGAACGTCAGTTGGTTATACGTCAGCGGCGAGGGGGGATGTCTTAACCGGCCTGGTGCCCGCTGTGTTTGTTGGTCATGTTGTCTTTTACAGCACGATGGATTTGGTGTCTTTTTTTTGTTGTATTCGTGCTCGTCCACCACTGCCAGTGCAGTCCCTTATTTACTGAAAGCTTTGCAACACTTTGCCCATGAGCCCAGACGAGGCATTTCAATTGTCGGTGCCACGTTGCGGTGGCAAAACTTTCGGAGGTTTTAATTTCTCTATGTGGCCAATAACGGTGAATTATGTGATTGACAACTTGAAATTAGTGGGGTTAATGAAATAATTGACTCTTATTAGCCATACTATTATTACATTTTGCTCATCCAGCTCTGGTTCAACCCACGAAGGCATTAGAGTGTAATGCATTATTAAATTTTTCACTTTCCCATTAAAAAAAAAGTATTTCTGAACTTAAATGTTTCATTATCCATGTTGGGACCGTGAAGCCATTCAACAATAATTCATTTGTTTCATCATCTCCATACCACTGCGCCTTTTTTCACTGGAACCCAAAAAAATGACACATTCTACATAATAGCGAAAATGAAGTCTGTACGTGACTTAGGGGGGAAAGCCCATCACGAGAGAGAGAAAAAAGTGCAGGCCGGAGGAAGAAAAAGCACGCGTTGCGCAAAGGGCACGCCTAAAGTGCGTACAAAGCACTCGGCCTTTTTGCATTGAGCAGAAAAAACTCCACTACCAGCTTTTTTCCGAATAACTGCAATGCCGTCCTTGCAACTAAAAGCATATGCACTTTCATCAATGTACGAAGAATAACGGTAGGTTTTTTGTTACACTTTCGAAAATAGAAAATAGGTGTTAAGATGTTCAAACGCGAAATAGATACTTTTTTGCAAGGAATTACGTCTGCATTCACCACAAGTGCGTGTTGGTCATGCACACAGACTTGTGGTTAATACAAGTACGTGTGGTTATTGCAAGCTTCATTCCTTGCCAAAGGTATCGATTTGGTGTTTGAACAACTTAACACATGTTTTATTGGCAGAAAGGGAAACACCGATTCTTATTATTCATACTTTGATTCTGGCAAAAAAAGCTCCCATAGATAATTGTATCAACATCATCTTAAAACAGGAAATGGCGGAGCGGCGGTGGTGCCACGAACACGGTGATCTAAGTTCAATGCCTGGCCAAGGCTACCATGATTCTCGAGCGATATCTGGGGTTGTTCTGGGGCGCCGCCGCTTCACACGAACCCACAGTGACCAGCGTGGGGAAATACGGTCAAACAACCCCCATGACCGACATGGTGTGTGGAAGCCTTCGCATCTATAGCAGCAGCTTGTCAAAGGGCTGTGTAATATTATTATGATGATAAATTGACTTTTAAAGTCAAGCCACAGCAGTGTGATTATGGCCATGCAATCCAAACTATATACCAAATAATCAACTCGTATAGACGTATACATAGAGACTCATAGAGATACATAGAGATACATTTTAGACAAGCCACAGCAGTGCGATTGTGGCCATGCAACCCAATCTATGAACCGTATCAGGGACGTGAGGTCAGGGGAGGCAGGGGAGGCAGAGCCTCACCTGTCATACTCCAATGGAAATAGCTGTTACGAAAAGTAAAATAAAGAACCATCAAATAAAATAAATATTAAGATTTTTCCACTGATCTGTTATAAATGTCGTTTCTGTACGATTCCAATCATTTTTATCATCAAAATCGCCAAATTTGCGGAGCTCCAATGCAAAATACAGGGAGAGACGAGAGGTGAGGCAGCGACGAGCTCAGCCTCCCCTCTGATTGCGCAACCCCTCAGTAACTGTATGGAGCGCGGGCAATAAGCGTGTGCCTGTTACTATCTCAGTATGTCACCAATGTAATGTTTGTAGACCCCTTCATTTCATGTCCTCGCCTTCCATACTCCAGGTAACTTATTTCACGTATGTGTATAAAGATATTTAGTCTCGCTGGTCTCGTCATGAAACTGCAATGAAAAATCACAAGGGGAGGCATATATCACATCTGCCTCACTGAGGTGGACGTGTCTAACACGCCCCCCTTAGGACACGCCCCTTCAGTGATACCACGCCCCTCTCCGTGAGGCCACGCCCCCTTCAGTGTGTGAATCTGGCTCTGACACTAGCCAGTGCCTCCCCAGCCATTGACCTCACCGCACGTCACTGGACCGTATACTAAACCACTGTGGTCTGTGCTCCTTCAACGGAGGAGGAATGGCAAACTCTCTGCTGAAGCCCTCTCGTAGGAGAACTCGACAATTGGCAGTTAGCTCCTGAACACGTTGCTGCCGTACGCAAGAATAGAACATAATATTTTTAAAATAATCATTTATAGAAAGCACTTATGCATTTTCAGCAACTGTACAAAAAGAAGAAACTCATGGTATTTATCACAAGTGACCATTTCGACAAATTTGACCCCGTAATGATCGTGGTTCATCACCAGTGCCTTTGCAGAAGCGGCGATTGATTTCATCCGCGTCCGTCCGAGCCAACTGCATCCCATACACTACGTCCAGTATTACCACTCACTATGGCCGTGCCTGCGAGTCAAGTTATCGTCCAACGCCAGTGACCAGTGGCAGCTCCCAATGGGGCAGAGGATTGCTCTGCCACTGGGGACCCAGGAAATGTCTACGTTATTAAGATACAGCACACCAGGGAAGGTATGTTGAACGTTTGTTTTTAATTATTATTCTTTATGATGGGCCCTATTTAATAACCTTGAAATTCCTGGATTACACTGTCCCTCCACCCACTCCATTCATTTGGGAAACTAAACTAAACTATTATAATTTCAGCACGTAAAACTCTTTTTTCAGAAGTGACCTGGCCACAAATGATAGCTCAACGAAATAACTTACGTTGGAAATTTATACCAGTCAAATACTCAAAGATGCATGTTGATTCTAAATGTGGAGGGAAAAATCGGGAGGCCCCAGGAGAAAAAGTAAATGTGACCACAGGGAGAGAGACATGCAAACTCCAAATATACAGGCATCAGGGTCTGAATCAAACCCCTAGACCTCCTGTATACCAAGCGAAGTAGTTAACATCTTGCCACCACGGAAGCTTCTCAATCCACCTCTTGCCGGCAAACTGGAAAACGCTAAATCGCGGAATAAACACCGTGCAGCGTGCGCGGCACCCACCTGCCCTCAACACCTTCTGCTCCGGCCTCTCCGCCGGCCGCCCGGATCCCTCGGTGGCCCCGCCGCACCCAGGCAGGCCCTCGGGGCCCACCGCGGGCGGCGAGTCGGAGCACGCGGCCGCCTTCCTCCCCCTCTCCTTCGCCGGCAGCGGCGGCGGCAGCGGCAGCTTCAGGTTCTCGTACTCTGGCGTCCGCGACGAGTCGGCGCTCCTCGCGGAGACCGCCGCGTCGGCGTCTCCGCCCTGCTCGGGAGCGTGGCCGCCCCGGCCTGGCGTCGTCGGCTCGGAGAAAACTCCGCCACCGCCGCCACCGCCGCCACCGCCGCCACCGCCGCCACCGCCGCCACCGCCGCCACCGCCGCCACCGCCGCCGCCACCGCCACCACCGCCGCCACCGCCGCCACCGCCGCCGCCGCCGCCACCGCCGCCACCAACCCCGGTGGCCGCCGCGGCATCCGCCAGGGCCGCTTGGGCGTCATGCGAGAACGTCCGCTTGAGCTGCATGAGGATCCGGCTGCGGTGGCCCGGCAGAGAGATGCCCATGTCGGTGAGGAACTCCTTGGAGAGGCCCCTGCAGTCGCGCAGCGTCGTGTAGCCGCGCGAGGTGAAGGCCGCCTCGTACTGGTCCAGGCGCATCATGCGCAGCCAAGCGACGACGCCGTCGTCCTCCTCGGAGTCGCACGCCATGGCCGGTGGGACGGGGGGTGGGGTTGGTGCGGGGGGGGGGGGGGCACGGAGCGTGGGGCGAGGTAGGCGGAGGGGGCGAGGGCCGGGCGGTCAGGACCCTGATGTGAGAGAACGCGACAGACGTTACGTTGATACAGCTAGGGATGGACTTCATCCAGCAGTGGAGAGATCATGGCTGGCGATGATGACGATGACGACGACGACACCCCATGCCATCATGCAGCTTACTCTTCTTTTCACAGAGACTGACCCAAACTAATGCTCAGGCGTTGTAGGTTTAGACCACCGTGGAAGCGAATGCACGCAGCGAAAACATCTGCTGCACTGAATATAATGGCAGCGACGTGTGTTTTAAATCGTAGGGGAGTGCTAGCTCTTTTACAGGTTTGTTAATTCCACAGGCCTAGCGGCGGGGGCAACTAGCGCTGGTGAAATGACACGCTGGATAAAACAATGCAAGACTAAAGGTGTTTAAAAAAATATTACTTTACAGTAGAATCCCTCTTAATGACCACCCCTGTTAACGACTAATTGCTTAGCGACGGGCCTCCATAGAGCCCAATGTGTAGTGTATAGTGTAGTGGTGTAAAGTGTAGTGTATAGTAGTGGTGTATAGTGTAGTGTATAGTGTAGTGTATAGTAATGTAGTGTATAGTGTAGTGTAAAGTGTAGTAGTGGTGTATAGTGTAGTGTATAGTAGTCTTGTGCCTCCATAGAGCCCAATGTGTAGTGTATAGTGTAGTGGTGTGAAGTGTAGTGTATAGTGTAGTGCATAGTAGTCTTGTGCCTCCATAGAGCCTAATGTGTAGTATATAGTGTAGTGGTGTAAAGTGTAGTGTATAGTAGTGGTGTATAGTGTAGTGTATAGTAGTGTAGTGCCTCCATAGAGCCCAATGTGTTCGCTTAGCGACCATTCCCCTGTTAATGACGGGCTGTTGTAGGTGCAGTAAATATGAATTAATGCATTTATTAACCATCTTTATTTGAATATTACGTGTTTATAATGTTGTTAGTATCTTTATGTATTAATATCCAATGTTTAAATGTTCTAAAGTACGTTTTTTTGGTGAAAAGGGGCAGCCTTTGATGCTGTGGGAACGAATTTAGCCTTTAACGTGCATCTCCTATACTCGCTTAACAACCAAATCACTTCACGGCTGGTGTTGTGGAATCAATTACCGTGGTTAAGAGGAGGGGGTGGTTTTACTGTAATTTACTCTTTGACCGGTGATAACCAAATAGCGACACCAAAGGTCACGTCTTTCACGAAGGTCACCTCATCGAAGGTCATGTCTATTACGAAGGTCACGTCATCGAAGGTCATGTCTATTATGAAGGTCACGTCATCGAAGGTCACGTCTTTCACGAAGGTCATGTCATCGAAGGTTATGTCTATTGCGAAGGTCACGTTTTTCACGAAGGTCATGTCATCGAAGGTCATGTCTATTACGAAGGTCACGTTTTTCACGAAGGTCACGTCTTTCACGAAGGTCATGTCTATTACGAAGGTCACGTCTTTCACGAAGGTCATGTCTATTACGAAGGTCACGTCATCTAAGGTCATGTCTATTACGAAGGTCACGTCATCGAAGGTCACGTCTTTCACGAAGGTCACGTCATCGAAGGTCATGTCTATTACGAAGGTCATGTCTATTACGAAGGTCACGTCTTTCACGAAGGTCATGTCTATTACGAAGGTCACGTCTTTCACGAAGGTCATGTCTATTACGAAGGTCACGTCTTTCACGAAGGTCATGTCTATTACGAAGGTCACGTCTTTCACGAAGGTCATGTCTAATACGAAGGTCACGTCTTTCACGAAGGTCATGTCTATTACGAAGGTCACGTTTTTCACGAAGGTCACGCCATCGAAGGTCACGTCTTTCGAAAAGTGAACTCTGCGGAAACGAAGCCCAGGAGATGGACAATCGCAGCAGATCTGCTCCTGCAGGTCACCGCGAGACACCACGCTCTTAACCTCACCGCTAGATGGCGCTTCTCTTCGCTCCGCACGGGGAGGTTGGGCGCATTTCAGTCATTCGAAAAACGTCCGCGCGCTTTTGCTCTTTGGGAGGTTGTCGCCAGCTGAAACGTAAAAAAGCAAACCAACATTTTTGTTGTTGTTGTTGTACGTGAAATGTTGTCGACAACGATGAAGCATGCTGCAAACGGAGGGAACACGCCCGTGGAGCTTCTCCGTCGCGGGAGATGGAGCGATGATGACATTCACAGAGGATAGATCAGGAGTCGGCAAAACCAAGAATAGCAAAGAAGAGCCATTTTTTTTTTAGAACTCGGTTTAAAAAAAAAAACATTTAAAAAGCCGCAGCAATGCACCGCGGATGAATACGAGAACGGTGGCGATCCTTAAGAAATGACGGTCACGAAGCAGTCGCTTAAAGAGCCGCGTGCGGGGCTCCGGAACCGCAGGTTGCCGATCCCCTGGGCCAGATTAATTGTCATTTTGCAGGACCACGAGAGCTGGTGATAGCACGGGGGAGACCTTCAAGCAGCGGTGCATTGACCATTAGCGGATGGAAACGCGAACCCAGGATGTCAGCAATGCTGGCTCGGTGGACTGACACCGTTATTACCGTGATCCCACCGAGCCACTGAGTCTAGCCCCTGGCCCAGCACTTCTCTTTACGCTTGTTAGTTCTGTATACGGGGCTAAGCCTGAGCGCAGCGTAATGCGCAACAACACACACACACAAACAAGACAAAGATCTCCCACATAGCCTCAACAGGTTGTTGGGGGCAAGTGCCGTTTGCATGCACCGTAGAAGGCTGACACGGCACACACAGGGGTGGTCGTTCAGCCAGCGCCACGCCCGGCCACCTTTGTCTCGCCGCTGCTAATATTTTACACACGGGCTCAGAGCGCACTGCGCTATCCGCTGCGCCACCGCTCCACACCGCCCCCCACGCATGCACACATGGCATGTACACACACGCCCGCATACACCAAAACACGCAATGCACACTTGGGTTCCCCTTTACTGTACAGTGCTATGCTTGTGGGTTTTCCTTGTGTGCACAGGACTTCCTACATCTTCCACACCACTTGTCGCCTGCACTATCGCTTGAGAAATCATAGGTCATAGGGTGTCCACGCCCTTCATTTCCCCGCACAGGCCTGTGGCAAAGCGAGGAACGTCGTGCATACGTGCAACGGAGTAGGACCATCGCCCGAAACGTCGCCTCGTATACAGGCGGGTCCCCGCCTTCTTACGACGCAACGTGTCGTTCCTGGAAACCCCCATTGTCACGAGTCGGATCGTCAAATTTTGCCACAGAAAGCAGAAAGAGTAGGAAACAATCTTGATTTAAAGCTTTCGTGACTTCACGAATCCATACTCTTTGGTTCTTTCGGTAAAGTCACGTGGGTAGAAAAATAAAACAAAAAAATAATCTATCACGACGTTTCGATCGCAACACCAGCGGTCGTCCTCAGGCGGAAAAAATAATCCAGCGGTGGAACTTCTGAACCTGGTTCAGAAGTTCAGCTGTTCCACCGCTTGTGTTGAGATCGAAACGTCGTGGTATATTATGTTTTATTTTATTTTTCTACCTACGTGACTTTACCGAAAGAACCAAAGAGTAGGAAACACATCACTTGCCGCTGTGTTTTATCCCCATTTTACCGGCCGTGTTCAACAGGGAGGGTTTAATCGGTGCAGAAAGTCCACGAAAACGTTCGACAATGACATAAGCGCCACGTCCCAAAGCAACGTCGGAAACCAGACGCGACTCGTGTTAAAACGCGTTCGGAGTCGCGTCTGGAATATGCGTCGTACATAAAGTTCCTGCCTCCTAAAGAGATCCATGTCAGCATTACATAAATGTCGTGATTGTTGATAATAAACCTGAGACCGGATTGTATATATATTTTATTTTAAGGACACCTCCCCCCCCCCCCCCACACAGCGCTATGAATGAACGTGTTGAGTGTTTTTTTTGTGTTTGGGTTTGGTTTTACAATCAAGGGGTGTTGAGGAGCGCCACCCTGGGTAGCAAACAGAGAACGGAGCCCTCCTCTCCCACCGAGAGTTTACTTTGTGTTCGATGCGTCGCAGCATTCACCCGTTGCCGTCGGCCCCAAAAACGTCCAGGAAACGTTCGACGCCGCGACGAGAAATGTTGCCGCGAGCGAGAGGAGCTCTTCTTTAATTTTCGCCGACGCCGAAATAGATCGGGCGGCGAACGTCAATTCCCCCGTCACATGTACCAAAGACTGCGTCGGTGCTCTCACCCAACAACCACCATCAATGTGCCGAAGTGAGATACGCAGCTGATATCATTGACATCAGCGTTAAAAAAAGAATATATATACGAATGCGGTAGTCATTAAATTTAGTAACGCGGTAGAGCCCTTCGTTCATGCACTGCTGGATTAAGTCCCCCGCCACACATTCGATCACGAAAA